CGTACTGCAACGCGAGGCAGGCTCAGATTTGTCTGAGCCGCCAGTTGACGCTTGACATTGCTGCTTGGCTTGGGGTGAGCCTGAAATTGGGCCTCGAGAGTCTCGACTTGTTCCTTGGTCAACCGTGGTCGGGACAGGTTCTCCGTGTATTCGTCGTAGTCCATAATCGGTTGGTGGTAGTAGTCCATCATCTCCATTGGCGGGTGAGGGTACATGTAGCCTTCAATAGGGTGCATCATCGGAGGAGGCACCATCGATGGGTCATATGCCATGTGTTGTTCCATCGGGATGCCCTGGTGGCCCTGGTAGTTCCATGAGGGGTGGATATAACTCATGGTGAGAGGTAATTAAGAAAGGATCGAAAGAAAGTGTAGAAGGTCGCGCACGAGAAAGTGGCAGCTTCGAGGTAAGAGGTCTATATCATGAAGTGGAAGGTCGGAATGCGACGTGGGAAAGAACCCTGTACAGGTAAAGGAGTGGCAGTAGGTGGAATCACACGAAAAAGAAAAGAGAGACTGTGATAGAACCCGGTGTTAAGGAGAGACTTGGGTCGGTAACAAAAAGAGAGTGTGGACGAAAAAGCAAAGAAGTGAAAAAGAAAGTGAGAGGAAAAGGAAGATGGAGAGAGCTGGGGGGAATCTGGTAAGGGGCGGTACAGTGACGTCTGATCACGAGGTTTAATTGGGCGATGAGCGGGTATTGCCCGGTAACGGGTGGTAAGAAGAAAGGTCTGTGTGCGAGTTACAGGAGGATGCAATGTTATAATAAGAATACATATACTCTGCTCCGTGATTATATTCTAGAATGACAAAATGGAATTTAATTGAATTTACTTGAATTTAATTGAATAAAATAAAAAGAAAGAAAGAAAAGAAAAGAATAGAGATCCGAATTCTCAGATCTGGGATCGACCCCAATTAGGAAAGATACGGACCCGTATTGGCGGAGTAGGGGGTGGCGGCTTGTACAGAGTCACATTTGACAGCCAAGCCTCAACTACACAAGTACCATACTGTAACAACTTACTCTCTATGTACAGTATAAGTTAATCAAGTGTTCATTTACTCTACAATGTCCACATGGGCATACTACTGTGTAAACAAGTGATCCAAGGTTGAAAGGTGCGGAGACTCGGGAACGAATCCGCGTCCCACGGAACCAAGTGAGATTCACCTATCAGACATTGGCGTTATATCTGCAGGGTCGTAATCCGTGTAAGTTCCTGCATTAGTGTATTTGGCTGGATATATTCATCTCAGGTATAGTATGTTGCTTAGAATAACTCAGGGCTATGTGAGGGCTCGGCTAAGTGGCTAATCCCACTTCCCCAGCACACACAGACTCGCATTGGCATTCTTCTTCCGGTCTACTGGGTCAGCCGATCTACTAAGCTTGGACAATCCTTATGTACAATGATGTCTTGTCACACTATTGATTTCTGAAGCACACTTGTGTCAAGCTATCTGTTTCCCCGTGTCTGAACATTTCCTCCCACCCCCCTTCCGCTAGCACGAATCGAACCTAGTGAGGGCGCATGGCAGTCAGCCAAGGCCGACTAAACATCAATAGTCGACAGATCCCGTCGATCACTTCAAGGATCTGCCGAGCTTTTTTAATTTATTTTTCAGCCCCCTCATTCTTACTCGGATTCAGGCTCTAGTCTCCGGTCTCTGTGATTTCCCGGGAACCTGGTTGGCCCCTGTTCAGCGCTAAACGTCTTAGAATTAGAGGCTCCATGCAAGCACGTCACGAGGGGTTTGAACTTTGCCCCCTTAAATGCACTAAAAGGAGATCACTGCACTGGTTCCGGGCACCCGGACATACATGTACATGCAGTGGAGTGGACATGGACCTGCCCCTTCGTTACTCCATACAGTGTAGAGGTGGTGGTACTGTACATACTGTCTCCGTACTTTGTACATCCACTCGGCTCGGCAGAGTATATGAAAAAACCAGTACCATGGAACATGAAGGCTTTACCGCAAGCTCCTCAGAACTATTGACAGCAAAACGTTCAAGATAGGCAACGAAGTCAAAACTATGGAGTCGGTAGGTCCCCGAATGATCTCACCGTCAACGGTGATAGGACATCACAAAGCCCAACTCGTACTTCGGCACGTTAGTTAGATAGAGAACCATACAACAACGACGCGGTTCAGCGGATCAAACCCACACGAACATTCCCCCTACCCCTCCCCATCCAAGTGATCGACCTCCTCTTCTGCTCCGGACGATGATCGGGCCCGAACAGCTGCCAACACTCCATCCAAGGCTGATCAGCCAGTCCAGATCGGGGTAAGTGACAGTGGAGGTGCCAGGATGAACACCCATCCATCTTCCTCGCTGAAGAAAAACTCAAGTCCGCTTTTGTGACTGGCTCCACGTAGATCATGGCACAAAACGTGGCCCTCAGCTGGTCACAAACTTTGTTGTCACTAATGGCGTGCTCTCAAGCTCCGCAGAGTCAAGTGCCGTGTGTGACGGCGATAATCACTGTTCCGATTCAAGCTTCAGGTGCAGCACGGCGCCTATCAGGCCTGATCGTCACTTTCCGAGAACGAGCCTCGTCGGAAGAGAGCGTCAATGCTGGCTTGGCATCTTACTTGTCATCCCCGCCCCAACTCATACATGTACAGTAGTCCGTGGTCTCATGGTCTCAAGAATCATGGTCATAGTCAACACCATGTCCGAGCAACGGGGTGTGGACCATTTTGATATTCGCCTGACGGAAAATCCCTGATATCCTTGTGCACGTTACATGTACCTTCACGTACATGTAACAATGGGTAGTACAGATCTAAGGGGATCTGCCACCCCTGGGTAGATCATGCAGTTCGCACGGATCCCTCGACTCCATCCGACTATTGGATCTGAGGTGAACCGTTGCGCTGGGAATCTCAAATCCTGCCGGAGAGTAAAAAAGGAGAAAAAGAAAAGAAATTCCCGAGTTACCACTACCTCATCTGTACTAGTCGATCGACAGTGTGACAGCACATCCCCCTCTGTCTCAGGCCAAATGATCGACTTACAAATCCGATCTCCATGCACAATTTCCTGTTGCCTGTTCTCCGTAAAGTGGTTTCGGAGTATTTTGGTGGCTGAGCTGGCTGAGCTGGCTGGGCTGGACATAGAGACTGGTAGTGTAAAGCTCTTTATGACATATCAATTCAACCCCCACCCCCTTGTGGCGCACCTGAGTGGCGGTGTCCAAATTATCCCTTGTATTGTTACGGAGCCTCGAGCCTCGAGCCCGTTCAGGTGCATCTCGATGCTGCAGCCCAAATCGAAAGTGGGAAGACCTATTCGTGTTGCACATGTGACGAAATTGCAGTCCAATTCATCACACTTCTCCAGCAGTTCGCAGTTCGTGCGCGAAAACCGTTCCCAGATTGGAGACGACTTTTTGGAACTGTGACAATGTAACTTTGACTTTGCACTGTCCGACCCGTGCGCAGCCTGCACCCCCCTTGCATACTGTGCCTCTCTCTCTCTCTTTCACCGGGCCTGTCTATTGGTACAAAGCAGAAATGTTCTCGTCCCGAGCTTCCTCTGCCGGAAAAGAGGTGTTCGATCCGCGAAACAAACACAAAAAAAAAAACTCAAGGTCCACCAATAAAAAGACAATCCTGTCAATGCACGTCGGGAACAAACCTCACCGGCACTTATCCTCGTGAGCTCGAGCGTTTCGTTTCGTTCGGTGTCGTCTTGTCTCGGCTTCTTAGTAACATGTAATCTACATCTACATGTGCATGTGCATCTACAATCCAACCGTCCTAACTCCAACCTCTTAACTTAAACCACCTCATCCCTGTGGCGACGATTTCCGAGTCTACAGTTACAGCCTAATTCAAGATCCTCCTAAGGCTCAAGTGAGCATGAACTGTCGTTTGTAGCCTTGTTAACCTGATAGGCTCTCAGATAGCACACCTACATACACCTACATTGTGCATGCAGTCCAGCCGTGCCCACTGGTCCCGATCAAATCCGGCTTTCGTGTTATTCACCCGTCCCTACCTGCAAGGATGCTTTTAGCTGCAGGTGGATCTTGTACCCTGTACGTCTACTTATACGGTACTAGATACGTTACTGGATACTGTATACTGTAGAAGTAGAGGTACAGTAGAAGAGCCCCGGCCTGTCACCCATGCTGTACCTATGCACCTACTCAAGCTTCGCTGTCAATCACCTTTCCTTTCTGGTAGCTGGTAGCTGACAGCTCTCGGCATGCATGGCTGTCACGTAACAAGCTCTGGTATAACACTTATACGGTGTGCTGTATCCAAGTATCCTACAGCTACAGCTACAGCTATCCAGCTCCCAATCTCTCCATCTGGACTGAAGGACTGGCACGTGCCAGTTCCTTTATCTATCATTTCTCGCGTGGGATTGCTCATCGTACAGTGTAGTATGTAGACTACTATATAAACCCAGCACGGCTACGCCGGTTTGCTCTTTGCTTGCTCATATTGCTTGCTACTTCCTGCTTGCTCTGCAAGGTTCGGGGATCTCCTTTGGGGAATCTGAACATGGCGTATATGCCGCATACTGTACGCGTCCCGTTCCGTCCTGTCCTATCCTGTCCTCTCTGCAGTACTGTACATGTACCCTGCACCTTGTTGCACCTTACCTGACCTCATCACACATACATATATACCCAGGTAAGCCACCGGGAAACTTTGTGTCCTGTTTCAGGATATGGCGCTTGAGTCGGGAACCATCCAGCCCTGTCTAGAAGGGTCCGGGCCAATCGGCGTCGGGGGTAGCTATATCATTCCCCGAGATAATGCAGATTTCGGGCTCTGGAGTTGGGCTTTGTTTGGTTGTTCCTACGCCACCACAGTATGTACGTTGGGGCTGGAGCTGAGGGATCCTGGTTCTGGCAGCGTAATACGAACGAGGGGTGATCATGCTCACTGTATGCTTGATCTGGATGCTAGGTCTACTCTTTGGAAACGGGGTGTCAAGAAAATATATGTACATCTATGCGCAAAACTACGATCATCACACCTGAGAAATGGAAATGTACCCTGTAACAAACCGGTATGTAGCGCACGTTTATCTAGATCAAAGACCTGTTCTATGTCGTGTAACCCAACTCCGAAAAACCCGTTGAGACGCGGCCTGCACAACCCCTGTCCCCATGCAGCCCATGCCAACCACCAACCTCAACCGCGAAAACCCAAAGTCAATCATACATCCCAATGCAAGGCAAAGCCTAAGCCTATTGCAAGGCATCCCGGATTTCAATCTTGACCTTCCCACCCTCAACACTAACAACAGAAAGACTCCTCAAATCCTGCACAATCCAATCCGCACCAGCCTCCTTCAACTTCTCCAGCGAATGCGTAGTACTTAACGCAATAACCTTATACCCAGCCCCCTTACCAGCCTTAATACCAGACGGCGCATCCTCAAGCACAACAATAGACTTGGACTCTTCGAGCCCAAGCTTCTTCGCGCCGAGGAGGTAGCAGCGGGGGTCGGGTTTGCCTAGTGGCACGTCTTCGGCGACTACTAGCATCTTCGGGTGTGTGAGGCCGAGAACTTCCAGCCAGCCGTCGATCAGCGCGCGCGTGCCGGATGTTACTACGCCCCAGCGTGCGTTGGTGGTTTCCAGAGCTGAGAGGAGGTTGCGGCCGCCTGGGATTTCGACAGCGTCTGAGCCGTATTTCTTGGGGATTTGGCCTTCGACGTGGTTTACGTCTGGGGTGGTGTTAGTTTTCTTCGGAGCGGGGTATGTAGACATTGACCAGGTGTAGGTGTAGGTGTAAAATTGGTGTAGGTGTAGACTCACAATCCCAGTTGGCCTTGGTTTGGTCGTATAGTGCCATAGTGTCAATGCTGCGGCGGCCATGAGAGGTCGCCAGGATAGTCTTGGGGTCGACACCTAGCTCGGTGCCGATTCTGAAAAGGAAGAGGTGTTAGATGGTGGTCTCGAGTGTGTATGGGGGTTCGTTTGTCACTAACTCGTGCCAATGCTTCACAATTGCTGTTCAGGACAGATGGTTAGCATTCGCTTCAATTGCTTCGGAGGGCTTGGAATAGGGAATGCGTACCATCTGTGGAATCGATAATTGTGCCGTCAAAGTCAGAGAGGACTCCATCGAACTCGTGGACCTGCGCAGGCGCAGAGAAGGATCCTCTTGCTGATGACATGGCGGGGAGGGTGATGCGGGGAGTGTACAGTAGATATGCACGAAAGATGGAAGGAAGATGGAATCAAGAGGGAGAAATTTCTGCCCCTAGGAATTGATTCAAGGGCGTCTTAAATCTGTCAACGACCTCGCCACTGATATGTCAAGAACAGTTCATTTGTCGCATGTTTCTTGTTCGCTGACTCCGGCTGCTTCCCCAATTCGGCAATCGTCCCGCACGCTGAGTCATACTATACTCGGAGATCGGCCCAGCAGATAATCCGCTTATCGGCTGTGGAAATCTTGGCGCTCAACTTTTTCTATTCCCCGTAGCAGACGGACTTTGAGGGTTTGCTGCGCACTTTTTTGCGATATACAAAGACGTGCATTAAAAATGGTCAAACTCGGTGAGATATACTTGTTGCTATTTGCTCATGGGGTTTTGAGCAAATACTAATGGCATATAGGCAAGCATTCTAAGCGGACGCCCGTCCGCCTCAGGCACAAGATTGAAAAGGCCTCGGTTGCGAAGGCGAAGAAGCAGAGAAAGCTCGCGAAGAAGGTATCATCACGCAAGATCATCTACTGCTTAATTGACAACATCTGACTCTCTTCTTTGCAGAACCCAGAATGGCGGTCTAAGATCAAGAAGGACCCAGGCATTCCTAATCTCTTCCCCCACAAGGACAAGCTCCTCCATGAAATAGAAGAGCGGAAGCGCATGAAGGCAGAGGAGCAACAGCGTATTCGTGACGAGGCACGCGCTCGCAAGGCAGAAGGCCTCCCCGTACAAGACAACCATGGTGTCGAAATCAACGAGGACGATATGCTGGATGAGGATATGGACGGCGATGGCAACGACTCAAACCCCATGGCTGCCCTTCTCGCCTCAGCACGGGCTCGCGCCGCGGAATATGATGAGAACGAGAGCGACGATGAGGATATGGATGAGGATGAGGACGACGACGATGAGATGGACGAGGATGATGAGGAGGGCGGTGCCGTGGTCGACGATGCCCCACCTCTGGTCACAGCAAAGTCATTCTCCAAGGAGAGCTCACGGCGTCAATTCGACAAGGTCTTCAAGCAGGTTACTGACAACGCTGATGTTGTGTTGTACGTGCTTGATGCCCGTGACCCCGAGGGAACCCGCTCGAAGGACGTCGAGCGCGAGATTATGGCCGCCGACGGTGGCTCCAAGCGCTTGATCCTCATCTTGAACAAGATCGATCTGGTCCCTCCCCCAGTTCTCAAGGCCTGGTTGATCCACCTGCGCCGTTACTTCCCCACTCTCCCTCTCAAGGCCACCAGCGGCTCTGGCACCGCACACAGCTTCGACCACAAGCAGTTGACCGTTAAGGGCACCTCTGATACGCTCTTCCGCGCCCTCAAGTCATACGCCGGCAGCAAGCAGCTGAAGCGCTCCATCTCCGTCGGTGTCATTGGATACCCCAACGTCGGCAAGTCCTCCGTGATCAATGCCCTCACTGCACGCCTGAACAAGGGCTCAAGCAATGCTTGCCCTACCGGCGCCGAGGCCGGCGTGACCACCAACCTCCGTGAGGTCAAGCTGGACAACAAGCTGAAGCTGATCGACTCCCCCGGAATCGTCTTCCCCACCGCCAGCGACAAGACCAGCAAGAAGAGCAAGAAGGTCGAAGAGCAGGCTCGCCTCATCCTCCTCAATGCCATCCCTCCTAAGCAGATCGAGGACCCCATCCCCGCAGTCAACCTCCTGATGAAGCGTCTATCCAGCTCAGAAAACCTCATCCAGAAGATGCTCGACCTGTACGGCATCAACGCTCTCTTCCCCAGCAACGGCGATAAGACCACCGACTTCCTGGTCCAGGTGGCCCGCAAGCGCGGCCGTCTTGGAAAGGGCGGTATCCCCAACATCGAGAGCGCCGCTATGACCGTCATCAACGACTGGAGAGATGGTCGCATCCAGGGCTGGGCTAACGCACCCGCGCTGTCCGTCGTCGCCTCGACGGATGCCCCGGCCGCTGCTGCTGCCGAGCCCGGTGCGGACACTGCCCAGGTCGTCACGGAGTGGGCCAAGGAGTTCAAGATCGAGGGCCTTTGGGGCAACGGCGAGGGTGAGGATGAGGAGATGGCCGAGTAAGGGCTATAATCTCCTGCTCGTGTTACGAAGTCATTATCTCATTTGATTATATCTTTCTGGATACCAAAAAGTGGGCGTTTATGTCGGCATTCCATCGTTCCCTAGATTTGACTTGAAAATATTAGGTGCAAAAGCACCAGTAAAATGAATTGTCCAGAACTCAACCAAACGTAATAAATATGAATCCCGGTAGAATATATACATCCAGTGCGAGGACGCAAGTGTCGTCGGAAGTATAAATCCGCCAAGCCTCCACACTCGCGCATCCCGGGAAATCCAACGCGTTCGCGCGCCCCCTTGTAACCCTCGAACATCAAAGCCCACCAACCTCAAATTCAACAAACAACCTATAAGACCAAAAATACACAATCCCAAGTCAACATAAGCGAGGGGCACGACTAATCAACCCCTGATCCCTCGCGATCACCTCACCACACCGCATCAAACCCGCAACGCCAAACCACCACCAAAATGCCACCACGCAAATCGACATCCTCAGTGACCCCAGCCGACCCAGATGACTCCCTCCTCCAGTCACCCCAGGCACCACAAACAGATAAACCCGTTTTCGCGACGGAACAGCAGCTGAAGGCGCGGGCTGAGGCTGGCGTCAGCGTTGAGGTAAGCCGTTCCCGAGCCGGAGTATACATTGCCTGTGGCATATTTATGCGGTTGAGTATATAGTATGGGATGGCTAACATGATATATTACTTGTGTCTTGTAGGACTACCTCCTCCCACGCTCATTGACAATCCGCCTCGCAAAGGCCGTCCTCCCGCCGAATACAACTATCCAGAAGGATGCCGTGCTAGCTATGCAAAAGGCGGCTACGGTTTTTGTTTCGTATTTATCTTCACAGTATGATCTTCATTCCTTTCTTTTATTTCCTTTTCTCTACTCTCGATGTATCCTACCCTATCGTATATCCTCTCTTTATTGAGAACCTCACCTCCATTCCAACACATGCTATGCTCTGTATGATATACAGAGGAGTCAAGAACATACATATTCTCCGGACATACCACAAAGAAACGACCAACTAACAACATATATCCAGCGCCAACGATGCAACCCTCAAGCGAACAATCGCCCCATCAGACGTCTTCAACGCCCTCTCCGAGCTAGAACTCGATTCCTTCCGCGGCCGTCTCGAGCAAGAATTAGAAGCGTATACTGATATCAAAGCCGGGAAGCGCAAGGCCAAGAAGCCCGAGAATGGCGTGGTAGCTGATACCGAGGCTGATCCTTCTGGTGTTGCTGCTGGTGATGGAGATGGGGATGTGGAGATGGTTGATAACCCCACTAAGAGGGTGAAGCGCGATGGGGAGGATGGAGATGGCCCTGGAACTGGCACTGGCGCTGGTGTAGGGGCTGGAGCTAGTGTTGGGGCAGATAATGATGGAGATGAGACGCAGGAAGAAGAGGTCGAAGACGAAGATGACGAGGAGGAGGAAGAAGAGGACGAGGAAGAGGAAGAAGGGGATGGAGAAGCGCGTCCCAGACCTGAGGATGATCTTGAGGTCGTGGAGGATTTGGATCGCGAGCCTGGGGCTAGGAGGGGCCCTTTTGATCCTGATGCTGAGGAGACGGACGAGGATGATGATGGGCCTGGTAGTCAGTTGCGAGATGATCTTGGGCTTGGTTAAACTGGTTTCAATCTTCTGGATGGCGATTATGTCAATCCGACAAAATGGGTCAGAGTTGCTGGGAAAAGAAACAGAAATATTATTGTTGTACTATATACATAATGATCAATGGATTTCATGTCGCGAGCTTTATATATTTGGATATTGATGGATATGCTGCAGTTCATAGAGAACATGTTTGGGTATATATGTGCAATTATTAGACCGGACAACTACTGCGTAGAAGAGAAGCTTACATCAAAGACCAGTACTGCACCTACTACAAGGTACAACCATACGAGCTATATCACCGAGGAGATGTATTAAATGATACAATACCAGCACGGTATTGGAAACGGCTCAAGCGATGGATCCTAACCAAACAATCCACATACGAACCCCCAAGCAGAATCAAATCCACACGAGGAAAGCAAAATGAGGAAGTAGAGATGAGGAAGAAGAAGAAGACGAAGAAGAATAGAATAGCAACAGAATGAATAAACCCCCAGGCATCATATGCCGGAAAAAAACCAGCCTCAAGAAACGCCTAAGCCGGCCGATGCAGAAAAGAAGCCCTGGTCTATCAATGGTATCTTTCGAAAAAGGACAGCAGACATCATCCCAGAGGGGGAACGCAAGGGATGCAGGTAAGAATACAGTCCAGAAGAAGGGAAAACAAAAGGTGGAAGAAATGGTGAAATGGTATACCAAATGCCGAAAGCCGAAGAAGAGAAAGTCAACCAATGAGTTCCAGAAGATGAAGAAAGCAAGAAAGAAGAGAAGAAGGAAGCCGGTACACCATAACCATGCATCATGTCATGACATGCGGTCGATAGAAAATCAAAGAGATCATGAGAGGGTTGAGAACATTTAGGAAGATGCCACGGACTGGGGACGAGACTCGGAGTCGAGTTTGATGTCTGCTTTGCCGGATTGTCTGGTGACCTTGAAGAGAGGTCCGTTGTTCTTTGGCGCGCCGGCTGGGACGGGGCGCATCGCTTTGCCTGTGGTCTTGGTATCGGTCGTGCCAGCCGCGATGGAGTTCTTCGTGACGCGAGGGTTGAACATGGTGATAGTAGCGTTGGGTTTCGCCGGGGCCTTGCCTCCCTTCTTTGGCGCGGCAGCTGCCTTGGCCCGAGGTTTGGGAGCAGCTTTCTGGGCAGCCTTTGGCGCAGGCTTGGGTGCACTCTTCGCTGCAGTCTTTGGTGCGGCCTTGGCTGGAGCAGCCTTCGTGGATTTGAGAAGTTCCTTGATACTGAGACCCTTGCTGGCTGGATTTGTGACCTTCTTGGTGGCCTTCGTGGCTGGTCTCTTCGCAGGTTTCTCGTCCTGGCTGGATGAAGGTGTGATAAGACCAGAGTCGGTACGGGGTCGCTTTTTCGGCGTGACGACAACCGCAAAGGATTCCATAGTGGGAGCACGAAGAGAGCTCTGGAGCTGGGGGATCGGCTCCGGGGAGGATTCGTATGCGCACTCGCTGATATCCTCCGAGGTCCACGATTTCAGGTTCGCCTGGCGTGCCACTTCATCACAGGAACCCTGGACGATCAAGTCAAAGCAGTCATCGAACTCCTTCCCGCTCGGTGGTTCGTTGTTGATAAACATTGTCACGCCGTCCTTGCGACTCCGAATTGTCGCGCACAAGCTCTTGACAAGGCGGCGAACTCCGGGGATCTTTAAGCTAGTACCAGCAACGATGAGAACACGGGGGCGAGATTTGATATCGGAGTTCATGACCGACGTGATAGCCTCTTCGTCGGGGTTGTGTTCGTTGTAGAGAACGATCCGAGGGCGCATACGTCCAATTCCGTGGCTCCGTTGACCGGTAGCGAGGCGAGCTTGGTCGTGACCCTCGCATTCTTTGCAAGCGGGCGGGTCTGCTTCTGTGAACATATCGCCATTGAAGTCGCAGAGGAAACGACACTTCTGGCAGACCATCTTCTCAATACTGCCATGCAATTGAATCGTCACCGGCCAGCCACCCTTGATATCGAGCGGGACTTCGGTGGCCAATGGCCCCATGGAGGTTTCAATGCCATCGATGTTCTGGGTGTACAGTCGTTTCAGGCGAGACTCGGTACCTATACGGGCAAGCATCTCGTGGAAGGCGGTGGGTTTAGTCTTGGCAGCTTCCTCGGATAGCGACCGGACCATTTCGTGGAAAGGCAGGGTCAATGCGTCATCCTGGTAGACAGCGGCATCGAAGAGAAGCTTGCCAGAAGCCTTTAGGTTATGCTTCTTCTGTAGAGATTTAAAGAGACCATCTGTGGAACGGAAGTCTGGGACTATATATCTATAGGTTAGGCGTAGCTCATGCGGCAGAATATCAGCAGAAACTTACTACCGGCGGCGGTGGAAATGCCGGCACCAGCGATGACGACAATATCCTTCTGGTGGCGCAGGGTCTGGACGAGCAAATAGTGCTGGTCATTTTGTTCATAGAGGCATTTAGAGAGATCGAGATATTGGGTGGTCCGTTCTTTCGGTAGGGGGTTGCGTCTCCTCTTTGCGGGACGGGCTTGGCGTGCAGAACCCTCAGCGCCAGATTCAGCTTGGGATGACGGGGTCGGGTAGCGTTCCGCAGGTTCTGGTGAGCATGCCCGAGATGAGGGGAGAGAGCTCAAGTCCGAGCATTCGGAGACCTCATCAAAGTCGTAGCCCATGATGAAGTTGGAGAGGAGAGATGTGGTCACGTAACAAGGAGCGTCAAAAGGATGTCACCCCCAGGAGAATAGTCGGGGAGAAAAACCGAGTGGATAGCTCCGGGTTATGTTAGAGACCAAAGAAAAGGACGAATGGATGAACCATGGGTAAGGAATAAATATGTGGAAAGGGAGAAAAGAAGAAAAGAGGGATATGTGCAGGAGTAGAGGTGTGTAGAAGGGGACGATGAGGTCAGGGTTGGAGGGGAGCGTTTAATGAAACGATAAAGGGTAAAAAATGATCTGGCCCGCTCCTCACACGTTTGTTTTGACCCGAAGCGAGCTTAGATTCCCCGTGAAGGAATGTGGTTGTGTGGTAGAGACGGGGGGAGCGGTTTAGGAATTGCGATCTGCGGACTCTGTCGAGGGATGGAATCAAACAGATATCGACAATTGCTGACACGCGAACCTGTGGACCCTGGACTTCACACTCCCAGCATCTAAGTGTTTTGCTGTCTTCGATATTGAACCGTTGAAGTTGAGGTGATTCGCTGGAATTGATAGCGGGCCACCTGATGTCGCCTGATTGGCCTGATCGCGTTGGCAGGGCTACGTGCTGACTCAGCAGGCCAGGTTGACTCCTGCCAGGACGTGACGGCATCTCTAGTTCAGATCTATAGAGAACATTGGACCTCTAGCTGATCTATCCTGTGTTTGGTGGCATTTTTGATTGTGGAGTTTCTTGCAAAGGGGACAAAGGCTGTGTTCTGGACCCTGACCGCCTCCCAGCCAAATAATAAAGCCCATTTGATATTCAATGCGCTGGGGAACTCTATAGAGCTATGCTGGGTAGACTATATTGATCCCCTGATTGAAAAGTCTTGAACATAGTCCGACACAAATTATGCCCTTGATGATGGATACGGGCATCAATGTGGACGATCTCTTTGGCGAGTCCAACTCCCTGGAATTGGGCTTGCCAGCCGCCTCTCCTACCAAAGGACTCGCACAATGCCTGGATGAGATGCGCCTATTAGGCTGTTGCCAGTGAGTTGAACATTTCAGAGGTATGTGACGGTAGCTAACAACCGGATAGCAAGATTGCCTGGTCCCGGATGGGTTGCATTGCGTCGATCTCTCAGGATGGACTCAGGGTCAATATCCGCCATCTTCAGTGCAGTTCTTCAGATGGAAAATGGGAACTAGGCAAAGAAACACCCCTCACTACAGTAGTAGAGACCCATCATGGGAACCAACTGGCTCATTTATCATGGAATGAAACCGGGTCAGAACTGGCCGTTGTGGACTGCTCTGGTCGCATATCCATCTATTCTATCTCCATTGCTTTGAACAGCCTCTCGATTCTGCGTCAGGCGTCTTTCGAATCTGGTGATGATGGCGGCCAGGTCGTTGGTTTGATGTGGTTGAATTCCCAACGTTTTGTATGTCGTATTCTGCATCCCAATCTCCCGGGGAACGATTTCTGACACCACGATATAGATACATGCATTTCACCAAGCGGCGAAGGTGAATGGGAGATGGGCCTACACTCCTTTCCGCAGACGCCCAATTGGGCCCTTCCACCCAGCCAACAAAGGCGCCTTGATCTGTGTGACTAGAGCCGGCCAGATCAAGCTCATATATCAGAACCCTAATAGCACATGGGCCGAGCTTCCTGCCGAATTGAAAAACACAGGGTACTCGGACAGGCTATTAACACATGCCTCCATGGTCGCCACACAAGGTAGCTTATCCCGCCGGAGATTTATATCGTAGTACTGACATCGATGCAGCTGGGATCCTTCTCGCCACATACTCCGCGTGTCAGAAGATGTGTCTGTACAGAGTACATATTACCTGGAATCCACCGCAGTGGGAACCCACTCAGGGGAAACAGCAGCCTCCACCCGTTCCCAGTTTCCGCTTGATCCACTGCAAGGTGGATATGCCAGGCAATATACTGAATGTGAACCGCGGCCCAGATCATGCGGATCAATCTATCCCATTCATGAACTCTGTGTACTCATTGACACGGCTGGAGATCATGCCGGGACAGGTTGATAGTCCCCAAGGATCCACTGCCAATCCGTGGATTCTTGCTGTTTTCTCGAAACCTCTCCATGCCATACCAGATTATCAAGAGCAGCAAGGTCCGCCAACTGTGATGCTCAGGTGGCATTTGGAATCTGCACCGCAGACACTTCATCCCAAGTTTGATGAGGTGACATCGAAGAAGAGCAATGCCCAGGCGAAGGTATGTAGACATAGATTCTTGTCTGTTGTGTTGAGACTGATTTATATCTAGCCCAAATTGGAGTTGCGCCGGCTGGATGATATCCATTGTGATAAATACGTTGTCTCGGTCGATTTGATCGAACATGGAACAGTCTTAGCCGTTACCCACGATGACAATTCAATAACATGCTATGACACGAGGACGATGGCAATGTTCAATGGGATGGATGACTCGAACACTGTAACATGTCTGGCCCAGGCGGGATTTCAGTATCCAATAGAAACATCTGGTATGTTGTGACTTGATTCATCCTGCTTTACATTGCGCGAATTGATATCATTAGGTCTCAACATCGCTTTCTCGCCTAACTCTTGCGTTGCCGTTACGCTGGATAGTGACGGACAGATGCAACTGAGAGTGATGGGGCATTCATTCGGATCAACCGAGGGACTCTATGACGACAGTATGTGCGGCCCAGAGCCTATAAGATTATCAGAACTGACCCAAACGCATAGCCAAATTCTCCGCCGCCGTTGCTGCTTTGACGGTAGCATTCTGCCGTGGCTGTGGAAGTGAATGCAACACTGACGACGTTCTCATGGTTGCTCTCCGGCAGCTGACACCAGGTAAGTGCATGGTTTTGCCACGATTTAGATCACCGAACTCCGCTGACACCCCCGAAGAGGCTCAAACCACATTCATCAGCGAGGTGTATCGTGCACTGCCGGTCAATTGCAACTTCACTGCTGATCAAGAGAAGCTCATGAGCCACCCGTACATCCCTCGTTGTCTCAGTTTGCAGGCTGCGCTGGGCTATAAAGGAAGACTCAAGCGCCGCAGCCTTGCATCCTCCGTGCCCTGGGCGATTCTTCAACTGCGGCACTCCTCGGTTCTATTTGCTTATTTCTTCCAGTATAACAAAGGTGTACAACCCGAGACACATGATCCAGGTAAGCCAGACCACCGTCTCAACACCAGTAATCAACTGCTAACAGCAAAAAGATGTTCTACGATTGGTCTTGGGTAACACAAAATGGACACTGGATTTCTCCCACTGGCTCCTAAACGAAGTCTTCGACATGGCAGACGATTTCGAAAGCGTCTTCAACGACCAAGAAGCATTCACCCAGAAATGTACGACCACCCCACCCCCAACAAGTTCCCCAAACAATAATCTAACCAAACCACCCCAGTGAAATCAACCAACTCCCTTCCCCTCCTAATCCTTCTCTCAAGCATGTCAAGAGCCTTCCTCCGCTTCATCTGCCGCGGCCTCCGAGGCGTGCAGGCAGGCTTCGCAAGCGCAAACCCAGCCTCCCTCTTTGGCGACAGCCGAATATACTACACAGAAATATGCCAAGCCCTCGAAACCTCACCAGTCCGGATAGACGTCTACGAGAAATTCCTTGCGGGAGTGGACTCGGCCGTGAAACACGCCTACCAAGGAGCAGGCTTCGGCGACGCTGAAAGACCAGGTCCAGAAAAAGAACTGCTCGTCAACGCGCGCATCCCACCGGTCCTAATATCAGCCGTGGCAACGTTGCTGCGGCAGACGGTGCCGGCGCTGAAAACGGAGATCAATCGCATGGCGATTTATCTAGGTGATTATTCTTGGTTGGGCTTTGGGAATGATTCTCGCACCGCGGTCTACCGGAAACAGCGTGATGTTGATATTTTGAAGAAGTGTCCTTTGAGGCCGCCTCTCTTGCTGGGCTGTGAGGGTCGGGTTGCGCCGCTTAAAAAGAGGAGGTGTGCAAGGTGTTGTGAGGTTTCCGGGGATACGAGTTTGCCGAGGTCTATGCTTTCTTTTAAAATGACTGCTAAGTTGGGGTTGTTGAGGTCCTGTCTTTGTGGGGGGATGTGGATTCTTGAGGTTGATTCTGGGGATGTTGGGGGTGGGAATGGGAGTGGGAATGGAAGTGGGAATGGAAGTGGGAATTGAAGTGGGCATGGAGCCTAGAGATAGTTTTCTGTTACAAGAAGGTCGATGTTATGATAGATGAACAGCAATTTTGGTGTGATGTATCTCGCAAGTAGAGAGCATACGAGGTTGAAACATAAAAGGGTCTGGAGGAGGGACTGGGGATGAACCGAGTTCTGCTGGGTGAAAATGGACAACTAGATCGGCGTTTTTATATGGACAACATGCATAAGGCAATATATATCCTTGACCTGATAGGGCTTGCCTTCGACATAGGAATATGTAGACGACGTATGTAGAAGCATATCCCTGAGTACGGAATACGGAATACTTGACCACACAAAGTTCCTTAACAAAGCAAGAAAATGTCTAAGTCATGTCATGTCAAGAGTCGATTTGCATCCTATTTAGATACATAATCAAATTCCATTTTTTGGATGTAAAAAAAAGAGAAAACCGACCCCTCCACAAGCTCTCGGGTCCACACTGTCACGTCCTGCTTGTGTCCAAGGCCAGCAACGTCTTCCCACAAAACTCCATATCCGAACAAGTTCTGCGTTTAAGCCTGCAGAATATCAGTCAGTATTGTGTTCGGTTCGTATGGTGGCGATGTCTTTGGGAGAAAAAAAGGCAGAACAGAATAAGATGCAACATCCAATCACTATTCCACCAATTCATGACCAAGGACTGATCGAGATGATCATACCTTAACAGCGTACTTCCGCTGGGGGAAGTGGGTGGCGCGCTTCTGCTGACGCACGGTGGTGCGGGTAGCCTCGTGCTTGGTGAGACGGCGGCGGATCTCACGGGTGAGCTTGGGGCGGAGGTCGAGGGGAAGGTACTTCTTGTTCTTGTAGAACAGACGCAGCTGGGCGCGCTGGTTGGCGTTGATGACGGTGAGGACACGAGCGATCGACTTGCGAACCTCGCCGCTAAAAAAAAAAAAATTCCAGTCAGCACCTGTTCAGATGACTTTTGATAAACCCGGTCTCGATCCATTGCAATCGTAGTATCCATCTCTTTCCCATCGATCCCATTGGTGATTTGCTGGTGTAGTCCTCTTGTTTCGTTGTCCCGATCGGGATTCAATTGTTTCCATCCCGCAAATCTCCAAATCCATTCGCACAAAAAGAAAGCCGGGGGGTGTCGGATACGCACATCTTCTGGGTCTTCGTGGAAGCGCCGCTGGAGATCTTCTGAACGCGGAGCTGGTTGAGCTCCAGCTTCAACTCCTCGAGCTGCTTGGCGAGCTCATCCTTGTTCTTGCCCCAGAGCTGACCGGCCTTGACCTTGGACGACTATAAAAAAAGAGGTTCATCAGCATGCATTCAGAGGTTCTGCCTGGCAGCACGTACCATAGTGGCGGCGATTTGTGAGGGTTGTCGACGTTGAGAATTGAAGATGTCCGAGGGTCAAATTGCGACTGGTTGTGGGACTAGGGCTAAGCGAATTCTGCGACACTAAGCGGGCACGTGATTTGTGTGGCACTTGGTGCCTAATAATGGTGCCTAGAGTATGAGGCGTCAATATACTATATCCGGTTAGACTATTCTACCCCGTCATGGCCAACTTACGTAGTGGTAGCACCTCGGCCCTTGCACCGGTTGGTTTGGAGAATAATTCTGAACAGTTTTGACCCCTTGTCAATTCGTCTCCCCTATCCCACCTCTTCTGTACCGGCCATGACGTCCTCTACTGGCTCTGGGTGGACACAGCTCCGGCAACAAGCCCGGTCGCTCGAGACTCAGGTACCAACATATTCAGGAACCTCACTATAGAATGTGACTGACGCCACCAATAGACCGAGAACCTCTTCCACACCTACTCACAATTCGCTTCTATCACCAAGCCCCCACAGACACCCACCGAGGAAGAGCTGCGCCTCGAATCGCAATTGAAAGACCTCCTCGAAAGAGTAAGTCAACAGCGAGCAGCGAGCCTACCAAAAAAGAACCGCGACAGCTAACTATTCTCCGCACAGCGTGAATCTCTCATTGCCCAACTATCCCGACTCCTCGACTCAGAAGCCACCCTCACATCGTCCGCCCTGAAACAGAACAATGTCTCCCGCCATCGCGAAGTGCTCCAAGACCACCGCCGCGAGCTCCAACGACTAACCTCCGCCATCGCCGAATCGCGCGACCGCGCAAACCTCCTCTCAAATGTCCGCTCAGACATTGATTCCTACCGCGCATCTAACCCCGCCGCCGCCGAGGCCGAGTACATGCTCGAGGAGCGGGGGCGAGTTGAGAACAGCCACAACATGATGGACGGAGTGTTGAGCCAGGCGTATGCCATCAACGAGAACTTCGGAGTCCAGCGTGAGACCATTGCCAACATCAACCGGCGTATTGTCGGTGCTGCTAGTAACGTCCCCGGCATGAACTATCTCATTGGCAAGATTGGAAACAAGAAGAGGCGAGATGCTATCATCCTTGGATGCTTTATCGGATTCTGCTTCTTGATGTTGCTGTTCTTCCGGTGATATATTGAATCATTATTCCGGGGGTACGCTGTCTCATCTTATTGTTCTCGTGTCGATTGCTGCTATCCAGCGTGTGGACTTTTGTTACTAAGGCGTTCAGGTTTGGGCATTTCAGTGTCCCTCTTGACGGGGGATACGATGATAATTCTTGCACGTCTAAATGGCGGCTATTTGTTATGCTCTATATTATACACATTCTCTATTGTATGTACAAATTTAACTGAGAGGGGAATCACATCATATACAAGTTTCCGGTCCGGTACTGGTACACTCACCACAGGCTCATCTCAATTCTTACGAGTCGAGCCCGGCCCTCCAGAAAGAGCCTTCTTCTCCTCAATAAGTTTCCGAACGCCAGCATTGAGCCCCTCCAATTCCTCCGCATCCGCCGGCCCACTCCCCGCCCAGCGAATCCGACACTCTTCATCAACGAGATAAACATACCCAACCTTAGAGTTCATCATACCAACAGTCTCCTTAAGCGCCTGGTCAAACCCCTTCTGCACCAAGAAATACCGCGAATGCTGCTCCTTCGGCAACTTCTGCCGCATGCGCCACATGAATGTTTTAACCAACCACGCCTTCATGCGGTTCTCTTCGAGGTTAATATCAATCCTCTGCACATGTTTCCCGCCACTAGCAAGTGCCTCCACAAGGCCTGGGTTCTGCTGTGGGCCTGTGAATGTCGCGACCTGGCCCTCGGCCCAGACGCTGGAAAACAGGTTCACGACTGAGATGCTGCCGCGCAGCTGGGTGGTTGTGTTTTGAGCGTCCTTGGGCGTTGCGAGGGTTATCCCGTGCATGTTTGGGAAGTAGAGTGATCTGTCGGCTTTGAAGAGTCGTGGGTTTGAGATGAAGGTCTTGCCTTCGTGGTGGCGGAGGTTGGACCATTCCCGGAAATAGGGTTTGGCGACTTGTTTTGTCCTGTGCGTTGCGGTTGTTTGTTAGTTTTGCGTTCGCCGTCCATTGGCTGATTGCCAGTGGGAGAAAGGGTAGGGTAGGTTCGTACAATTCCTTGCGCCGCTTGATGTGCCGGTCATAGTTGGTGAAGTCGTCGCGACGCTGGGCCATGGAGCGCGTGTCAACTCCTGTATTTTGGCCCTCTAACGGTGGCGTGGGACTTCCAATGGGTCGATCCAGTCTCGGGGGAGCGAAGTCTGCGTCGCCGGGCTGAGGGCCATCCTTTTGGTTTTGTTGGAATTCGATGGAGCTGGTCAGGCGTTGCCTTGCCAGAGATTGAGTCTCAGTCTTTGTATTCCGCTTCACAACGGTTGGGGCAGCTGATTTGCTGGGCTCCTCGGCTATACTAGCATAGTGGCGCGGGGAGAAGGGTTTGGCTCGGAGCTGGGCGACTCTCGCTGGGTTGCGGAATTGGCAGCTTAGACAGCGGCCGGTCTGTAGAAATGGGAGGTCGGCGATCAGGGTAGTTGGGAGGGTGGATTTCCACATGTTGATTGGGCCCGGCCAATGGGTCGAAAACGATGGACTGTGAGTAGGTTGTGGTCTCCAGCTTTCTTACAACAATATCTCCATCTCCGAAATCCACGGTCACGTGCTCCAATATTACCTGTTTGGGAATGATAGTCATTCAGTGTGCTGTTCTGCGTGTATTTGCATTTGGGTCGGATTGACACGAGAAGAATAGAATCTCACAGACAAAGAAAATATAACATGAGAGCGTCAAGCGCAGACTTCCAGAATATGTTGCGATATGTTGCCTATAGTAGATGAGTCTATACTTCTGGAGACATTAGCGCAAAATTATGGGCTTGACGAGATTGCCAGAGTGACCACAGCAACGTCCGAGAACCAAAATTATCCCAGCTCCAGAAGCCTCAAAACCAGGCAGCACAGACGCCTCGCGGTCGATGATGAAAATTTGAGGTAGGAACAGATCCCGTGACCTGGCGCCGCTTTCGCGCCAGTCAATCGCGTCCACTTGTAACCATTCGCAACCTTGTCTGCCTGTAGACTTGTGTCACTGTGATTGTATCATGAAGTCTATTTGGTCTAACTTCCCGATTCTCGATTGGACACCGGGCTAAGATGTCGGGCACTCATAGCAAGGAGGACTTCTTTGTGTCTCTGGAGCAACTGGATGACTCGGATGACCAGGACGAGGAATACAATGAATGGGAGCGTCTATTGTATTCGACCAAATATAAGGCACCTGACAAGGTCGCGCCTACTCCAGTTGCAGAACGAATCTCGCTTTCTCGGGCACACTCGGACCCGCAACCTACTTCTAGGACTAATCAGTATAAAACGAGCACGTTGCCAGATGACTCGAAGCCTGCTCCTCTGATCCGGCATAAGACGACTGGAGCTATGCCTACCACCAAGAGTGGTGGTCCTCCCCAGAAGAAGAGAAGAACCAACAGCGCGAAGGTCATACCGGAGTGCCAGAAGATCTTCAAAGACCTAGTCTTTTGTGAGTATTTCGTGATATTCCCTCGGCCGACTCTCACTAACATATTGAGCTTAGTTTTCTTTCCCAACAACGATGTCTCCCCATTTCGACGGCTCCGGATACAACGAGCCCAAGAATACGGAGCCCAATGGAGTCGAGCATGGGAAAAGACCGTCACGCATGCGGTCGTTGACAATGACTTACTTTTGAACGATCTTCTGGGTTATATCAAGCTCGAGTCCTTGCCAGTCAGTCCACTTGTCAGACACTCTGGTTTCAGTGCTAACTAACTCGCAGGCGAGCGTGGTTCTGGTGAACGAATCCTACCCTTCGGATTGTATCCAGTTTCGGTCGCTGTTGAACCCTTCACAGCTCCGTTTCAGGGTCCACGGAGTCCCGAAACCCACCGGAGAAGAGAAGAAGGGAAAAGAAAAGGAGCAGCTACCCTTAGTGGTAGAGCCGTCCTCGCTCAATGACCTGCCGTTGAGGCCCTCACGACGGGAGCAAGCCCTGTGTCCGGAGTCTTCTCAGCCTTCAGTCGAGGAAGATTCACCAGCAGCGACAACTGAGCCTGCGGAAGAATTCGCTAGCGAAGAGGGGCATAGCAGAATCATCCGAGAGCGGGATGCCTTGGATGATATAATTGACCAGGCCAAGGCAACAAGTCATCTGGTAAACCATTTCATCCCTTTACTGGAAGCTCAAGCAACTGATCTTTATACCTAGCCCTTGGACCCGCTAGAGTCGCCGGACCATACTGCCACAACATCCGATGATGGAATCCCCAGTGGCTCAGAACCAGGCTCGGAAATACTGCCGCAGAAAGAGCTACAGCGAAAGGGCAAAGCTGATTGGACAAAGAACTTCTCATGCATGCAGAAGTATGATCCAGACGAGAAGCTGGACAATCCAAATAGCCGAACTATAGAAGTCCTGCAACAGATGCTGGACTACTATACCCAAACGGCAGATCATTGGCGGGTACTCGGCTACCGCAAGGCTATCATTGCGTTGCGAAAGCAAAGAAAAAGATTTCTACAAAAATACAGGCGCGGGCCCTCCCTGGCATTGGGGAGCGAATAGCCGACAAGATCGAAGAGATCGTCTTGACCAACCGTCTTCGTCGTTTGGAACATACAAATGATACCCCAGAAGACCGACTCATCCAAGAATTCCTCGGCGTCTATGGCGCCGGTCTCATTCAGGCCTCCAAATGGGTGGCGCAGGGCTATAAATCTTTAGCTGATTTGCTAGAAAAAGCCCCTTTGAGCAAGCAGCAACGCATCGGGGTAGAGCGTTACAATGACTTTGCACAGCGCATCCCTCGCAAGGAGGTGGAAGCCCATGGCGCGATTGTACGAAAGGCGGTGCAAATCGAAGACAGGGATATGCAGGTGATCATCTCAGGCTCTTACCGCCGCGGGGCAGCAACCTGCGGGGACATCGACTGCCTGATAACCAAGCCTGGTGCCACGTTGGACCAAATCCGCTCGATCATGCTTGGGCTTGTGGTTCCCAAGTTGTTCCGCAGCGGGTTTCTGCAGGCCAGCCTTACCCTCTCGTCGCATCAGGACGGGTCCAAATGGCATGGTGCCTCGACTATACCTGGCAGCAACTTGTGGCGTCGGATCGATCTGCTGTTTGTCCCTGATGCCGAGATAGGGGCGGCCTTGCTGTACTTCACTGGCAATGACATCTTCAACCGGAGCATGAGATTGTTGGCACGGAAGAAGGGCATGTGCTTGAACCAGAAGGGGCTCTTTACTAACATTCTTAGAACACAGCAGGTCAAGCTTAACGCGGGTCGATTGGTTGAGGCTCGAAACGAGCGCCGGATTTTTGCTGCTCTGGGTGTACCCTGGCGGCCTCCTGAGCACCGGATCTGTTGAGATTTGCTAGCAACTGGCCGATTGGAACAGGAAATCACTTATTAATTAGCAGGTAGCCTATTTCAGTCTAATACCAACACGGTCCTTATGTCTTCAGTGACCAGGGTTATTCACATTCATAAATCAGTTGGTTGATCAGTAGATGGCCACTCAACGACGGACAATGGCGAAATATATATGCGCACCAATGACGATACCAGCTGAGATTTCACTCAGATTTCGCTCAGATTCAACGTGTACAGATAGTCCGATGCAAAGCAATCTATCTCAAAAACTCATCTCATACTATCCAATACGAAAAATCAAGGAAAAGAAATAAAATAGCTGCATAGATGTACATAGAGTTTTTCGCATACATTCTGGAGAGACAAGTGTAGCAGTCACAGTGGCACAAGTGACTAAGACTTCCTCGCCTTCTTCCCCAACTTCATCACTTCCCATCAACATCAACCTCAAACTTGAGACTTCTCATAGTTCCAAGATTTGATACTCCTTGATCTTCATCACCGCCTTTCCGTGACCGCCCTGCAGCATCACCGCCTTTCGTGCGGTGAAGCCTCCATCGCGTGTCCCTCCCCTTGCGATTGCCAGACCGCCCTCTACTGCCCAGGTTTTGCCCGCACATCTTCGTTTGAATCATCTGGATTTTGTTATTGTTAGTCTCGAGTCTCCTCTTTGAGGCTTTGAGGCTACTTGTATTTCGAGGTTCACGGGGCCTCCCAGTCCCCAGTGACTGTGCACGTGTTTTTTTTGCACGATCCTCTTGCCACCCCTCTGTCTTCTGTTCAGTCCACACGCCCCAACTTGGTGGGATCCGCAGCTCTGTTACGACAAGACATTGATTACCGCTAATCGGTTGTTTACGATTGCTGATTATCTGATTGACACGTGAATCCTCCATAAAACACGTCCACAACGCCTTGCAAAATGGGTCGCAAACCCAACCAACTCATCCTCGAGTTCTTCCACCGGGGTCCCAAGTTGGAAGACGCGAGCAATCGCTACCAACACACATGCAAAGCCTGCGGGGAGATTTTTCCCAAGGGTCGCATTGACAGCCTCACCAACCATCTGGTAAAAAAATGCCAGGCCATCCCTCTTCGCGACCGCCAACGCGTGTTGTTGCGACTCCACGAACTCCCCGACCTCACCGACGTCGACTCGAACAAAGATTCGCCATCTGGAAACAAAGGAAAGTCGGGTGAAGGCGGATTTCCCAACCGACCTAATTTCGATGGTCTCAATGTGCTTGCGGAAGCGTCGCGACAAGTCGGCGCCTCGGATGTCTCCAAGCGTGGCCCCGGATACACCCAGTCTGTGACCGCTGGAGGAAAAACAGTCATTGTCGACCCTGCGCTGGAGGCAGAGGGCTTCCAGGGACAATCGCAAGGATCTGACAGCAAGATCGAAGGCACCGGAAATGCTGAAGGTTTGTTTCCGCCACCGTGCATCGTCGCGCGCCACAGTTTGCTAACATTTCTCAGGAACTCCTCAATCGTCCAACGCTCCTAGTATCCCTGCCCTTCCGAGCCACACCCCTGGCGAACACCCCGCATCCATGTCCCCGCCCCTGGGCGACGCCTCCATGTCGCCTGAGTCGACCTCCAATGCGCGACAGTCGCAACTGTCGATGATCGCGGCTTCTGCCAACGAGATGGTTCCTCAGGGACTGTCAATCGATGGTGATAACATTAGCTCTGATGGACTGAAGCTTGGCCAGTGGGGTGGACAGCTGTCAACACACGAGCAGCTTCTTTTCGACAGCTTGCATGAGCATGACCCATCTTTGACCGCTGCGACTCAGCGCGCTGCGTCTTATCCCCGCCCCATTGCTATGAACCCGAATACCCAGGCGAAGGGATTTGTGAATGAGTTTGGCAACTCGACTAAGCCCATGAAGCCCAAGGTGCGCGGCCGATTCACAGCCGAGCGACGTCGTGAGGTTCAGGATGTGCGGAAGAAGGGCGCTTGTCTTCGGTGCCGAATGCTGAAGAAACCTGTAAGAATTTGCGAATCCGTGGGATCGTGGAAAAGTGACTGACGTTGATAGTGTTCTGGCGATACCCCTTGCACCACTTGCGCTAGCGTGGAGAGTGCGCGCTTGTGGAAGCATCCGTGCTTGCGCACTCGCCTTTCCGACGAGTTCGAACTTTACAATGCCAGTAAGTTGTTAGTGTTTCCGTCTTGCAAATAGGAAACTGACAAGGACTTCAGACTTGAATTCAACACTTGCCTACCATGACACCAACAGCATCAAGAACCAGGTCAAGTTCGAGCACTACTCGGGCCGCATCGAGGTTACTCACTTTGAGGAGAGCAACTCCTTCATGACTTTCAGTGGATTGCAGGGTCATCGCGCTTCGGTGTCTGCTCTCGATCCCCAGCTGCAGGGCCTTGGTGATGATCAGTTCTCTAGCCCCGCTCAAGAAGTGTACCTCCTGGATGCCGACGCGGATGATATTCCCAGCAAGCTTGAGCTGTATATCAAGAAGAACGCACACCTTTTCTATGAGCGAGAGACCTCCTCTTTCATGAAGCCTACCCTGATGCTCGCTGCCGAGATTAACCAGCAGAAGAAGGTAAGTTACTTGACATTCGATGTGTGGACTTTTGCTGACATTGAACAGGACATCCTTCTGGAGCGTGTGCTGGAGCTTTGGGTTGCTACACACATCCTCGTTGACACTGAACTTACCTGGAAGACTTACTACAACCCCACTCTCCCTCCGAACTCATTGCACTCTCTTTCCCAGCCTTCGGACGAGGGTCGTCTGCCTATCGAGGAAGTCTCGGACCCCGAGTCCTACGGCCTTCTCTGCAGCCAGCTGCGTTCCGCCATGGAGAAGCGTGCCATGGCCTTGAGCAAGTTTGTCATCAACGATCTCGAGCGTCGCCTTCTTCAGCGCCAGAAGTGCGGATGGTTCGATACCTTCATTACTGCTATCATTCTTTTGAACTGTGTGGAGCGCACCTGCTGGCTATTCCGCTCATGGGACAACGAGAACTTCTCCGGCCGCGTAAGTTGTTACCATTACATCCCACTGCGTCCCTTACTAAAACACTTTCCAGTGGCCTCTGGACAAACGTCCTCCCTACTACTTCAACCAGTCCGACCGCTTCTCCGACATCCTGGAGATGCTTCTGCGCATGCGCCACATCCCTCCCAAGGCCACTTTCCGTCCCGACAACGGCATCCTGAAGGCCGTGGACGGTAGCGATGAGCACGCCGTCCGCTGGTTTGACATGATTCAGATTACCCGTAAGTCAAAACCTGATCTCATATACGCAATATTCATTACTGACTTCATTTCACAGCATACTACATCGAAGAGCGCAAGAACGCCGTCTTCGACCCATCTGACTCACGCTCCCTGGATTGCCACCACAGTGCCAACCTCCTCGAGCCCAACAACGCCACCTGATTCCTCAAAAAACAAAAACCAACTGTTTTGAGTCACACTATTTGCAAAGAGGGCTACCTGCTGGCGAATATCACCATTATGATATGATAGCGGCAGCAAAACACGCATGCAACGAATTTGTTCGAGTACTTTCCCCGTTTCCCAATGGACGCGGGCATCTTGTCTGATTTGCTTAACGGAGTTGAATTATCTTAGTAGGGGTAGAAATGGTTTCAAGCGAAGAAATGATCAAGGAGGATATCTTCTGTTGTTGTTAATGGTTCCCGGTTCTTTTTTCCTTTTTTTGTGGGTGTCTGTAGGTGTTGGGGGTTTGCGGTGCCGGATTTTGTTATTTGTAGCTGAGGCTTTTTATCACTAAGGATTTGTATCGATTAAAAATGCTTATTTTATTTATTTGATGCCCTTGCATTTGTAGTCTGTGAACAGTCGGCGATACTAGTATGTTCTACCCGGTATAAGTTAGTAGACAAGAAATAAGTAAGTGTAAGTTGCTTCCTTTCTAGTAGTACAAGAACCCATATCACTCCGGCGCAACATAATCATAACTTCCACTACCTCGCCATTTCAACGCCCCTGGTCCGACCGTCTGGGTAAAACAAGACCAACCCCATCTGCCTCAGTATAAGGAACCCAAACAAATTCCGGCTTCCCAAGTCCCTATCAAAATCCATACCATAGAATCCAAGACCAGCACAACTGGTAATCGTCAAATCCCTCGATCCAAAGATCTCAGCCGATAAACACTGATCTATAATCGTCCATGGAATCAACAAGCTGGTGTACTTCAGCAACATGCCGAGAATCAACACGAGTAGGGCGACTGCGATTGAGCGATGTCCTTGCATAGATTAGCGAGCAATTGGAGTAAATCTAAATCCCGCTCATGAGTCACGCTGAGGCCTTTGCCCTGCGTACTCGCCAGAGCGTACGAGACTATGTTTCTAAAGTATGAGTTATTCTCGACTGGGAATTCCTTGTTGATGCGTCGCCGACCATTGACCACTGTAACTAGTCGACTGCATTTTGTTTTTAGGGCTGGATCGCGGTGTAGCGCGCATGGGTGATTGCAGCCAGACAAGTGCGCAGACTAGAGTATTTGTCGTTGGAGTCGTGGACATGCAGTTTCCGAGGCAGTGTTTGATAGTGGAAATGGCGAACACTTTGGAAGTGCATATGGGAAACTCGGACGGGAGTGTTGGGGGTGTTCTGGGGTATTCAGGTTGTGAAGCGAAGAGACCCTCGAGCGATTGAGAAGATGCCGTTTGCAAATCAGAGGAGGAAGTGCATCTGTGAGTCGATTGACTCTACCTAGGGAACTCAGGACATGTCACAGAACGAAGAAGATCAAGTGTTTGCGACGTTAGGTCCATAGTCTCACGACCCCCGAGAAACCAGTTGCGTCGTCGACGCTGTGGTGCAAGCAGATGTTTACACCGATTCCTTGTCCGTCTCCGAATTGGAAGATGCTTATAGAAAAAATGGGGGCTCCTTTTTCTATTAGCTTGTGTTCGACCATGTTGGGTATTGGACGGAGAGTTGGATGGAAGATGGAGGCATACCGTTGGCAGATAGATCCATGTATGGCTTGTCTATGATGTCTTCGTCGATCAAAGTGGTCGTGGTGTTTGCGTTCCAACGCATTTCGCGAGATGGCCTGTTGTTTCCCAGGGTAGCTGGAAATACTCGGCCTGATATCAATAGAATCTGAGTTGCCAGCTTTCCCAGGCCTTGTCAGAGGGTGTTTTGGAGTGTCGTAGTTGATTCTGTTGTTCGGCATGTCAAAATCGCCGCGATATATACCTTTGACATGATCAAGTCCAGCGGCATTAGCCACTCGACATTCGAGAAATTGGTAATTGTTTGAATGAGTGTAAGTTACCGTTTGCCTTCTAGACCGAGGTCACATGCAGCCTCTCTCGATGACCATGTTTGACATGAGTTCTGCAGGATCTATGATAGAGGAATAGATATGACGGCACTAGCCATGTAAAAAAAAGAGTACGCTAGTCATGTCTGCACCAAACACATGATTAGTTCAACGCGTTGAATTGCGATCGATCGGAAGGTATATCAATACTAGCACGAATGATAAAATGTACAATACAAACGAAGACATAAAGAGAAAGAAATAAACCCAGTCTATCAAACCCCAAGTCCCAAAAGCAATCTCAAGGCGTACTTTGAATCATATTATCCGGCTGCAAACCCTGCACCGAAACCTGCTGCATCTGCTCCAAGACAACAGCATAAAACTTCCCTTCTTCAGAAGTATCGTGATAAGGCCCCGCAGAAAGAACAGCCCTGTAAATAATCAGTAACTTACACTAAGACCAACTACCAACTATCAAATAGTCAAGTCAAGGTGGAATGGAAAAAAAAGCACACATACCATCCTTTATACTTCGGTTGATTAAAAATCTCCGTGAAAACCCTCAGGATTCGCAACGGCAATTCCAAAATCGACGGCAACTCAGGCCCTTCCCCACAGATGGGCAAGCCCAGCTTGTTGACGGGCAGGTAGACCGTCTCGGCTGTGTTTTGCGGGTTGCGCGTCTCCTGGAAGATGAGAAGGCGGCGTGAGGTGGGCTGCGCCAGGGGTTGGGATGGGGGCATGTTTGATGCTTCTGCGCCTGTGCCTGGGGCGGCTTTTTGAGTGTAGAGGGATTTTAGGAGGGTTTTGCGAAGGTCAGGGGTTGGCCTTCTTTTTCTTGGAGATGAGTTCAGTTTGGCTGTGGTTTCTTTATTTTTTGGGGGTGTTTTGTTTTGCTGTTGCGGGGTGGGGACTGGGGACTCCAGAGATGTGGTTTTTCTTTTCTTTTCTTTTTTTTTTTTTTTTTGGCTAGGAACATTTAATATCACATTTTAGATGTTGTTATCGTGTTTACTGGACTTACTATGTATTATTTGCGTGGTGGGAGTGGACAAGCTGTGGTTTGGGATCTGCAGGCGCGGGGCAGAAAGGGGGAATGAGGATGGAGGGACAAAACACGAGATAGAAGTAGATACAAGTAGAGATGAGTAGGGTAGAAGTTGGGTAGAAGGAAGATATTAAGTCTGGCTAACTATGACAGGGATAAGTAAAACATATACTATTGTTTATGTTTGGTAAACAATGGCTTAATGACCTCCAAGGTTAGCTCTACAGGAATGCAAAGCATATATACTCCCCGTATCAACAATCAGTTATATTATTCGGCCTCTGATAGGTACATTAGCCTAAATGCATATAAGGACAAGAAAAGATAAAAGAAAAGATAGTAAACCTCAAAAACACTGGGTATCACAATAGTTCAAACAAAGAAATTCTAGACAGCTGCAAAAGAAAGTGAATCTCGCCCCGCGATAAATCGTGGTATCGTTCGCAATGCAGAGATGGGATAATAAATGTAATAAATGAAAACAGACAAAGAGATTAAGCATTAAGCATCGAGCTCTCCTCCAACACTCTCCGCGCCGCATCCAGCCGGCGCCGTAATACACGCGCGGCCGTGTGATCCGGGTCCGGAGAGGTCGTGATGGCCTGCAGATCCATGCAGACCTTGCCCAGACTGGCGAAGAGCGTTTCCAGCATCTGCGTGTCATCGTCGTTGATACCACCGGCGACGGGCGTGCTGGATGCCGCGCGCACAGTCGAGACGAGGGATGAGACGAGCGAGGTTGGGGTTGCGGAGCCGGCGGTGGATGATGACCGGCCGGTCTGTTTCTGCGGTGAGAAATTCTCATCGACGGGGGTGAGACTGGTGTTGCCGTTGGCGTCTCGAGATCCGTGGGGTGTTTCTGATCGATCGGATTCTTGAGCTTCTTGGATTGGACTGGGGCCGTGGTGAGAATGAGAGTGAGTGTGGACATGTCCGTGTCGAAGTTCTGTCCAGGAATTAGTCTCGATGTCTCCATTAGAGGGTTGTGGGAACGGACCGTGATTGAATCGTCGGTCCCAATACATCACGCTGTCAACGTCGTCTTCCTCGTCTGGGCGCGCTTCTGCTGCCGTTGCGAAGGTCGCCACCGTTGAGTCCGACATGGCGCTGTTTGTGCGCGAATGTTTCGCGGTATATGTTGGGCGGGTTGTTTCAACGGAGCCATTCGAGCTGGTACTCGCACGGCGGAGTGGTCGCGCGAAATTGCCTAGCGCACTGTGCAGGATGAAATGCTCATAGTCGAAAGCATCCTCGCGCATCTCGTGAGGCGTTGTGTCCGTGTGGATGGGTCCCTCCAGGTCATCGTCAAGCGGCTCACGGAGAATCTCATCCAGAGCTTCACGGTCAATGTCATCGTCATAGTCGCCCTCTTCAGCGTCTTCATACATGCTTTCGGCGACAGATTGGTTGTCGTCGTATTCAGGCCCATTGTTTTGCCAGTTGCCGGCATCTTTAGATGTACTCTCTGCAGCATACTCCACGGGACTATCCCCAGAAGCACGCCGATCGTTCGGCAAACCACCGTTCGAAACATGCCGGGCATATTCAGAGCTCGTATCCCGTCTGGCATCGGAGCCACGGCTGCTACGGCCATCTTTGAGTTCCAGCGCGTTGGCATACCAGTGATCAGCGGCCGTCAGAGGACTCGGCGTACGCAAACTTTGCAGACTGCGCCTGCGAAGATTATCCTCCTGAGTCTTCACCTTCAGTGAAGAGATCTTGATATGCAGACCCTTCATCTGATATTGAAGATCACGTACTTGCAACTGCGACTGCGCGCGACTAGGTGGCCCATACGAGCTGTAGACAGGACTGAACCTCTCCGGACTAGATTTCGATCCCTCATCCGAGATCCCCAAGCCCTGCGGTGAACCCGCCGAGCTGTGTCCCTCAGAAATAGGTGACGGCGTTGCCTCCGGCTCGGCTGGCTGCTCTTTGATTTGCACAGGAGGCCTGATAGAAGATATGGACGCCCGGTGCGTGAGATACGCCCTCGTAGGCTCGTATTGGAACGACCGATCATCCGTATGAAGATTGGACGAAGTGCTCGCGCCCATGGCACTAACCGAGCGCGAGAGTCCCTTCTTATCATTCGACATACTCGACTCGGACGGGATATTCGTCTCAGAATGAACCCTCGAGTGTCGATTACTCGTAGAATCCTGCGACGAAATGAGCGACTGCCGGCGCAGCGAAGAGTTCTTGGGATCGGTGCGGGAGATCGATCGATACAGTCCGCCGACGGGGTGGTGCATGCCCATCGGCTGGACGTTTCCCGGCGCAGAGGGCGACGGCGACGGCGTCATACGCGTAGTCGAGCGAGCGCGGGTCAGATTGCCTTCCATGAGCTATAAAACGAAACATATTAGCATTCTCCTCAAGAATGAGACCAATCGCAAGCGCAAGAAGCCCACATACATTCAAGCGTTTCTTCGCATTCTCCAGAATCCTCTCCGCCTCACTACTCAATATTGCCGACGAAAACTCCTCCCCGGGCCCTTTTCCCTCCGCAGCAGCAGACGCAACCGAGTTGCTTGCCGCCAGAGAAGGACTAGCGCCCACTAGACTCGCCTGCGCTTTCACGACCTCAGCCTGAGCAGCCGCCACATCACGATCGATCTGCGGTGACCTAGCCTCCGAAGCGCGCCTGCTCCCCGCGCTCACCGTCGAGCTGGAACTCGACTCGGCCTCGTACTGGCTAGATGGGGAACTCGACTCCTGTGCGCCGCCAGACTCATCGAAATTATCCGACCTCGAAGGGGATAATTCCTCACCGATATCCGACAACCGACGACTCACATTCACATCCTCGTGTGTCCAGGCCGAGCGGGAAAAGTTTTTCTTCTGTCGAGAGCCGACGGCCATGGGGGCATTGGGGTCGTGGGGGCGGGAGTTGAGATGCGACAGGTAGGCGATTTGCGGTGGAGATGGCGTTTGGGATTCGCGTTCGCCACCGTATGGTAGGATCATGTCCGGGTCGGGCAGCGTGAGGGAGGGCATCGGCTCTCTTTCTCTCAGGCCCTGGGGCCTGGTGAATTCGCAAATAGAGATGGAAATGGAGGGAAAGAAGAAGTGCAGACGATTGAAGCCAAGCGAACCAAGTCACCCTGAGCTCCCCCTAGGCTTGGTCTAGCGCCCTGATCATTTCCTCTTTTGGAGTTGAGGTTTTTGAAGATATTCGCACATTTCTATTGCCATTACATTAGGCTTCCACTATTATTTACAGTTGTCAATAGTGCTGTGTCACTCTGTGACAGGTCGTCCATGCTTTCTCTATACTTGTACATCGAGGCCACCCATATGTTTCATAGTTATCACAATATCAATTTCCTTCTCTGATTGGGATTGTCTCACGCCAATGACCCTTCGAGTATAGCCCGCCAAGCCTAGACGTTTAATTAGTTTGAGTCGAGGGATGATCCCGATGACGCATCTACTGTAGTCTGTAAGGACTGCGCAAGCATATAAGTTAAGCTAAGTTATTTATTACTATCTATATGTTACCTACATTCTACAGCTTCATCTCTGTACATGCAAGTTTTGAAAAGTAAACAAAGCAAACGCCGGACGAACCCCTGAGATCGGCGATCCATGGATGAAAAGTCCACTGTGGAGAATGTAATTTCAGTTTCGGACTTAAAATTGGGCGAATCTAAGAACTTGTATACACGGCTCTCTGAACGTGTCCGGCTTTGCAAGGTCGCGTGGGCCTAGGCTGAGTAATTCTAGTAGATTCATAGACTAATTCATATTAATCCTGTCCATACCACCTCTTCGTACGCGACGTTAGACTTGGATTTAAGCTTTTTAGCGTCGACAACTATTCTAGCTGCATATACTCAACCCATACTAGACACCTCTAGACTCACCAGACATTCTTGGTAACATCGCTATTTCCTCGAAGCTCAACCACAGGCCTTTCTATAAGCTGGGAATGCAAAGTCCGAATTCTACAACGTCGCAGGAGCTTTCTGGAACCACATCGCAAGGCGCTCTGAGGGTTGGCATTGTCCTATTGTCCTTTCTACCATAATGTTAAACGCTTCGATGGTGGTGGATATAGCCTCGCCAGAAATCGACAGATTAATCGGAGAGTGCGAGCACGTTGTGCCGATTCCCTGTGCTGTCTTGGGCTTTTTCCAAGCATCCATCTGGGAATACCCACCAGAAGGACAGGCAATTTTCCCTTGAAACCAACAACCTTGAATGCGGTCTGACCTCAATGCATCTTGAATCACATTGGACTTGGTGACATAGCTAAGGCCAGTTCCCGTGATTTGAAACACAATTATGCCAGGGGGTGGGAATATGCAGAAAGGCTATGAGATGGCTCAGCAACGCCTGAAAGATCATCCAAGTCATTGACCACGCGCGTTTGATTCCAGTCAAACGAGGTAATTCCGAGTTTGGGACCTGAGTTGACATGCGTATGAATAGATAACCTAATACAGCTGGGGAAAAACAATCCACCAACTTGGAGTAAGACTGTTACGCAGGAACATCTCAGAGGATATTTTCCCAGCGGTCTACTTCCTCTGAGACCGTGAAATAGATCACGAGCGAGGATGTGATGCGAGTTCCTCCAGCTTGAACCGTGAAAGACCGCGGTATAAAGACAGTGTTGTTGGGTATTGAGTTTTATAAGAGACCTCAAGGTGCGTCTGTCGCGTTGGTAAGATAATGTCATTGCTTGTCGACAAAATTCAGTCTTGGTCAGAATTATTGTATTGAGGTAGTGATTGAGCGCCGGTATTTGGATTTGACGTGCCCGCTCTTCTCCACATCTTGAGGTGTTGAGCTGAAAATATCTTCCAAGGATTGAAATGTTATCTGATGCTTCTGACCTCCACTATCCCAATCATTTTGTTGAGTTTATGCAAGTGCTTTGCATATTCGTCTACGCGGTCATCGTCCACCCCAACTACGCAGTCACCACGGAGACAAGAAAGACTAACGAGAGGGACATAGACCTGACCCCGGCATACTAATGAATAACTAGGTTGTTTAATATTGAAGCAGGATACCAATGGCAGAGATATCATCAAAATATGCTTTTTGTAGACGTAAATTACACAGGCTATAATATGGAATCACAATCAAATCTTCTCAAGCAGCAGCTTAGCACCGCTGCTAGTAGGACTAGGCTTCTTCTTCCCATCCTTATCCTCCTTCCCAGACGCCGAGGCCTGCTCCAGCGCCTTCTTGTTCTTCTTCAAAGTCTTAAGGAGCTCAGCCTTCTTCTTGAAGTCGTCCGACTCAGCCAGAGCGACAATAACGAAGGGGTTGGCACCAGTCGCCCAGTCCATTACTTCCTCCTTGATCTGGTCGTACAGGAGACCGTGGAAGTTCAGTGCGGGCTCGACCTTCTCCACGGACTTGGTGGCTGGGTTGAAGCGGCCACCCTGGACGAGCGACTTGAGAAGACGGCCGGCGTGGGCCGTATCCCGGGCTTCGGTGTGCGACTTGGCGGCGGCGGCGACGGCCTCGAGAGCGGCGGTCTTGTCACCGTCGGCTTCAAAAAGGACTTCGGATAGGAATTGGCAGCCGAAGGTTGTCTCTAGGAGGGTCTCTGCGCGGGCGGCGATGAACTCGAGGAGGGTGGGCGAGGCGGCCTTGATGAGTTCCTCGCGACGGACGGCGGGGTCCTTCTTGGAGGTTTCTTTGCGGACTTCGCGGACTTCCTCGAGGACCTTTTGGGTGACTTCTGGTAGGAGCCACTTAACGCGGTCGCCGGCGAAGGGGTAGAGGACGGGGATACGGGCTGTCAGGTCGTTGACCTGGAAGCAGAGTTCTTCGTTGCGGGCCTCGGCTCCCTCATTTTGGTTCAGGAGTTCGGGGAAGAATGACTTGGCGCTGAGCTTTGTGTCGTCAATGACCTCGTACGCGGCCAGGATCACCTGGTGGCCGTTCAGGTCTCCGGCCATGACCTTGACGGTGTCACGGTAGAATCGGAGGAGGAGCTTGCGGTCCTTGGCGTTGGCGTATGCGAAGGTCAGGCACATCACACGCGAGCCGGAGGTGGTGAAGGCCAAGTTCTTGACCAGGTCACCCTCTTCGTCGCTCTTGAGGAGTTCGATGAATTCGTTGGCTTCGTTGCTACCGGGCTTTGTGCTGAGGAAGTATTGCAGCATGGCGTCGTGAAGCATGGTGAAACCGGTGCTCTTCTTCTGCACCAGGTGGTTGATGAGCTCGCGCAGGTAGTTCATAATAGGTCCACGCTTCTCGGGGTTGGCTTCGAGGATCTTAGGGAGATCGGAAGTGGTGTCATTCTCATCCTGGAAGATCACAAACTCAGGTCCGTACCACTCGCGGAGAAGTCTGTCCTTCTGTGCCTTGGTAGCAACTGTGCGGTAGATATCATCGAGAATCCATGAACCTTCGGGATGACGGATAAGACGCTTAACGTGGCCGTAGAACTCTGGGATGATCAAATCGCGGGTCTCGTTGTCGCCGTGGACAATCAACTTTCCGACCAAGAACTTGGCGTATCGGCTCTGAGCCAGTTCCTTGTAGCTACCCTTCAACTCATGCGCAATCTGCTTGCGCTGCTCAAGGTTTCCGTACTTGAGAGCGGTCTGAATGACACGAACGGAGTCGTGCTTGAACACGAAGTCGCGGACGCGGTTGGTGATGATCTCGAAAAGCTCCTTGATAAGCTTCTTTCTCTGCTCCAGCGGCACGTGGGACTTGCGACGCAACTGCTCCCACAACTTCATGGAGCGGGCGATAGTATCGGCGTTGGGCTTGGCGGCCTTGCGCTCCTGCTGGAGCGCTTTTTGCTTGGCGTGGGATTCGCGAGAGGCATTGCCTGAAGAGAAGAGCGATTAGCCATAGTACCGTGGAAAAGATAGGATGACGACTTACTGTTGGGGTTCTTTTGAGGCGCATCCTTCTGCTCTCCCTCCTTGTCGGACTTGGAGGGCTTCTCTTCCTCCTCATCGCTCACATCATCCATCTCAACATCCTCCTCGGAGATAGCATCAAGGGCGTCGAGGTCTTCGTCGGAAACGTCGTCGATGTCGAAGTCGTCCTCAGACTCGGACTCCTCCTTCTGGACCGTCTTCGAGGGCTTCTTCTTGTCGCTCTTGCTGGACTTGGACTCCTTCTTCGAGTCCTTCTTGGATCCGGAGCTGGACTTCTTCACGGGCGCAGTGGACTTGGACTTCGATGCGGAGACTTCCTTGGTCTTGCTCCGCTTGCCATTGCGCTCCTCGCTGCCGTCGACGGCACGCTTCACTCCAGCCATTATGAAAGATAATTTCAGTAGGCTTATAGTGTCTCCGAGTGAAATAAAAAGGAATAGGGTCTTTCGAGCGGAGACTGCTCGATGTGCTGGTGGATAATTTTTTTTGGAGGCGGAGGAAGTTTTTTTGCCGGATGTTTGCAGAGTTTGCACTGATAAGGTTGATAGCATCGTTCAATAACTTCACTTTTGAGACGTTTTACTTAAGTTAACTTATAGTAACCTTTTCATGTAGAGTATCTCTATTAATCTCAGTTCTATGCTCTGACATGATCTTGAAAAGGATACTGTCGAACATGTGTCCAAGTCGCAACTCGAATAAGCAGATAAAACAGATGCACAAAATGCGAATAAGTAACACGAGTCTTCCAGACTCTCCTAGGACGAGGCCGACGCTATTGACGTTGGCCAAGTCCTATATAAACCAGCCAAACGAGTGTGGCTTCACCCAACCAAACCCAGAACGCCGTGGGGGATCTCTTTAGATAGATCGCAACGCATAAAACAGAAATCATCAGTCATGACCACTCATTTGGCCTCTTCAGCCACAGAGATGGCTGCGGGAGCCTTCATAGAGCCTAGCTCAGACCCGCCACCACTCTGGCCGCGCTTCCTGCCTGGAATGTGAAACCCGAAGGTCGATGTCCCAGACTTGTTGCCCATGGATTGCTGAGCATCGCCCGAGTCGCCAAATCTGGCGAGAAATCCTTTCTTCTTAGGCTTCGCTTCGTCATTCAAGCCCACCTCCTCGAAGGCTTCTTCCTCCATGGTGTCAGGCTTGGTGAAGCTGTTGGAAGGCGCACCCGACGATGAGTTTAACCGAGAGAAGCGAGAATCAAGCGATGTCCGAGAAGGCCCAGCGTCGGGGTGGTTGATGGGAGAGCGGGCAGAGATGTCCTAAAGGTTCAGCAATGGCGATGCGAGATTTCCATCTGCGGGGACATACGAAAGATCGGCGGTAGGAGTCGAAGGACTCGCGGGATATAGAGAATGGCTCATTCTCGTCCACTAGGTCTCGATGGTTGGACGATTTGGTGGAGCCAGGGTATCGGCGCCAGAAACTCGGTCTCTCGGGGGGAGAAGGCTGTTGCAGTTAGAGATCGTCCCGCGCATGAGGGGATCAGCCATACTGGAAGATACACGCCGCCGTCATTGACCACTGCAGAGATAATTGTAAGTATTAGATTTGTCTGATTGCATCTCTGCGACAACAGTCGAGGAGGCCATACCACTCAATTTATACTCGGTGGGTTCCCCATCCTGGCTGTTGCGGATCGGTATCGGCGCGGGGGGATTCGGAGAGAGATGGTTCTCATCTAAGCCAGCATGTTCACTGGGCTGAGACTTCCGACCGAGGAAATTGCGAAATGGAGGCATCTTGGCGAGGGAGAGAATGTCGAACTCGACAAAGTCTGGAGTCTGGAGATGGAGGGGATTAAACCCCAGAGTCCCAGAACAGAAAAGTTCGACGTCATCCAAGGAATGGGGCGACCATTTCTTGGCAAATTGGAACTGCAACAGCCAATTACTTCACTTTCCGAGCAAATGTATACTTTACATTGCCCTGATCCAGTTCCTGGCTTTATAGTCTAATTGGTGCTACTTCCTATGTTAACTCTGTCCTCGTATTTGCAGCCATGGCTACTATCCGAGGGTTCCGAGGTATAGATCAACATACAACAGGGTCGTAAAAGTGTATACAGTGCTATGAAGTATGAAAGCCTCGCGAGTACCGTTTCATGCATTGTCTTTGCGCTACTTTAGCCTCATATTGTTCACCTATCTTCGAGTACCTCCGGTTAATCATGTAGACTGTATAAAGGTGGGGGGTGTGAAAGCACTTCTGGTATGACTGACTGTAGTTCACCTTGCCCTAAGTACTCGTTTCCTTGGATTCAACCCGACTTTACAACCTTCATATATGACATATATCACACGAACTATGAGTCAAAATCTAATATCATCTCTCTCTTTCTCTGTCATCCTCGCAAAGAAAGTCCAGGCATCAAGTTCGCATCTCAAAAAGTACTATTTCATCGGAAAACACACCAACTTCATCAAACCAAAAGCTACATCGCACCCTGTGAGACTTTTGTCAAAAGTAAGTACAATGGGATCGGCTACCACCGTTCCGTTGAAGTGGTTCTCTAAATAAATTTCCAGACCTGAACCTATACATCGCCACTCAACATCAACTCCATCATGTCACACCTGCAACAGGAGTCAGACGCTGGACACGAGCTACCAGTATATGAACATCCGCCAGTGTACGATGATTTATCTGCATCCGATGAGCTATCAACCTCCGAAGAGCTGTCAGTTTCCGTAGAGCTGTCGGTATCTGAAGAGCTGCCGGTATCTGAAGACTCGGCAGTAACCCAAGAGCTGCCGGCATCCGAAGAGGCAGTACCAAAACCGCCCCCTGTTTGGTTGTTAAGGTTGCTGTATCTTAGCTGTATCTTGGCCGTGATCTGTGTTTGCTCTACGATTTTCGCGGCCATCATGGCCGTGTTTCCTATTATCATGGAAGCTCTAAAGAATATCTTCTCTGAGACAAATACCTGCAATGGCTATACCGCTACTGAATGGTATCGTTCTGGTTATGCTGCTGGTTATGTAGACGCTCTCGCCAGTGCTTCAAATACCAAGAATGCCACCATTGAGAGCCGTGATCTAACCGACATTCTAACCATAGTAGACATCCCAAGCCTCTCCACGACGGACGTCATTTTCGAAGGAAGCAACACGGCCGAGAACGAGCTTCACACCCAGGAACAGGGAGAAGAGGAGACTCCCATGCCAACTACCGTGGAGATCCCAGATATCCCAACCAAAGACAGCCTTCTCGAAGAACGCAACACGTCCGAAAAAGAACTTCAATTCGAGGGACTTGAAGACATAACAACCCAAGAAAAGAAAGAGGAGAGTCTCCCACCGCCATATGCAAGAGTCTGTGAAATAAACACAGAATGTCCCCCGGGATATAAATGCCTCGACGCGTCATGTGTACGTGGCTGCGACAGTACCGAGGACTGCCCGGACAGATATCATTGCAAATACGGACGATATGGATACCGGTGCTTTGAGAAGACAGGTCGGCACCGGGAATGTATGGAGCATGGGCATTTTTGTCGTCGGCATTCACAGTGCTGTACTGGGTACTGTGGAAGAAGGTCTAAGGGGGAGATTTCCTTTGTTCGCCAAACCCTGGGGGGATGGATGGACATGCTGAAGGGGTGGAAGAGTAGTGGTCTATGTGTGACCTTGCTGTGAGTAGTATTGGAAAAGAGTTATGAGGAGAGCTATATGTTTACCTTTGCTTTGTATAGATTCTATTGCTTTTTTTTCATACTTGTGATCTCGTTTCGTGTGAATTCATGAATATTGTTGCTGCAATATGATATGTTGTGCTGTATACTTCAGCGCATCTTCCCTAGGTCTACATTCTCCTACAACGCACTCCTCTGCTTCCTATTAACCCTCCCAGCTTGGAAACATTCCGGCAATCCCGTCGCCTCCCACCCCTTCCCCGACATCAACATCACCAAACCGGGAGCACAAGTGAAAATAGTCGCCATCCCTAACCAGATTAGCCCCGACACCAAAACAACAATCCAATTAACTTACCATGTCCATTAAACCCAGCACAAATCCACTGCCCCTCCAGCCCCCCAACAGGCCCAACCAAAGGCGCATTATCAGGCGTGATCCCCTGGATCCCCGTCCAAGCGTAATCAAAGCCCTCCCCAAGCCTCAACGGATCATTCCCAGGCCCAGAAGCCAGATTCTCAAATTCAAGCTGACTATTCTTGACCAGCGAGCTGTTAAAACACCTATCATCGAATGTAGGCAGCGCCTTCCAATTCTCCGTCTCGGGATCCGATCCATCTCTCGTCCCTGTACCACCAAAGTTAATCGTCCCATCACGCAGCGGATTCACAGAGAAGAAATGATTAGCGCTATATCGAAGTGCCATTGTATTTTTCAGCGTCTCTGCACCGGACAGTGACGGGCACGGGACGAACGAGTTAACTTGCGAGCGACGTGGTGTGATGAAGTTTGCTAGATTGGGTAGGAGGAATGAGGCGTATGCATTCGTGCAGTGGACGACTGTCTCGGCTGCGACTGTGCCGCGCGGTGTATGGATATCCCATTTTGCGCTTGCACTTGCACCCGCAGTGGTCGCGTCTCTAGTTGCATGTTTCGTGACCTTTGTGGCTGGACAATGTGTCCAAAGCCTGCCGCCCTTCGCGATGAAATCAGTCAAGATCCATTGGACTAGCTTGACTGGGTTGTTGGATGCTGCTGGCCATTCGTATGCGCTGATAGCGTTGGGGACACGGGTTTTGGTTTTTGCTTCGTCGCCTTCGTGCACTTGGACTTCTGAGACATCGCCGCCAGCAGCCTTGTACGCTAATAATGCTTTGGCAGTGTAGTCTGCAGCTTCCTGGGTGAGGCAGGTCTCGAATGTTGTTGTATCGGTGAAGTCCGAGTTGATTCTATGGTCTGTGACGAACTTGCGGATGCTTTTCAGCACGATCTGCTCGTTTTCGAGGATCTTCTTGGCTTGTTCTGGCCCATGCAAGGAGGAGTAGTGGAGGAAGCCTCGAAATGCATCTGCCGCGATGTGAGATTATGTTTGAAGGATATGGAAAACACCATGGCAGTTACTAACCTGGCCGAATATGTCCAGCATTTCTTCCACTGGCGCCGGAAACAGCTTCTCGAGCCTCGAGGATCAGAATGTCTTCGCCCTTAGCACCGTCCTCGATGAGCTTCCAAGCTGTTAAGGCTCCTGAAATACCAGAGCCGATTATAACGTATTTCGCAGAAGTTGGAACATCTTCTTGGCGATTGGCATTCAGGTGAGTGAATGAACGTGTCCCCCGGTGCCAGAGCGAGAGGCATGCAGATGAGAATGGCAGTGACGGCTCCATTGTGCGTATCAAATGAGATCGCAGTGTTCAAGAAAAAGCTTGAGTTTTGTTGGTGCTCCAAAAAAAGTTGCCGGGGCTTTTCACAACTAATTGTTGACAGGGGTCGTAACCTGCGATTTAAAAAACCCCGAGCGATGTCAGAAACGCTGAGTACGTGGCTGAGTATGTGGTCAATTCCTCCAACAAGTTTAAAGGGAGATAATGTGGTATAAATCAAGCTACCCGCGCCGAAAGCTTCGAGACTTACCGAGCCCGGCATACGATTTGTATGTTGATTGGGGCGGTATACTCCGCCAGCTCTCCACTTCGAGGGGTAGATATGGTGTGCTGCATATGAACTATGTAGATAACGCCATTATAGTGTGGATTATTCTCGGCGAGAATTTGGCCTTTTAGAAACCTGCTCCCTTTAGAAATGCAGATATGTGGGATAGTTCTTATGTTTTCTCCTTTTGTGCACCATTGAGTATAAAGTCTGCCCAGTCCCGGAGGTCTTGTACTCTTGCTCATTGACATTTTGAGGTGCTTCCACCAGTCCTGGATGCCGTGTCGACGTGTATTGCAGGATTATCATGCGGAGATATTCATTGTTCATGAAATATAACCATTTCCGTCTTTCGGACGACCTATATTGAGGCCAATCCTTCAGCAGTGGTACCGTTCTGCAAATTGGCCGATACGATGAGCTTGGCAGCAAGGACATACAGTATCTGAATGACTTCGGATATTTCTTAAGTCACACTGGGCATCCCTGACAGCCCCAATGTGAGTGGAGCCGGGGGCCAGGGGCCCGCTCAAGGGTCCGATCACTTTGTGTGGATAATTTTGTGAAATTATATCCACAACAAATATTTGATTGGCGAGAGACCAAACATTGAAAGCCACAGAAAATTATGACGCTGATAGATATGAATAGGCAAAGGAACTTGGCCAATATATGAAGGCAAACAGTCTGCACAATGTACGGGCAGCCCGAAGACACGGTGATGTTTATGATGCGCGCAGTCTCGATTCAAATGTCACACCTCGTGACTCTGCAGATTATCTCTTTGAATAATTTCGACGACATCTTTTATGCAGGATCGAATTGGAAACCTAGCTCGAGCATAAATGCAGTATAAAGAAGGAAACGTCCCCACCAAAACACGGGTTTCAAGAGGCTTAGCCGCTGGCCCCCAGTTCGGCCCCATTCATCTCAACTTATCTGATTCCTCATTGGCAAAACAAATTACAAGTAAATGATTAGCGCAGTCTCGTGCCACCACGACCTCGCCCAAAATATTTTCCCTCAGATTTCTCCTTCCTTCGGCTCCCGTACCTCTGTATCGCGAAATCTTTTGGCAGGTGACCCATCGCAATGACCACAGACAGCGTCCAGGGATATGCGCTTCGCCGAAACAATACCTGTGGTAATAGCGAAGTGACCTGCACTGAGAATGCGACATGGGATAATTGGCAGGCCTGCTGCCCCCAAAATTCATTTTGTTTCGACTCGAAGGCCAGCCAAGCCAACTTTATATGCTGCGAAAGTCACTTGAACTGCACTGCAAAAATTGCGACCGCCCCCACGTGTGCAGATAAAAGCTGGAATTTGTTCAATTCGACCGGGTATTTCTGTTGCGAGGAAGGTCAAGACGCATTTAATGTCGACAAAACTGTTTGGGTTGGGTGTGCAGATCCCGGCTTTGCTGGCGGAAGTGAATACATATCACTGGAGACTAGTTCTGTTGGTTAGTTGGTATACTCGCCGAGGTGACTGATCAGCTGCTAAATATGCTTTATAGGTACCCCTGTCGCATCCTCGATTGCAACCTCCTCGCCCTCCTCAACTTCAACATCCTCAACATTCTCAACAACACCATCATCGGATACCGGTTCTAGCAACCCCGATAACTCGTCGCATACAAACACAGGAGCTATCGCTGGTGGCGTGGTCGGCGGTGTTGTTGGCGTCGCGGCAATTGCTGCTCTTCTGTTCTTTTTACTTCGGTCTCGAAAGCGACAACAGTTCCAGCAACAGACGCAGTATCAAGATCCACCGCCCGCATTTTCAGAGGACGTTCACCCTGGAAAGGGCATGCATGCCAGAGAGCTAGATGGCCAGGCACGACTGGCAGAGCTGAATGCAGGCGATACTGCAGTTCACCAGCGTCATGAGCTACCGGCATATCGTTGAGCTTTTTTTCATCTCATGCATCATGCGAGAAAACTTCTGTCTTATTATAATGCCTTCCATCTAATTCTTATATGGTACACTTATAATTGCACTTTGAGAAGGCTGAATAAACGCTTAGTCCCGATTTATAGATCTTGATGGCATTAAAACTTGAGAAAAAGGTGGTCCGTTCTGAAATGAAGCAGTAGTTAGGAAGCAGGAGGGAGAGGGTGATATTTGACTGACATAGCCGTCTATCCAAGCTCCACCAGTAATAACGATTTATACCCTTAAGCATCATTGAATTGCGATGGAAAAGGATCTCGGTTGAAGTATGAATCTAACATGATTTTCGGATCTACAGTGTACCTAGATTGGTGTTCTTTCATTCCAATATGACGTGATTCTATGTCGCTTAGTGGATACTGTATGGACGTACCTCATTCGATCATCAACACTATACCGTTGGCGTATCTTCAATCCATTGATTAAACTAAATATTCAAGTCTACGTGGTCACGTGGCCATAAGCACTAAATCCTCCGGGGCGCAACTCCTGTTCATACCCTTGTCTGATCCAAAACAATTACCAAGCACGACTGGTAGATTTGAAATCTGAGATACGACATTATAAATATACTTACAAATTCCTTCCAGCTAATAGTGGCCCTTACTTAAAGGGTGTGCCCTGTTTCCACTGAAAGACAGAGCTAATAGCTTTGCTTACTGCCTCATTTGCGAGTTTCATAATGGAATCCACGATCGTCCTTGTCACTGGTGCCAATCGCGGAATTGGAAAAGGAATACTCGAGCTATATCTCAAAAAGCCCAACCACACTGTTATCGCTGCGCTTCGGGACCCAAGTCATTCGTCTTCCAAGGCTTTAGCCGACCTTCCCAAGGCAGAGGGCACATCTCTGCTGACGGTCAAGATCGATGCAACATCCCGGACCGACTTTGCTGCTGCTGTGGAAGAGCTGGCCGGCAAAGGCATTGACCATATTGATATCATTGTTGCCAATGCTGGCATTTCCCTCTCGTGGCCCGCGGTATCCGAGGTGAAGATTGAGGATATTCAGAAGCATGTCGAAGTCAATATTTACGGTTTTGTGTCACTTTACCAAGCTTTTAGAGCTCTTCTGAAGGGGGCTAAGCACCCTAAATGGGTGACTATTGGATCCAGCTCTGCATTGTTGACGGTAAGTATTTGTTCTCAGTGACGAGGGAAATGTTAACTGACTTATTAATTTAGTATGTAGAAGAACTTTCCATTTGGAGTTTGTATCGACTAGGACTGGACATACGTATTAACTGTCGCGTTTCATAGGGACTTCATTCCTATGCGGAATGCCTCCTACGCCCCGACCAAAGCCGTTCAGCATTGGTACACGAAGGCAATTTCTGCTGAAGATCCCTGGTTAAACGCGTTCGTCATTGACCCTGGGTGAGTCTAATTCGATTCAATAGTTTTGTGTTCTTTCCCTGTGTTCTCCCCGTTCATTACCACCCACAAGGATGATAGCTAAGACGGTTGGAACAATATAGTTGGGTTCAGACAGACATTGGTAACCGCGGTGCCGAGACTTTCGGATTTGAAAAGGCTGCCATTACTGTGGAAGAGAGTGCTAGTGGAGTGGTCAATGTGATTGATGTCTCTACTTTGGAGACTCATAGCGGAAAGCCGTTCAAATACGACGGCAGTGAAGAAGCATGGTAGGGTTAGAATATTACTCGGGATTTTCAATTACGAGGCTATCTATATAGAGTAGACTTTCCCATTATAATATTGGCAAGTCATTTGCTTAAACCACAAATATATCTTGCAGATTACACACCGCTTCGTTCTAAAATAGGAGGAAGATACAATCTGACAGATCTATCGACGGACAGATAAAGAGACATGAAACCTTTAAAATGCGTGTGCAATGATTTGGCTGGCTCTATATTTTGATGTTACTAATACCAATCGCATCTTAGGAGACCTCTGACTCCCCACCCCAGTCCGATGGGTCTGGGCCTTGATTCTTATTATGTTTACGTCGAAGCTTCCTTTCTTCTTGATATACTTTCCAGCGTGCATCTATGACTCTTTTAGTCAGTGTCCATGATCGAAAAACCCGAAATAAATGAGCGAGGAGGAAGGGGGAGCAGAGGCAGTTAGCTACCACTTACCTCTAATCTCTTGCGTTTTGATCGCATAATTCTGAATTTCCTCTTTTGTCAACACGCGTAGGACAATGACATAATCTGAGCGTTCCTCGAACCGTTCGTTTCCAGCTTCCAAAGCCGCAGGATTAATGAGCCTTCTGTCAACCTTTGTCCATCTTGCCCCCGGAGGGATGCCCGTCAAATCCTTGAGTGGCGCAACACCTTCTCGAATGGGGCCGGGATTTTCTGGAAACGAATCTTTTGGGTCTTTGAGAATCCCTTTTGGTGACTTTTCAGAGGTCGCGATAGAAGGTGGAGGAGGAACAGTTGATTTCGAGGGTGCTTCGTCGCTCTCAAAGTGTCTTTCGGGCACTGAACTCGTTGATTCAGCGACCGGCAATGAGTCGTCTAGGGAAACTCGTCGCCTTGGTTTGTGCCGTGGTCGGTCTTCCTCTGAGTTGTCCTCCTTGCTGTGATCACGTCGGTTATTCTGAGGTTTGAAAACACGATTTTGCCCTCTCTTCATATCTAAGTCTGTGCCACGGTTTAAACGTGCCGTCGGATGATCGCGGTCAAACTGCTCCCGAGGGGTTGTATAGGAAAACGTGTCATCTATAGAACTTGAAGCTGGGTTGACAGTATTCGTGCCAGACAAAGTTTCGGGGACTGTCGATGCCACTTTGGCCCGGAGAAACCAGCTATCGTTTCGCCATGGGGCCTCATGCGAGACTTTTGAGATGTTGGTAGTACTTTGTTCATTCGAATCGGAGCGGCCAACGAGGGATTGTCGCCGGCTCGGCGGTTTTGATTTCTCTGATCGTTTCACCTCGACGGGCTGTGTAGGTCGGAGCCCGGTCGTGGGACCATCACCGAGGACTGATTCAGGTGGCTGATGTGGTTCCAAACTGTCTATTTCCTTTGATGGGGAGACTGGAGATTCTGGGCTTTCCTCTTCTGAATCGGCTGTGTCTTGAATGGAACCAAGGACATCTCTCCGTCTCTGATAAAGAAAATCATCATATCTCCTATCCCCATCAATAACAAAATTTAAATCACTTGCATCAAAAATAGGTCCTTCCGAAGTCTTCAAATTGCGTGGTGTTTCCGGCTTACTACCAGGATCGCTGGAATCTCCGAAAGCCTGTACAGACGCAGCTTTGGGCGGGTCAGCCGATGGAGCTTCATCTTCCAGATCCGCACGAGGAAGGATAAAAAGTGCCAGTTGTTCCAAGTGATGTCCAACATGTCGCTCGAAGGTAAGAGGCGGTCGAATGGGCTCCAGACAAAGAGGACAATCCGAACCATTTTGATTAGTATCCGAGATGGAATGGGCTTCGCACATGTGGTGATACCACTGTCGACGACTTTCATACAACTTTGATGGTGTACTGCAGTCGGGAGATAGGCATACATATGGCATCAAGTCCCGGAATACATGGCGGGCCCAGTCCTTGGTGTTTTTAATGGTAATCATAAGGCGACAATATGGACATTCGAATGGTGCTTTATCTGCGGATCCCTTCGGAGCACTAGGAACAGAAAGTGACTCATCCCCTGCGAAAATGCTAGAGGCGTATGATGTTTGTGACACACCAGACGTCGAATTTGTCTCAAGGAAGTGGAGGTGATCCATGCCATCGGCCAGTGCCATTTCCGTAGCCACGGTTTCAGAAAGAAAGTTGGACTCCGCATCGCCGTGATTTAATAAGCCTTTGCCCAGTTTTGCTCGGTGCCGCTCGAAATATTTCAGAACTGCTTTTTGTTTCGCCATGGCAGCACTTAAACGGCGAATCGTGTTGTCCTCGGCGCCGGGAAACTTGTGGGAAATGTGTTGCTGAGCCCAGGGCTCGAAGAAAGAAGCATGTTTGATCTTCATTCGAACAAGTCGATCGTGATCAGCCGGTTTGCGAATAGCCATGGTAATCTGGAATAGAAGGTTGATATTGTTGCGTAGGCTTTGATAGAGTAGTTGGACGTCCGTCATCTCGTTGCCTTCGCTTTCAAATTCCATATCGCTATCACCGCTGAAACCGCCCTCGTCATATGGCTCATCTTCCCCTTCCTCGATAACCTCGCGCAGATTTAGTAAGACCTGTAGCGTTCGCTGTAGGATCTTTATCGTTTCATCCTTCAAGTGTGAAGCATCCCGGAGCCGATAGTCCAGTGAAGACTGTCCAGTTTGATGAGCGCCAATATTGGAAGCCCAAACTCGAAGTCGCCCTAACTCGTCCAACCAGCGGCGTTGCGAGACTTCATTTTCGAAATTCGCGAGGACGCCTGAAGTGGTTGAATCGGTAAACTCCTTCAAGCAGTCATTCAAAGCACTAGCAATCGTGGCCGTCATAGCTTAGACAACTTACATGCCCTCAGATAGAGAGATGATGTCCTGCTAGGAAGTGATAGGAGTTGAGAGTAGAAAGTGAGGCTGAAGCTGCGGGGTAGTGGCGGGCGAAGGACTCAAACAATCTCACTCTTTCGTTGTCATTCCTTTTTACCTCTCAGTACTGAGTGGTCACTGGTCTAATTACGCTTGCTTGAACGATGGTGACCGGAATAGAAGCCACTGGTGTGGCGTTGGCCATTCTTCCCTTGCTTGTGAACCAACTGGACAACTATGCACGGGGCTTAGAAAAGATCAAAGCCTTTCGACGATATAAGTGGCAGTTGGAGGACTATTCAACTGGACTGAGTACGCAATATGCCATTTTGCTGAATACCTTAGAGCTGTCTCTTGAAGGTGTTGTGGATGATCACGACGAAAGATCTGAGTTGATCAGCAACCCTAGGGGGCCTGGGTGGAGTGAGAGAGGGTTTCAACAACAATTGACCGAAAAGCTCGATCGCAACTATGTCCCTTTTACCCGAACAGTAAGAGGACTGTGCGACCTTCTAGAAGATCTGTCTCGAAAACTGGGACTGGAGACAGCGGATTATACAACGGCAAGCTACCACAGCATTTTCACACAAGTGAAAGGAGAGCTAATGTATTGAGTTCGCGTAGTCTATATCAATAAAGCCGCTGAACGCCCTAAAGTTTCGCAAAGTTTTTTCCATTGCAATTTACCAGGATCTCCTAGATAAAATTGACAAGACAAACCAAATCCTGAAGACCCTGAGCGAGCAATCTCAACAACGGGATGAATCTCGACGCGGCCCGGCCAAAAGAAGGAAATATCTGAATCGGTATCGAGACAACAGACGACATGCAAAGGCAATTTATGCAATCATGGTACAAAATAGTCAATGTTGGAGTGGTTCATGTCACGACGAACACTCCGTCGGATTCCAGCTTGATCAAATCGTCTTGAATGGAACAAAGGGCTCAAGTGATGCACCCTTGGACCCAAAATTCCACTTGATCCTTCCACCACCAAAAAGTGATAGCGCCTCATATCATCAAGGCCGATGGCACGAGATCAAAGTGGTAGCGAGCCCGAACGTCGAATCCTGTTGCCTTCCTCAAGACCCTCAATTGCCCGCTCGAACACGAAAAGTCCAATTTACTACATGTTCACCGGCAACAGTCTGCATGGAGAATGTCCACACAGGGCCCATTCGTGAACTAGGCTCTCCAATCGCCGATTTATGCTCCACCCTTGATCAGTTTGATGCCACGAGTCCGGAGGCAAACTTGGATTCTATTGGATACATCAGCAGCGAACAGGCCTCATTCGGAAGTCGATACCACATGAGTCTAGTACGTAGCATTCAGCATGGAATGCATGTTCATTCCTTGCAAGAGATACTGATTGGAACCCCGTCCCTGCCGGACTCTCCGATTCAAAGATCCAATGAATTAAGCCGTCGCGACAGGCTCCATCTTGCCACCCTTCTCGCTTTCAGCGTTTTCCAGCTTCACGGAACATGGCTCCAGCAGAAATGGGGAACATCCGATGTTCTTTTTGTTCGACCCCTGCAATCTACCTTTCCTCAATATGAACGCCCGTACCTTTTACGGAGTGTTCGGAGATCATCCGAGACGGGCCTCGGCGGGGCAGCATCCGAAGTATGCACGGATTCGAGACAACGTCATATCGCAAATTACATTCTCTTTCCGCTTGCACTTGCGCTGATCGAACTCTCACTGGGGAGAGCGATCTGTACACTCGTGCGACCTGGAGATGGAGATGCCTCTGAGGAAGGTTCACAATTCAATACTGCAGCGAGACTGCTGCGTGACGTTTACTGCGAGAGCGGATCGAGCTACGGTGATGTTGTTAAGGAGTGCTTGTACTGGTCTAAAAGCCAAGGCGATGGCTTCGAGGATCCCCACTTCGATGAATCCGTGTTTGACATTATTGTCTCACCTCTCCTGAAGGACTTTGACTATTTCGATGGCATCTCCGCTAGAGTACACTAGGGAATAGAGTAAAGTTTAGCCCCCAAGAGCCATGGGCCATCTGATGTGTTCGAGTTTGAAGCTACACTATAAATTATTACTTCATATATTATTACAGTACCTTTTGTACAAAGCCATATTATTGGTTGAGGTTGATGTGGAAACACCGGGAAGCAACGGAAACGCCAGAAAATACAAGGCTGAATGTGCGTCAAAGAACGAAGCTTGGTGAAGGCTTAATATGAGAAAGAGTTTGTCTAACGGTCTTGGAAATGGGGTTGTGTCTGCTATATACTTTTCCCCTTGCCGCAATTGTCGGTGATCATCAGTCAACTTGCCAATTATGACAGACCGCCGAGACCGGCTTCATAAACACCGAGGTCCATGTCCAGCACTAGTGACCCATTAATGAAGTTACATGTACAAATGCGCGTAATCCGAGGAAATTCCGAGGCATCTATTGGGATAGATTTTGGGTAGGCTCCGATGAAGTTGCTCCATTCATTTTGGGATGCGACCTTCTGATAGGGAATTCAGACAGCAGCAGTTATCTTTTAATATGGACATTCAGCTAGAGATCCTCCAATTTGCCTATATATACGCTCGCAGGTTCGCTTAGAGCCGAAACGGCTGTGTTGACAACGAACTCTTGGCAGATCTGATAACTTCCAGAATTTTGCGCGTTTTTTTCGGCTCTTGGCGCGGCTGAATGTTGTTGGCTATGAATGCCCAAGTCCCACTATTAATTTCCTACCAAGACGCCAAGCGAAGCTTGAGCAGCTAAAATGCGACGCCACGGGCATTCGAGCTTTATGAGGTAAAGATCTCGCTAGACAAGCTTACGCGGTGATCTGATTAGATCTCGCTACCGGCCGACGCCGGTTGTCTCTGTCCTCGGTGGAGGTAGGGCCCACGGGGATGGACTAATAACACGCAGCACAGAGGACAGAATTCTTGTTTGGCCCCAGAGATCCACATTCAAAGTGGTGCTGTTCCTCGTTGAGCTTTCGAATGCTCCCGAGTTCGGGTGTTTTATCTGATCTTTTTCCTGGTTTCTTCCTTACATATTTCCACTCCGATCATTCCTTCCCTGGAGGAACAGAAGGTTTCCGGAACATTTTACCTTGAATTGCTGGAGCTATTTCCTATTAAGGTGAACTGTTCATTATGGCGATTCGCCCTTTGATTAAAAGGGCCCGGGCGGTCTTCCATCGGACGAGACTCGATCGTGAGGAGGCTGTGAGTAGTTCGATCGATGTTGACACAAGCAATGTCAATGAGCCCAAAACTGATCAAATATACCCTGTGGCCGACGAGGTGCTTCCAAACAACGGCGCGGAAGTGCCGGGCGTGCCATTTGAAGAGCTTCAACACGGTGTCAAAGACGCCGAGGCTATTGCTCAGACCTGGTCGAAGCCTGCGTTGATCGCTGTTTTAATCAAGTATGTCAATTCACTTACTCGGCCAGACCACTGCTTACACGATGAGTCTATAGCATTTGGTTCCTTTACTTCGTCTATGCATTCATCTCATCGGTGAATGGCAGTTTGAGTACTTATGTCGCCAGTTCATTCCAACAACACTCCCTGTCCGGTCTCCCCACTGCTATGGCCGATGCATTCTCTGCTGCAGTTTTCCTCCCCGTAGCGAAAATGATGGATACCTGGGGTCGTGCTGAAGGATTCCTGCTCATGGCAATTTGTGCTACCATTGGGCTGGTCCTCATGGCTGCTTGTGACAGCTTCTCTATCTATTGTGCTGCCAATGTAAGTTGCGCTCTAACAGTTGAAGCAGTAGCAGATGTTAACACGAGATTCAGGTGCTTTACTACCTTGGCTTCAGTGGCATGGAATTCGCCGTAGACGTTGTCACGGCCGACGTTACTCAGTTGAAGAACCGAGCCCTAGCTTACGCTTTCACATCGTCTCCGTATATAATTACGGCGTTTGCGGGACCGAAAGTGGCGGAACAATTTTACGACAACGTTAGCTGGCGATGGGCCTATGGAACTTGGGCGATCATCTTCCCTATTATTGCTGCCCCTCTCTTCTTCATTTTGAAGTTCAACCTCCACAAAGCCCACAAGGCGGGCCTTGTCACCGAAAAAGAGAACAGCGGCCGCAACTTCTTCCAAAGTGTTTGGTTCTGGATTATCGAATTCGATTGTGAGTATTACAAAAGCTACTGTTTCAATATTCTGAGGATATAAGCACTAACCGTGCTTAGTGTTCGGAGTGTTTATCTTCACTGCTGGACTGATCCTCTTCGAGCTTCCGTTCGATATCGCCACCGAGGCCCCTAACGGCTGGGGCACTGACTATATCATCGCCATGATTGTGGTCGGATTCTCGATGCTCTTCTTCTTTGGATTCTACGAGAAGTGGATCGCGCCCGTTCCTTTGCTCAACTGGGGTTTCCTTACGAACCGCACTGTTGTCGGCGCGTGCTTATTGGATGCCACATACCAACTTTCGAACTACTGCTGGAACAACTATTTCCAGAACTTCCTGCAAGTGGTTAATGATTTGACTATTGCCGAATCCGGATACGTTGTCAACACATTTGACGTGGTTTCTGGTGTACTGTTGTTCGGTGTTGGAGCTGCCATTCGTAAGACGGGTCGCTTCAAGTGGCTCCTATATATCTCCGTTCCTCTCTATATCTTTGCTCAGGGCTTGATGATTTACTTCCGTCACCCCGGCCAGAGTGTCGGATACCAGGTTATGTGCCAGATCTTCATCTCAATTGGCGGATCCATCTTCATCATCGTGGAACAGCTGGCCATTTTAGCCGCTGTCGATCACCAGCACGTTGCCACAGCCCTTGCTTTGCTCAATGTTGTTGGTACCATTGGTGACTCTGCCGGTCTTACTATCTCCACGGCGATTTGGAACAATACATTCAAGAAGGCACTCATCCGAAACCTTCCAGACTTGTCCGATTTGGAGTCGATCTACGAGGATGTGGACCAGCAATTGAGCTATGCCCCTGGAACTGCGATGAGAGAGGCAATCCAGAAGTCCTACGGTTACTCTCAGGTGAGAATGCTTTCAGCTGGACTGGGAGTTATGGTTCTCGCCTTTGCGTGGACCATCATGATCAAGAACATCGACCTGAAGAAGGTTGCCCAGGTTAAGGGTGTGGTGTTCTAAGAGATCATCGCGACGAAGGGGATTGAACTTAAGGATTTTCATGATATCAAGTATATTATTCTTCATGGTTTGTTGATTACCCATGTTGAAGAAAACTGTCATGCGTGATGCTATTGCTCGAGTTTCTGAAACCATTCGCCAGATTCAGCGCCCGACATGCTCATCTGTTTTCTGCTTTCCTGCAAATCGAGTCAACAGTGGCTCCTGGAGTCTCTGGTCTTCTCCTTTCTGTTTATTCTGCCACCACCAAATTGATCTTTTGGACTCTTGATCTCTACCATCTCGCTCTTATTTGTACGATGGAAAGAAGCACCTTTCAATATATTTTAATCGCCTTCAATGTTTTTTTGCGCTTTTGCTCTACGGGGTAAAGTTGTTTAGTCTATAAAAGCGGTGTTTATTTTTCTAAATCTCTTCATTCATACCTAGATTGTCTGCTTTCTTCATCTGTCTGGGATTTGCCCTATTTGAGTGCTAGGCTTACGTGAATGTAACAATGTGCGCATCGTGCGAGACAGGGCTGATTCCCACATTAGAGATCTGTAGACCTCAATGCAGTTATAGATTATACACGGGCAATCCCACTTACTCCCTCATCTCACAATCGGGCTCTATCAGAGAGAGATCCCATTACGTATACACCCGCGCAGCTTACAAGTCCATATCCAGTCATATGAGGCTGTTCCAAACCCTGCCCTATTTAGACGCGTACAATGCATGACAGATGAAGGAATATCACTACCTGATGCTGCAAATCAGTGTGATTGCACTTAGTGAGAATGCCTTTGACGAACCTTCGGTCTGACTCCGGTACAGATATAGCAGCCCCATTTATCCACTCTCGTCGGTACTAATCCCCAAGTTTGCCCGGCCAACGGAAGGAGCGTAAGCCGGCGCCATCGTTACATGTAATTGACTTTGGCCCCCAAACATGTCTCACCTTACAGCTCGTCAGGTTTTATGATTGGCACCTAAAGTAGTGGATTGCCAAGCTTCCTGCTGCTTTGGGAGACAATATCATTGAGAAGCGTTGCAAATCCAGTATTATTCCTCATGACCGTTGGTCTCTTTTTTAAATATAGTCAAATGGATATGGAGCGAGCTGCTAACAAAATTTGACTTTCATTTCAGCTGGCAACGCTTGCACTTTTACTACCCAGTGCTGCAACAGAGCATGTGTTGCTACCGGTGTCAATAAGTTTGCCAAGCACTGCAATTAAAGATTAAAATGTATTCGAGATGCTAGGTCTAAACACGCATCGACCGGAAATAAGCAATCTGCCACTTTATCCGCTCTCAGTCAGCATATGGGAGGAGCACAAGGGAAAAGCGGAAATCCATGTATCTACTATTCAAGGGATATATATCCGACGTCTAGAAACTTCATTTGTTCGCAGGCGGTTTCCAAGGCCCATAGCTCTACCGGTCTTAATGATGAAGTAAAATCGGTAATGGGACCTAGTGGTGGAATACATTTTGGAACTAGATTTTTAGTTACTTGTGCGTTCTTGAATCTTTATTGTTTTTAAATATCGCCAGACTGGCTTGGATTTCTGCATCTCTATACTGTCAAAAGTGGCGTTCCATGGTACACACCCGGAGATGGTGGTGGATAATACCATGGCGCTTAAGAACCAAATAATTCACTTGATGGCGAACAGACAAATTATTGAATACTGGTTCATTGTTATTTTTCATAGACCCAGTAGCTGCGAAGATTTTATATACATCTGTCGACCTATCATGGACAGTAGAATGAAAGCATAGCCTTCAGCAAGGCAAATGATGAGCTCGGTGAAATATCCTACCATTGCGGTCCTCAGAGATACATCTGGAGAACAAGTGAGCTAGCCTTTCACGTGTGAAAAGACCCAGCGTTATGCATAGCGTGAATTTAGGAGCAATATTGAAGGCAGACCTCATTCTGGGTAATACCTAGTTGTTCACTGGAGGTTCTTACCTCAATCTACTCGTCCAATTGTTCTACAAGTTTAGTATTTTCTACATTAATGCTGGCCATAATGAAGCCCGGAAATACAATTGTACTACGAGGATTCGGAGATTTTAAATTTAAAGGAAAACAATTCATCGATTTAATGACAATATCTAAAAGTTTTCAATTATCAAGGGCGTCTGGCATGGCGATAGTGAATAAACTGACAATATTTAAAAAGGCAACGTAGCCAGAATGTCTGCCATTGCGGTAGCGAGCTTCTGTCTTTGTGCACTGTGGACATTGTCCAACACATTCACATCTCGCAGCTCGACCAGCTCCAACCTGATTGTACGACAAATCTGCAGAAAATCCAACTGCCCGTATTTCTCCTGGACCCGTAGGTTTACACGAACACGCAAGTCCAACGAATCGCTAAATCGGCTGATAACTTCTGCCTTAGTAATGAGTTCATTCTGGATTCTCGTGAATACAACAAGCCCTTCAGCTCCCGTACGTGGAAAGTTTTGAATGTTAACAAGCTGAGCTTGTAGCTGGTTTTTGAAGTTATTACACTCCCTGATGTATCTCGCGGAATCATACATGGCTATGGCTCTAAATTATGGATTATCAATCAGCTGTATATTTTGATTGCGAGGTCAAAAGATTTCTTTGGTAGATAAAGGCACTTGCCCGCTAAATGAAAGGTGCCAACTCTTTATGCTTTTCTATGTTACTCAAATATCTTAATGTGACAAAGAAGACAATCATCGACTAAGAGAACTAAGAAAACAATAAAATTCATAGTGTCCTTTGTTACCATTATTAGTCTTTGGCAGAGAATTGACCTAAGGGCTCGCTAAACTCAGACTATGGAGTAGGACTACGACATAGTTGCGTCCGCTGCAAGAAAAGAAACAAAAGAAACAATACCCACAAAGAGCTATCTTGCGCTTCGGTTATTGTGATACGCGGGATTAGATATTTCTTAGAATTGTAATAGAATCAGGGGCGTCTTATTTGTCTGGACACTGAAAGTTAGGAAGAATTGGGAAAATTCGATACCGAAAGCCTGCTTTCTGCGTACATACGAACATGTGATTCAAGAATGATATTCTTGGCCAAACAAAAGCCTATCCACATATTGGGCAAATTGCATGCACTAGAACGAAGAGACTTTCAAGACGCAATTAGCACTTTTCGTTCTGCCAATATAAGTAATGTTGCATGTGTATTTTTGGCCGTTGCGCTGCGAAACACGAGTACCCGGGTCGTAACAGTACCGTACCAGCGTCCTGACAATACCTGAAATATACGTTGAACGGCGCTTGAACAGAAACAAGTCACGCAAGACCGAGTTAAATTAACTTGTGGGCTAGACTCAGTATGCCAAGGAGCTTGTATTAAACAGAAGGCAACTAGGATGACACCGAATATAGCCGATCAGATATGCGAATGGGATCCAAGCTCCTTAAACCCAAGATTGCCAACGGAGAAGCCCGAGCATGAGAGCAAAGCTGGCATAAAAGAAAAAAAAACCCGGTGCTCTTCTGTATGTATAGGCACACAGGTGTGAGATCCACGAGTCCGCCCAAGGTGCGCCAAGTCGTATCTCGTGCCACCCTTGCCAGATGAGATTTTCTCCTGCAGCCCTGTCTTGGCCTCGTTAGCATACTCTTTCGCTTATCTGTTTACCCGATATCGGATGATGCAGCACCAAGAATATATAAATCTGATCGCCACATCTTAGCCAACTTTGTGTTCGGACCACTGAATATCTCTCCACGCAGTCGCCAGGTAGGCAGATCGACCACAATATGGCAGCTGACCCTCCCCATCCCTCTGAGAAGCAGGGCGAACAGATTCATGCCTCTCAGGAAACTGGAGTTGCTGTCCTTGCTACAGATGGCGATGTCACGTCCGATCAGGATTCACTCGACCAGGAGGCACAGGCTGGTGTGAAGGGTATCCAGGCTGCTACGAAGGTGTGGACCAAGGGGCATCTTATCTTGGCATATGTGATGTGAGTTTGAACGGATCCCAAGGTCTCCCTTAGTATAGTTTATTGATTGTTTGTCGCGAAGCATCTGGTTCATATATTTCGTTACCTCCATTCAGGAGGTTGTTATCCGATCCTTGAACCCTTATGTGACCAGCGCCTTCTCACTCCACTCGTTGACTGCAGCCACGAGCATTATGGCCAACATAATCGGTGGTTTGAGTAAAATTCCACTGGCGAAAATTTTGGACACCTGGGGCCGTCCTCAGGGTATCAGTTTGACATTGTTCATCTGGGTTGTGGGCTTCATCATGATGGCCGCCTGCAACAACGTGCAAACATATGCCGCTGCACAGGTCTTCTCTTCCGTTGGGTAAGTTATCATCGATCAGCCCTTTTCAAAATCTCTACTGACTCGTACTTTATCTAGATCCCAAGGAGTCAGCTATTGTTTGACTGTTTTCATCGCCGACACCTCGACACTGAAAAACCGAGCTCTAATGCTGTCCTTTGCAACTTCTCCCTATATCATTACAACATGGATTGGCGGCCCCATCTCGCAGAGTGTCTTGGAAGGCCCAGGATGGCGTTGGGGATTCGGAATTTTCACCATAATCGTTCCGGTTGTGGTCTCACCACTATGCATTCTGTTCTTCTGGAACCACCAGAAGGCCAAGAAGATGGGCCTGCTCCAATCCAGTCGCGGTCCACTCACCCTGCAGTCAGTCAAGAACTATCTTATCGAGGTCGACATGCTTGGAATTATCCTTCTTGCTGGCGGTATGGCACTGTTCCTCCTTCCCTTCAGCCTCTGGTCCTACCAAAAGGATCAATGGCGCTCTGATATGATCATCTGTATGATCATCTTTGGAGGAGTCTTGCTCGTCGTGTTTGCTATCTATGAGAGATTCTGGGCTCCAGTAACCTTCATCCCATTCCAGCTACTGATGGACCGAACTGTCTTCTTTGGTGGGTTGATGTTTGTGTTCGAGTTCTTCAACTCCATGGTTTGGGGTAGCTACTTCGGCTCCATGCTCCAAGTCGTCTGGGGTCTGGATGTTACGGAAGCCAGTTATGTCTCAGCCATTTATCGAGTTGGATCCTGCCTGTGGTGTCTGCTCGTCGGATACTTGATCCGCTGGACTGGCCGATTTAAATGGTTGGCGGTCTACTTCTCATTCCCCCTCATGATTCTCGGAGTCGGATTGATGATCAAGTTCCGTCAGCCTGATGCGGGCATTGGGTATATTTGCATGACTCAGATTTTCGTCGCATTTGCAGGTGGAACCACTGTCATCTGCGGCGAGCTTGCTATGATGGCACCTTCTGATCACCAGCACATTGCTGTTGTGCTTGCTATATTGAATCTTTTCAGTAGCATTGGAAGTGCGATTGGAGGTACTGTATCCGCAGCTATCTGGACCAGCGAGTTCCCGAAGGCTTTGACGAAGTATCTGCCGGCAGAAGTCAGCATGGCCACAGTCTACTCAAACATCAATGCCCAGCTGTCGTATCCTTTTGGAAGCCCGGAGAGAAACGCCATTGCCCATGCCTACGGAGATGCGCAGCGGTACATGCTTATTACCAGTGTTTGTATGCTGGCAGTTGCCTGGGGCTGCGCTGCGATGTGGCGTGATATCAAGGTCAAGGACTTCAAGCAGGTGAAGGGAACTGTGTTCTAAATGGAAAAACCAGGTATTGTGCATGTAGGAGCGAGCTAGGTGTTAATTAATTAGTACAAGAAGGAAGGGGTAGTCGCGATAAGGAATGTTTCAGAGAGTCAAAAAGGAAAAATCTCAACTATATAATATCAATGTTTGACATCAAGCTCAAAATCTTCAATTCAAGTTTGTGTTTCGTGCATAAACTGTGGTCTAAGCTGCATCTTGTATCTCACAAATTATTTGCCTCTAATTATCCCGCAAACTGCTGTCTTCTTCTGCCTATCTTTATTAACCCCAGTGTGCTTAAAGTACATAGTTATTACATCTCAAGACTTGCTTAGCACTGAGTCTGAACACGCACAGTCCTGGAGACTCCTGTCTTAATGGCATGTCCATGTGCCTCAACACGGACGTACTTGAGACCCCCTTGACAGAAGTCATAGTTTCAAAGCCTGTCTTGGGTGCCACTCCAACCGGGGGAAGACCACTTTGAGTGACACCTCCAAAAACCTTCCACTGCTGATGCTCAGTAGCACCATTCCAACTCATATAGACATTTGTCGTGTTGTGAGAAGCGTCGACGCAAGAGAACACATCAGGAGCCGTGTTGGGAATGCCGACCCAGGGGTGACGATAAGCCCGGTAACTGGAGACCACGGAATCTTCTCCAAACTGAGCAGTCATAACACAGGAACCATCAGCGTTATACTCTTTAATCTTGGGGTTGGATCCGTAGCCCATCAAGACATGGTTTTTAGGCAGGGCTTGAACGGCTCCCTGGGAGGTGGAAAAGATCTCGTCATGCGGGTCGTCAAGGAGGCGGAGGGGAGTGACCGATTTAGTATCCAGATTGACATTCATGAAGATACCTTCGGTGTGGTCGGTGCCATTCTTTACGTCGGAGTTGGCGTTGTCAAAGATGCTGATAGTCAATCTGCCCTCTTCCTCATTTTGAATGCGTGCGTCGTGCTGGTAGGCGAAGTTGACTCCGTCCAGTGAGAAGTCGCCGCCGGTTTGACCCTACGGCAGATATGTCAGTATAGGAGTAAGATATACTGAAAGAAGTAAAGAAATGGGCCTTACTTGAAGGGTCCAGTCAACAGAACCATCCTTAGCAATCTTGAATAAGGAGCAGTAGTAGCGTGAAGAGATGAGGAAACTACCATCCTGGAACTTCTCAACAGAGTTGATGTGGAAGTAGCCATATGGAGCACTCTTGTTGTGTCCCCAGTCATGGATAGGGTAGAAAGGCTGCACATCTTCCAAGGAAATCTGATCAACGTGGTCTTTAGCACTCCAGCGGAACAAGATGTCGTTGGTCTTAACGTCGATCTCATAGAAGAGCGAGTCAGCAATCCACCCATCCTTGGGGCCACCCACAGAGCTCAAATCAGCCTGGGTAACATTATAACCAGTCAGCAACATCGTGTTGTCCGAAGTCATGGTGCTCTCGTGGATATCAAGCCAAGAGACAAAGCTCGAGCTGTCAACAGTACCGACGGCAGTGTAGTTATCGTGGATGACCGAAACATTGTAGATGCTCTGGTAGGACTGGTCCAATATTTGGATAATACCGTAGCCCCAACCAAAGGGCTCAGGCACACCAATGCCATTGAAGTAGGTCAAGACCGGCTTTCCGTCTAGCATCTGCACGCGGAAATCTTTCAGGTCACCGTACGGACTCTGCCAGATGAGTTCGTTGTCGTCCGACATCATGAACACACTGTACTGATGGGCATCCCATGACTGATCGAAGAACAGGTAGCCAGGAGCGGTAGCTCCAAATTTGGTGATCTTGAGGTTGGGAGGCTCAAAAGGGCTGGACTTGTAGGTTTGCCACGGCCAGCTGTCGTTAGCCGCCACGCATGAGGTAGCGTGCAGCCCAGCAAGAACGGAGATAACGGATGAAACACGCATCTTGGTTCCTAATTCCGTGAAAATCTTTCACAATTGCTCCTTGTGTTTCACCGGCTAACTACAAAAATATACTCGAAAGGGTATTGAGAAATCGCATGACACTAGCCGATGTCGGCCCATAGCTCCGTACCCCTGTGAGCGATTTATCGCTAAGATCCGATGTGATCGTCCTCGGCTAGGGTTGAAGGTGCTGGCGCTGGCGGCGCAAGCCGACAATCTGATAACACAAGATCAGATAAGATCTGCGGCCCCACCTGTATTTCGCGTATGATACCACGTTCCCATACAGTATCCTCTGTATTACAGACATTCACCAGTATTTCAATCGAAATACAAGAAATGACATCTCCACCATGGTATGCGGAAGACTCGGTTAGTTGGAGTTCGGATGACTCCAGGGATTGATCGGCACTGCCAAGCAGGTGTGCTGATGAGCGCGGAGTGGGTCCGACTTATACCCGACGTGGCCGAGGACTCCAAACACGAAAATATGGAGAGCTGTTGACCCCTTTTCCCTCTCCACAGACACACCCACGCATACCATGGGTACGCAGTTAGTGGCGTCGTTAGGGGGAGTCGATCCCTACCACCGCTAGCCAGTCAGTGAAACCGCCGGGTGTGGCCAAGCCACTTCCGTCCAGGTGAGCACTTTGATTTTGCGGGCCCTGATCAATGATCTCTAAACCAGTTTAAGCTGGGCCTGACTATCAGATTGATAAAAAGGCTTCTGCCTGATTGATAATTCTTTGCGGTAAGATCATCGGCCTAGAATCCGCCAAGCGTTGGCATGAAATCTCTGTTCGCTTGGACACTCAAGAATGGCTAGATACCCGACAGAGACTGCCGACTTGTATTGGGAATTTCTGCTTACTAGTAAGTATCACTGATGGAGTCCGGTATCCCTCCTGGAAAGTGCGTTTTCGGAGAATATAGCATGACTCCGGGATGAGGGATATCACTACAAGCCAAGTTTTCTAGCCGGGTAAGTGTTGCCCCTGGCAGGAGGGCAACTCACTTACTGGTGCAGGGTGGCTTGCATCGAGACCATAAAGAACATTATACTATTTTCTTGGCTAATTTAAGAAGATAATGTGAGACAAAATGGTATGTAAGTCTAATGCACAGTCTAATCTCGAAAGGATACTAGTCTAAAGTCTGCAAAATTATCAAATCAAAGAAATTCAAGTTGCTGAGGGCTTGCTCTCTGCCCATTGCTCAAATTTTGTGCTGCCAGCACCTTTCGGCATCTTCACCATCAATGGTGCTTGAATATCCTTGTCAAGCCCAGTAACCTCCGGTTTGAACACGACGGGTTCAGCAAGTGTCTGGAAACCAAGCTTGTTATACAAGGGAACGCCCTCCACGGTGGACTCTAAATAGATCGGGACATTCAACTTCTCTGATGTCTCAAGACCCCATTGCATAAGCTGCGCGCCAACTCCACGGCCCTGATAGTCCGGGTGCACCGCAACAGTATGGCAGTCTATAGGCGTCAATGTCAGCTCACCGGTGATCACAAGAATATACTGTTACCACTTACAAACGTGCTTCTTGGGTCCAATATACTTTTCTCGTTTTTCCCACAGCTGCTCTAGGAATCCTTCTGCACGCTTGCGCTGGTCACCCTCGAGCCATCCAATCCATGGCTTTATACGCTCAGCATCGGTCCGCTCCCGCCAGTAGACCTGCCAGGTGGCCATGCCGGCGACTCGGCCGGTGTCGGTGTCAATGCATTGGAAGGTGTGCTCCATGCTCAAACCTTGCCAATATCCAAGGGTACCCTCGGCATGTACCTTGCGGAAAGCTTCATCGTTGACATCACTGCCAGGGTAGATGAGGTCGAGAATCACTTGGCCTTTGAAGGCCGCGAACCACGCATCGTAGATGGCCCGGATGTCAGGGAGGGTGGCAGGAACAACAACGAAACCCATTTCGGAGTCAAGGGTAGGATAATGTTCACAATGGAGAGGTAGGTAGCTTGAAGAGTAAAACTAAAGATGTTACTCCTTTAACAGGATGCATAGTCAATAATCTTGGCGCCAAGCCACCCGGAGACCGGATCTGATAACTGCGTAATATGCAAGGCGCCGTATGGTATGGTATGGTATTGGTATGATGTGACATTTGCTTGAGACAGTCCGATGCCCGAATTAGAGGGGCCGTTGTCGGATTGTTTTTCTTTCTTTCTCCGAACTTTGTGAGAATATTCAGCTCAGAACAACCACCAATACACACACAAAATGCCTGGGATTGAAGAACAACCCTATAAGGTCCTCGTCGTCGGAGGTTCCTACGCCGGTTTGGCCGCGACTCTGAACCTGATCGATCTGTGTCATGGTCGGAAATGCCGCTTCAATCTAGACCCCAATGCAGTCGCGCCCGAGAAGAAGATTCCTGTACAGGTCACCATTGTGGATGAGCGCGATGGATATTGTATGTTACCTCTGACCAACGCGACATACGACTAATCAAGAACCCCAGACCACTTGATCGGCGTCCCTCTTGCACTCGGTTCCAACAAAGATGCCAGTGACTTCTGGAAAAAATACGAAGATATCCCCGCCCTCCAGAACCTGGATATCAAGACAATTCAAGGACGCGTAGACTACGTGGACTGTAAATCGCGAGTGGCACGCATTCACCAAAGCACAGCAAACGATGGGCACAAGGTTGTTGAGGAGAAATATGATTATATGATTGCAACCACCGGCCTACGGAGAGAATGGCCAAGTGCGCCGAAGTCGTTCACTCGGGAGGCGTATCTTGCTGAAACGGCGGACTCCGTTGAGACCATTGAGAATGCTGCGCAGGGTGTTGTAGTCATCGGTGGTGGTGAGTATTATTCTATACTTCGTTATACTTTTCTGCTAACAGTGCTTTTTCCTAGGCGCTGTCGGCATCGAAATCGCAGCGGAACTCAAGATGCTCCGTCCACAAAGCAAAGTCACACTCATCCACTCTCGACAGACCCTACTCTCATCCGAGCCCCTCCCCGCGGAATTCAGCGCGAAGACACTCGAGCTCCTCGAAGAGTCAAATGTAGAACTGGTTCTAGGTGCGCGGGTCGAGGAAACAGTCCCAGCCAACGACTCAACCTCGGCAAAGTACACACTCAAGCTCTCCAACGGCGAGGAAATCAACGCCGACCATGTCATCAACGCCGTATCCAAGTTCACCCCCACATCATCCTATCTACCCAGCGGTGCCTGTGATTCAGAGGGGTACATCCGCATCACACCCAGTCTTGAGTTCTCTGGCGATGTTCCTAACAAGGAGTACCACTATGCCGCAGGTGATATTGCTTGCTGGTCTGGAATCAAGCGTGGTGGAGCGGCGATGCACCAGGGTCATTTTGCTGTGGTGAACATTCATCAGAAAATGATGGCTGAGAGATATAAGACCGAACCTAAGTTTGTGGAGCTGGCTGAGGTTAAGCCTATGATGGCATTGGCTCTTGGAGCTACGGCCGTTGGTTACTTCCCTGCTACGGGTATTTCGTCCGGTGATGAAGTGCGAAACATGTTTTTCAATGAGGACCTCGGGTATCAAAGTAAGTCTGAGTCTCTTGCTGACGTTTTGGACTTTGGCTAATTGGACTAGTTTGTTGGAAATGGATGCGTCTTGGAGAAGCTACCGATTAAATGATCACGTTTGGATGTACTGAATAGCAAAATTTGAAATGATTATAGATATAGTACCACTTTCCTTTTCCTCGGTGAATGTTTCTTTTCGTTTATATTTGTATGACATACCAAGTTTCGGATTGTTTGGATGAAATGTATGGTCCGGGACCAACTCTATGTAATTAAAATATATAACTTTAGTAACCAACATAGCTGTCTCTGTGCTTTATGAGAGAACTGAAATCTATCCATCGACCGCCTGGTTCAAGGCATTAACCCTGTAAGACTCACTCCGTTCAACCAGTTGAACATGAGTACCCTGTTCAACACAGCGCCCATCCTCAATCAAGAAAATGACATCAGCCTTGCGGATTGTATACAGACGATGCGCGATCGCAATGACGGTCATGTTCTTGGTGGCCTTCTCCAAGCCATCCTGAAGAAGTCGCTCGGACTCTGCATCCAGGGCACTGGTCGACTCATCGAGCAGCAAGAGCTTCGGCTTGCGAATCAATGCACGTGCAATTGCAAGTCGTTGTTTCTGACCTCCGGAAAGACGATCGCCATTGGGGCCGCAGGGCGTGTCATATCCTTCGGGTAGCTGCATGATCGTCTCATGGATGTTCGCCAGTTGGCATGCCTCTTCCATTTCGGCTTGTGAGACGGTGTGACCTGGTCTAGCGCCAAGAGCGAGGTTGAAGCGGATGGTTCCTTCAAACATGATACTTTGCTGTGGTACATAGGCGACCGAGTCACGGAAAGAGATGTCTCCGTGGGCGATATCTCGTCCGTCGACCTCGACGGTGCCCGACTCGGGCGTGTAGAGTCGTTCAACAAGAGAGATAATTGTGGACTTGCCAGCACCACTGGGTCCCACCAGCGCGGCAAACTGACCCGGCTTGATGTTCAAGTCGAGCCCATGGAGGACACGAGTGTCAGGTCGAGCGGGATAAGCGAAGCGGACCTGCTTAAATGAGACGCTGGTTCCGCAGCGGCTATCATCGACCTTTTCTCGCATAGTGGCGGTGGCTTCAACATCAGCGGTGGAGTTTCCGAGCAGCTTTTGTGGGCTTCCGATGGCGTTTGACAAGTTCTTCGTGGATCCCAGATCCAGCAGGTTCAGCAACCGGCGGGTCGCCTGGAAGGCGCGCGCAACATCGGGTGCCAGAGCAAATACCTGGCCCCATAGCTGTGAACTGACAAGAAGCGCGAGCTGGACGATGAAGAACTGAGTCTGGGTATAGTGGCCTGCAATGATGTTCTTTGCTCCCCACCAGTATGCTAGACCATACAGGAAGTTGCTCATACCGTATCCAATTGCGAGCCAGAGGTTAACCCAGGCACTCTGACGGGTCATCTCCTTCATTGGGGCTGCTAATGAGCGACGGTATGTGCCCATAATTTCGTGCTCCAGAGAGAGGGACATGACGGTTTTGATTGAGTTTACAGCTTCAACGGTGATGCCGACAGATCGGGCAAAGGCTTCCAGGTGTTTTTCTTGGAACTCAGCTAGTGAGGTGACCCGCATCCATCCCGCGCCTAGCAGTAAAGGAATGACGGCGAGACAGACCAGGGCGATGCGCCAGGCAATGATGTGGGTCATGATGATGGCAGCGCATAAGTTGACACAAATGGAGAGAATCGTGCAGACGACTGAGCCCGTCAGGCCTCCGAGGGCGTTGCTGTCAGTGGTAATCAAGGATAGTAGAAGCGATGGGTTGCGGTCATTAGACTCGTGCCATGCCAAGTCTTGCTCAAGGATGGAGCGCAGCGAGAGAACTCGCACTTTGTAGATGATATTCTCTGCCATCCATCCAAATAGAGACCAACTGAGGAAGTTGGCAAAGAACTCAATAATAGCCAGGACGAAGAACATAAGACCGTAAAATTCACCAGCATCGCGGATATTTTGTGGCTCTTCGCAACCACTGAGCTTGCCAACGACATTACCGAAGATCACTGCCGATCCACAGTATGTACCTCCAATAATAACAGCGCCTGTCACAGCAAGGACTAGAACAAACATGTAAGGACGGAACATCGACCCTAAGGACCCGACTGTCGCAGAGAATGATCGAGTAGTGGAAACGGCACCAGCCTTCTCCTTGGGCTTGGAGTCTTTAGCCGGGGCTGCAGCAGTCTTTCCATCATCTTCAGGAAAGTCATCAACTACAGATATATCTGTCTTCTCGGCCTTCTCGTTGATTTGTTCCACTGGCGAGGCAGATCGAGTTGAAGACCCTTTTCCGGCACCGTGGACATTGAGGTTTTGCAGACGGACAAGCTCTGCGTAAGCACCGTTGCGAGTCAATAAGTCTGAATGACTACCTTGTTCAACCAGTCTTCCTTGTCTCATGACGATGATGTTATTCGCGTTCTTGATAGTTGATAGACGATGGGCGATGGTGATGACGGTCCGACCGTCGGCAACACTTTCGATAGCTCGCTGAATGCGCATTTCGGTTGCAGAGTCCAAGGAGGCAGTGGCCTCATCCAGAATGAGAATTCGGGGATCCTTGACCAGGGCACGCGCCAAAGAAATCCGCTGCTTTTGCCCACCACTGATCAGATTTCCACTGGAGCCTACCATTGTGCCATAGCCTTCCTGGAGCTTTTCGATGAAGCCATTGGCATCGGCCAGCAAAGCAGCATTTTCAACGAGGTCCACGATCTCTCGTGCCTGATTTCCGTGTTCCAGTGAGGCGGGTACGATCCCCTGACCGTCTCTCACAGCTGCTGCAATCTCAGCCAACGCCGTACTGGCGAGGAGTTGTTTGAGATGACCATGGTTCGGAGAGTTGATCAATCCCAGTGCGATGTTTTCAAAAATCGAACGATCAAGCAGGCAGGGTTCCTGTTGGACCAGACTGATGTTGCTTCTCAATGCACGAACATTCAAGGATTTCACATCGTGCCCGTCCAATAAGACAGCTCCTTCAGTCGTATCATAGAATCGAGTGACCAGACCCGCCACAGTGGATTTTCCACTTCCAGACAATCCAACAATAGCAGTTTGTTGACCAGCAGGACAGGAAAAGGATAGATCTTGGAGTACTGGCTTGTCGGCACGAGAAGGGAAAGTGAAGGAAACATTGCGCAATTCAATATCGCCCTTGACTTGTGACAAGACTTCACCAGAATTTTCATCGGTTCCATCGATAGTGGACGAGTGATCGATATCGGCACGAAGTTTGGTGAATGCGACCGACGCGGCATCGAAGCTCTGAATGAAGGGTGCAACTTGACTGAGGATCAAGGATGCTAGAAATAACACAGTTAGCAAATGGATTTTGGTTATACCGTTGCTTTCATATTACTTACCATCCACCAGAATGAAAATCACAGTATATGTGGCTCCAACCGTCATGCTGCCACCATTTTCGACTGAATCGGCAATCTGCCTCGAACCCTGCCAGAATGCCAATGCATTGGCCGAGAAGGCAATGAAATAAAGCAATCCCGCTTGACTAGCAGTCGCGATAGACTTGCGAATTCCCGCAACTCGTCCCGGATCCAAGAACTCGATAAATTTCTCCTCCAGTCGCACATTGGCCGAGAAAGCATGAACCACCATAGTATTCGAGAACGCCTCCAACGCGACCGAAGATGCCTTGGTCATGCTGTCCAGAGCACGACCAAAATACTTCTGCACGAAATAACCTCCCAGCAGGGACATGATCAGGTATGCGGGGGTCAACGAGACCAGCATACCGGCCAACTTGGCATCCTTAATAAAGGCAACGATGTAGGCAGTCACGAAAAAGGCCAGGGAGTTCATCATGATGCCGACTTTCTCAGATGTACCCTGCTGGACAGTGGTTATATCGCCCGAAATTCTCGACGACGCCTCGCCAGCTGGAAGATTATCAAAGAAAGCCGCATCCTGTTTGAGCAAAGCCTTGAAATATTTCTCGCGCAGGCGCTGGGCGAGTCGTTCGCCTGTGATATTCCAAGTGAAGACATAAATATAGACCAAAACCAGGTAGGCGATTCCAATATAGACAATCATTAAGACCTTGGAATTGATCCCAGCCTGGTAGGATGCACCATTCGTGCTGTTCGCGTTGCAGGTTGTCGAGTTCATTTCATCCACCAGTTGACCGAAGACGATAGACATGATTGGGAATGGGACTCCCGAGGCGATTGCTGAAACGATTGCCAGTACCAGCAGGGCGATGTCTGCCCTGCTGGGCTCGCCATAGACAAATAGTCTGAAGAAGGTGGCCCTGTCCTTCCACTGGTGCGGATTGGATTAGCTTGTGGTGGTCAATGATGAGAATGGTGGAAGTACTCACGCTGCGCTTTGGCGCTGCATCTGGTTCACCCATTTTGGTTGATTTCTCTATAGGTAGGGATGAAGAAGAAACATCATTATATTCATTCTTCGAGAAAATCAGACAAAAATGCACGCCCCGCTGGAATACCAAGAGAACGGCGTATTGTAAACAGGCTAGTATTGATATAAATTTGTAAATTTGGTAAGTTTGATCCGTATTGTAAGTTTGGACCCTTATCAGATCGATATCCACGCTAGTAACATCGAATGTTTGCCGAGACCTCAGGGTCTCCACAAAGTATCGGACTTGGGGGATCGTCTCCCCAAGAACAGTAAAGGGAAGCCGAACCCGACCACAAATCCTGTCGATTGCTCCATCTGGCAGTTTCCGCCAGTTTCGGGGCTTTTTCCCGAGGGGATAGACTATGTGTGAAATAGATTTATAATCTCTCCAATAGAGGCCCGCTAACCGGTTCCTTCCAAGCTTCTTGGCGTTTTGAATATGGCACATATTTCCAAAACCCACTATCGCACAACGGAACAACTTCGGCTGCGGCGGAATATCGGGATGACCCGGCCATGGCGTACATCCCGAATCAGATTAGATGGCGCTGACGCCCAGAATTGACTTCACTTGGCTTTCGCTTGGCGAAAGTGAAAGAGAAAGAAAATCAGAATCAAAAAACCAATGCGCTTACATGGGCGCTTGAAGTTAAATGGAGTTTCGTATAGCTCTTTTCCCCCACTCACGGATACCGGTTCATGATTCAAGCATAGTACAATTTTATGTTTGTGGATTCTATATACATCATAGCTTCAATGAGCGGAACGGGTTACGGTCCAGCATGTCGGACCCATCAAACCGTACGGGTGCAACGTGGAAGAATTTTTCCCGACTTCCGAGGATGAGCGCAGACCGTTTATGAGGTAGATCCACAAGCCTGTCCAGGTTCATTCCAGTTGCGTGATCGTATGTCAGGGGGCCAGATTGGAGTACTTCGGCTCACCAGTCACGAAGTCTGTACGAGGCTCATCTAGGAAGATGTAATGCATCAAGCTGGACCACCACGCCATTGTACGGTGTGAGCCTCGGAACTTCTCGTTGCCGACGAGTGAGTGACGACCACGGTCCCAATCACCCGCGTCGTAGTATGCGCCTAAGTGGTCCTCCTAGAGTACAATTAGCAGCAGTTCTTGCAAGATGGAGGCGATTAAAAACAAACCTTTGTCCAGTAGAGCTCGTGGTAGGAGAAGAAGGTATCGTTGAACTTGGCAAGGACAGCAATCTGGTGCGGATCCTCTTGCATGGTCCGTAGATATTGGCGATGCTGGTCCAACGTGCCAGTTTCATTCCAACCTTGCGCTACCCGCGGGTCGTTTTGCCAAGTGTTGAAGAGCCGGAGGTGCTCATCATTTGTGTAGTCAAGTGCAAAGACTGAGAAGAACTCATTCAAGTGTGGGATATAGCGACTGTAGATTCGGGATCCCGGGGCGGGCTTCGGTGATCGTACAGGGTGGTGGGCATGAACACGGCGCTCAGGAAAGCCGGTAGTAACAGTATGTTGGCGAGGCCGGGTTGGGTATTCATTCAAGGGTTTGCGCATAAAGCTGTAAATCCCCGGGTCAGCCACCCACGCGGGACGGGTGCCAAAAGGCGAGCCGGCTCCTTGCCAGAAGCTGCTGCGGTAGAAGACCAGCTGGCCGACGTGGTTGGTGGAGACGGGGATGGGTTTTCCTGGCGGTGCAGATGGCTCTGGGTGAGCCATGGCAAGGCCAACACTCTGCAACTCGCGCGCAAGCAGCTCGTTGCCCTCGCCCGATAGAACAGCTCGGAATATCTCAAACTCGCTGCGCAGTGTCTCGATTGCGTAGACCACATTCCATATCTGACCCACCGTGGGTGTCTCCGAGCCTGACCATGTGATATACGTTATCGGGCTTCGTTGGGCACGAGCCCAACCAGAGTTGTTCCCATCATCAGGCGTGGTAGAAGTATCAGGCTGGGCCAGATCTGTGAACATCAATGAGGCATGGTGAAGTGGCTTCGGGGGTGGTACACCATCGTCAGCGCGGGGAGATCTGCGCAGCTGGAACTTGCGTAGAGAGTGCTCGGTAGACACAACGTCCAGCTCATAGGTGGTCTTCCAGGGCTCTGGCAGACGCACCAAGGGTAAAGTGTTCATGGTCATTATAGAAAATGGTATCAACGCTGGTGAACTGTGAAGAGGAACCGAGGGACTAAATAACAAGTCGATCACCGCGCCAGCTTTGGGGGCAGCTTCGTCCGGGTGTTCGGGTCGGAGATTTCCATGTGTATAAGGAATCGATAGTCCTCGTCTAGTATGCTCTAGTGTGCAGCAGCCATCAAACTCCGAAAACCGAGACCTTGGCTATCGTCGCAGGCAACAGGTACCGTGCTTTAATTCCGATACTTGGCGCTGGCTAGTCCAAACAAGTAGCGCAGAGCATAGCGCCTCATACGACGTTGGAATCAACTGGTGATAGTTTTGAGAAAGGATCATCCTGATCCATCTCCTGAAGGATCCGATGTCGCAAGAAACAAGTTGAGCCCCAGCAAGTCGAAAGCGCCCAAAAAGGCAACGTTCTGGCACGTATGCCTGTTGTAAAGCTGTATAGTATAGTTGTCGTACGGACCAATCCGCACAAAGATGCCTGTCATGGCTTTGATCGTCGAAGATCCCCACTGGACCCTACTGATTGATTACTGCGGAGCTTGCGAGGCAGTGCACCTCGGCGGTTCTTAGCAGGGGTCTGTATAGGTACACAGTTACCGTATGTTTCGTATTCGGTATTGTGACCATACAAGTCTCCACTTTGTGGTATATTTGGAGTATACACCCACCTTGGCTTCATCTCTTGAAAGGCTCGGCGCAAACCGGTTAGACTTTGTCCGTTGTGGCTCTATGAGCGTAGCGCGGCTTGCTGAATTTGTTCCTGAAGATCTGCGGTACTTAACCAGGTTGTTTCTGCAATGCGGGCAGTGTCCTTGGCAAGGCTTTTTCTTCAGAGATACTCTTAAACTACCATGGGCGAGTACATTGAGCCTAGTGCTGCCTCTTGGGTTAGCGATGTTTTTCAAAAGCTAGATGGTGCGGCTTGGTCCGATTGTGTGGCAGTTCTTCCTGAGGCCGATCAAGAGCAAGTCCTCGTTCTAGCATGGGTGCTTCTGCTCCATCGCGGAACTGTGCAGAGTGAAGATGGGGCTTTTTCTTGGGAGAGAAATGGAAAAGTCCAAGAGGCCTCCATCAAAGATGTAATTGAGTCGGAGGACGCCTCCTTGGGATCGGCCTTGCAAGCCATCCGGCGGTTGGGTGAATTCTCCGAAATTGGAGACATAATCTCTTTTAAGAATACTGGTACCATGACCCAAGTGAGTGTGTTGGCGACTCTTCAATTCTTTTACTTTCTAATCAAGTTAGTGGACATTTGATTTGGAAGCAAAGCTGTCTCAGGGCAATGTATATATCCGTGGAACCTCGAAAGCCTCAACAGCTACACAACCCGTTAGCGCTGTTCTGCCTCATATCCTCGCCGACATCCTTCCTTTGATCACTGCAAGCCACGAGCTGTCTATTTCTGATGCTATCGAAATTCGAAGCCAGGAGATCTCGCAAATATGGAAGTGGAACGGGCCAATGCCTCCCACCATCGATCGCTGTATCCAGGATATCATCAGCGAAAAGGCACAAACCCAGATCGACCGTCCCTCTGTCGTATCATGGGATGGAGAGATGACCTATGCACAGCTAGAGGAGCGATCAACATGGCTAGCAAAGCATTTGGTCCACTTAGGCCTGCAAGTTGGCCGAGCTGTGCCCTTATGCTTCGAGAAGTCAATGTGGACAATTGTTGGTGTGTTGGCAGTTACGAAGGCAGGTGGCGCATTGGTTCTCATGGATCCCAGTCAGCCGGAGGGACGGCTGAACACCATTGCCAGCGACGTTGATGCCGAGTTTATCCTGACATCAGAGTTGCAGACAGGCCTCGGCTCTCGCATTCTCCCCAGCGGAAAGCAGATTATTGTTGGGCCGCGGCTATTCCAACACGAGACCGAGTTACCATCTGTCAACCTGCCAGTGGTCCCAGCATCGTCGACCCTGTACATTCAATTCACGTCCGGCAGCACCGGCAAACCGAAAGGTGTGGTGATCTCCCACTCCAACTACACCAGTGGCGCTGTGCCCCGTGCTGCAGCTGTGGGATATGGAGAGCACTCACGCGTGTTGGACTTCCCCTCGTACGCATTCGACGTCAGTGTCGACTGTATGCTGTGCACTCTAGCCAATGGCGGATGTATCTGTGTCCCATCAGAGGATCAGAGAGTCAATGACCTCAGTGGTGCCATTCGCAGTATGAGCGTAAACATGGCCCACATGACGCCGTCAGTTGCGCGTGTGCTAGCTCCGGATATCATGCCGTCACTGGAAGTTCTTGGTCTTGGGGGTGAGGCGATCACTGCTAGTGATGCCGCGGACTGGGGCCAGAAGACGCACATTGTCATCGCCTACGGCCCATCAGAATGCACGGTTGGCTGTACAATCAACAACGATATTCCTCCCAGTCGGTCATACACCAGTATTGGAAAAGGTGTTGGAGGAACGACATGGGTGGTGGACCCATCCAACCAGGATCGGCTGGTACCCATTGGCGCTGTTGGAGAGCTGCTTGTCGAAGGCCCTGTGGTTGGCGACGGGTACCTCAACAACCCAGAGAAGACAGCGGAGGTCTTCATCGAGGATCCCGCTTGGTTGATTGAAGGTGGCGGAGATTACCCAGGCCGTAAGGGTCGTCTCTACAAGACTGGCGATCTCGTCCGGTATGACCCTGATGCCTCGGGCAGTATTGTTTTCATCGGTCGCGCAGATTCACAGGTGAAGCTTCGTGGTCAACGCGTGGAACTTGGTGAAGTTGAATACCACGTCCGCAATTACCTTCCCGCTGGCGCCAGCGTCGCCGCCGAAGTGATCTTTCCAGGTGGGAAGAAATCCGATGCCACGCTGGTGGTGTTCGTGGCAGAAGAAAAGAGTGAGAAAACGGGCGTACCTGGCGAGATCACATCGTTCTCGAGCGCATTCCAGAAACTTCTCGCTGATATCGATGAGGCTCTGGCAAAAAACCTCCCTCGATACATGATCCCAGCTGCATACATTCCGCTCGACCAGATGCCACTCTTGGTGTCGCTCAAGACAGACCGGAAACAGCTCCGTGCTCTGGCAAGCCAATTGACGAGGCGGCACATTGCCGAGCTGAAGATTTCCACCGCAGCCAAGGTGGCACCGCAAACAGAGATGGAGTGTCGACTTCAAGCTCTTTGGATTAAGCTGTTTGGGAACGACACGGAGATCGGCATTCACGACCATTTCTTCAGTCTTGGAGGCGACTCGCTCAAAGCCATGAGGTTGGTAGCTGCTGCACGAGAGCAACTCCTCGCCGTTCAGGTCACCGATATATTCCAACATCCAACCATCGAGAAGCTGGCCCTAAACGTGGTAGAAATTAAGAGCACAGAATCACCAGATGTTCCTCCCTACTCGCTCCTTCCAGATGACTGGAAACCAGAGGAAGTCCAGACCGAGGTTGCATCTCTTTGCAACTTGGATCCTGCTATGGTAGAGGATGTCTATCCTTGCACACCTCTTCAGGAAGCGCTCATGGCTCTTTCGGCCAAGTATGCAGATGCATATGTCGCACAGCGAGTGATAGAGCTCCCTGATGCCAGCGTTGCCGAGCAGCTGCGATCTGCCTTCGAGAGTGTATCGGCAGACTCTGCAATTTTGCGCACAAGGATTGTCCAGGTTCCCCGCCGAGGGTTGGTGCAAACACTGGTGCGAACAAGTTCTCCCTGGATTGAAAGCTCTAATTTGTCCAAATACCTGAGCCAGGACACATTGAGAGGAATGGGTCTGGGTACCGAGCTCGCCCGCTTTGCCATTGTCAAGGATGAGACAACGAACAAGAGCAGCATCGTCCTGAGTATTCACCACGCATTGTATGATGGCTGGTCAATGCCATTGATCGTGGATCGTGTGAACCGCGCATACCGCGGTGAGACTATTGGCAGCCCAACGCCTTTCAAGAATTTCATCAAGTGGCTCGGTAATACCGATGGAGCATCTTCCAAGGCATATTGGACCGAGCAGCTGCAAGGTGCTACTTCAGTCCAGTTCCCTGTTATCCCATGGACTGGATACCAAGCTCGCGCCGACTCTCTCCTAGAGCACTATGTCAAGCTGCCCCGGGCTTCGTCCAGCTCGACTACCAGCATTGCTACTGCCATTCGAGGTGCTTGGGCACTTCTGGCCTCGCAGTACACATCTTCAGATGACATAGTTTTTGGAGAGACGATGACCGGCCGCACAGCGCCTGTAGCGGCCGTAGAGGAGATTGAGGGCCCGATGATCACGACTGTCCCTGTTCGTGTCTCTATTGATCGCAAGGGTCGGGTCTCGGACTATCTCCAGAGCATTCATGATCAAGCACTGCACCGCATTCCTCATGAGCATATGGGTCTGCAGCACATTCGACGTCTGGACGCCGACGCTCGGGAGGCCTGCGAGTTGCGCACCGGCATTGTTATCCACCCGACCGCTGAGGAGAGTGCTGTCGACTTGGAGAAAAACCCTGCTACCGCATTCGTTCCAACAAGCGAGGCAGAGGCCGCCCGTGAAGCCTTGAAATTCAACTCTTATTCCAACATGCTGGTCTTCACGGTCGATCCTAAGGGATTCCTCATCATGGCCAGCTTCGATTCCAAGACCATCGACGTCCCTCAGATGGATCAGGTGCTGAAGCAATTTGATAAGCTGGTACAGAAGCTCCTCGATGACCCAGGTCAGCGCATTGAGAACATCTATGATTCCACAGTGCAGATAGATATGACGGAACAACGGCGTCTAGCCACACTCGGCCCAGCAAGTCTCCCTGCAAAGGAGGTTTACGCTGATGCAACGGCCACTTGGATTGTGGATCCCAATGACCATGAGTGCCTAGCTCCTGCTGGCGGAGTTGGAGAGCTACTTATTGAGCGAGAGGTTGAGTGGGATTTCGGTGATCTGATTACCGCTCCAACTTGGCTTAGCCATTCCCCGAAGATGTACTCCACTAACCAACTGGCGAAGTACACCAGTGAAGGTTCGGTTATTATTGTTCGCGCAAAAGATGCGCAAGTTGGGCAAGTCAGACGCCGTATCAAGAGACATGACAGTGGTACAGCCGTAACGACTGTCCCGCAGCAAAAGCTCCAGCGACTCTGGGGACAAATTCTGGATGTCCCATTCGAGGACATCCTTTTGGATGATGACTTCTTTGACCTGGGAGGCGACTCCATCCGTGCCATGAAGCTGGTCTCAGAGGCACGGGCTGAAGGTCTGCAACTGACCGTGACTACCATCTTCGACCATCGGGCTCTCTCTGACATGGCTCAGCATGCCGTGGAAGCACAGCCGGCGAAGACAGTAGCTCGTGGATACGTACCATTCAGTACACTTGACGTGACTGATGTGGATTCATTTGTCGCTAACATTCGTCCGAAGCTCGCGGAGCCCGAGTGGCAGGTCATCGATGCGTATCCAAATCGTCCACTCCAGGAAATTGCCGTCCAGGGCACCGTCCAGCTTCCTCGCTATTCTGTGCGTTATGAATTATTCTATATGGACACTGTGGTGGACCGCAACCAACTGTTCAAAAGCTGTCAGGAGCTTGTTTCTCGTAATGAAATCCTTCGCACTATGTTTGTGGAGCATGATGGGGCGTCCCTGGGCGTAGTTGTGGATGACATCAAATGCCCAATCGTCGAATATGAAATTGATACTGACATCGAGGCCTTCAGCCAGAAGGTCTGCGAAGTGGACGTTCAATCGCGCATTCCCCTTGGATCCCCCTTTGTGAAATTCATTTTCATGCAACACGTCGACGGACCCAGCAGCTTGCTCATGCGCATTTCGCATGCCCAATACGATGAGATCTGTCTTCCAATCTTGTTGCAGCAGCTCTCGGCCCTATACGAGGGAAGACCAGTGCCCAAGAGTCTACCGTTCTCCTCATACGTCGACCACGTTCTTCGCGCCAACTTGCCGATCAGCATTCCGTATTGGCAGAACCTCCTGCAAGGATCATCCATGACACGGATCCAGCCAGACATCCCAATTGTGTCAGGGGCCCACTTCGCAATCTCCAAGGATGTCAGTATTGCCGCGCGACCGAGGGACATCACAGTCGCAACTCTGCCTACGGCGGCTTGGGCACTGTGTCTCGCCCGCCGCCTTTCCCTTCACGACGTTACATTTGGTGAAGTAGTGAGTGGCCGGAACATCGACCTTCCCAATGCAGACGCAGTTGTTGGGCCATCATGGCAATATGCACCTGTGCGCGTAAAGTTCGCAGATGGATGGACAGCAATTGACCTCCTGCAATTTGTGCAGCGGCAACATCTTGAAAGTGCACAGTACGAGGGCATGGGTCTCAAAGAGATCGTCCAGCAATGCACTGATTGGCCGGAGACAGTTGACTGGTTTGATTCTGTTGTGCACCAGGATGTTGAGCACGTTGAGGACCTGTCTTTCATGGCGGCCAGTAGTCGCATGCAGACTATCTACCCGCATTTCGAGCCCTTGCGGGAGATCAAAGTGCAGGCATTCCCCAAGGGGGACACTCTTTGCATTGAGATTGTCACTGTGGAGTCCTGGTCTGACTTTGCCATTGCATTGCTGGATGATGTTGTTGACACTCTTGGGCAATTGGTGAATCATGTTCATGCAAAGGTTTTGTGAATTTGTACCTATTTATTGTTATTTAGTTTGGTTTCTTCTTCGCATATATCCACGTCCGCCAACCATATCCTTGCTACTCGTCTTCATAACCAATCTCCTCTAACGACCGCATAAATGGTGATTTCATCGGCATTTTCGAAATTTTTAGCGTTTGGGATCATCTCATTGACCCCCTAATCTATTTCAGCGCCGTATGTCCTGGGTCGAATCGAGCTATGAGCTTTTCCACCTGCTCATCCCAGAACTTGTTTGCCCGTTTCTGGTATCCCCTGATGCAGAAATATTCCAGGCTATCTGGCAGAGACTCCACTAGCATGGAGTTGACTCTCTTCGTGCGAACCGTCCCGCCGAGCCCATCGGCAAAATACAGCAACAATCCAATGCCCATACTGAGTTTTTTTCAACGCCACAAAGTCTTTGAGTGTTCCTCTGTGTTTCCAAACTCTCGCCAAGAATTCATGTCGCTCGCGTTCAGAATCATCGTCATCTTCGTAGTCGCCGTTACAGGGGCCTTCCCACATACTGTCGTCGAAGTCCACCCCAAGACTACCTCGCAAGTCCAAGTAATCGGCGCGGAAAAAGAAAAAATGCGTGTCGGCATCAACGTCAAGAAGTTCCAGGGTTTCCTTGTGCTCGCATAACCCTTTCATGAGTGCTTTCGGGTTGAAGCCGAAATATGTCCCATCACGAAAGCTCCTGCCTCTAGTGCTGTATTGAAACTCTCCGAGGGCTTTGCAAGAGGACATAACTCGTAACAGATAGGTCGTGATCACAGCCGAGTGGTTGATTCAAACCCTACAAATGTTTGGAGGTTTTGTGCTCGTATCCCGGCAGTCCATTATTGGCATCTTCTTCAAGCAGGTCGATTCCGACAGACTCGATGGATGGGAGTCGATTGAAAGGACCAAGACAGGTAATCATATCTCCTTGAACGAAGTCACGACTGTCAAATATTCCCATGTTGCCATTATTGATCAAATACACATCGCGTAGTTTTTGAAGGTAGTGCTTGCCCTTCGGGCTGCGGTTAGTTTCGCTCAGAAGCTCGACGAGCGGATAATATTGTCGATTCTTGGTGGCCTCATCGAGATCAACGTGGTGGTAAAAAGGCTGCGTCATGCCCAAGAATACAAGATTCGGCGACACGGAAAGTAGAATGCAAGCTAACGCCTGTACGACAAATGCTGAGCGAATTCCATACTCGCTGTTGGGTTAGATATCTAAACGGAAGCTGGATTTAACCCTTTTACTGCTTGAAAATGAATGGAGCCTTGTAATGACTTGGGGTCTTTTGCATCAGCATGTTAACGACCCGCTCCTGTTTGGCACCGACGAAGCCAGCATCTCGGACAGCAGTTCTGAGAAGGCCCATATCTTACGGGCTCAGCTCGTGTTCATAGTCTTTTGTTGGGTAGTCAGAAGAATGGTCTGGTGTTCTGATATATTCAATCCTCTCAACAAATTGCCCAAGACGGGGTCGCTTCAAGATATCCATGAGAAACCCAAACGCATGGTCGATGTTTTCGTGCTCTCTGGTGATACGAATACGTTGATATTTCTTGCCCTCAAAAATATCACAAAATAAGCGAATTCCATGTTCTGACCTAGAATTGTTCGAAGACAGATTGGGAAGTAGAAAGGGTATGAGGTTTCCTTTATATCGCTAGTAGGTGAGAATGAGGCTTGATCGGGGAAGCAGACGCATTGGCAAGACAGCACCACACGCCATCCGCGATAAATTCACCATCATTTTGTGGACCATGCGAAGCACTGTTACCTCTTTGGGCATGAAATCTCAGAGTAGGCGTTGATATTTATAGGTCACGTGTCTCAAGGCTGCCCCTGACGCTAGTGCTGCACTCTTGAGACATACTAATGAATGAAACAGCTCTTTTTGATTCAGGCCAGCAGGTTCAGCTCTTGTTTCCTCTGTTGGTTTTTGTTTTTTCCGTTGTGTGTCTTATCTCGGAAACTGAATATTTCAATTAGTTGGGGGAAAGCTTTGGGAGATACGGAGAGATGAGCGACGATCACATACTGAAACGGGGATGGAAAAACGATAAGCCGACAATAGGCTTCCCCGATATTACTTTCAGGGCGATGATTCACTGACAGTAAGCATTCTACTCGCTTTTGGCTGCATTTTAGTCGAGCATTGGTTTGTCTGGCGGAGACTGAGACAATTGGTTGTGAGAAGCCCTTCAGGAACCAGTGTGAACATCATTTCGGAGTCCCCCGCCACGCCAGCCATGAAAAATATCACTGCGATCACGCTGGCCGCTCTTGCGGTCACCGCGTCATGTTCAGCTCCGGAGCCCACTGGTGCTAGCTATGCATCTGGATTCGACATGAAGAGGAGCTGGGCCAACCTAAGCCCCTATAAGGACGCCGAAAGCTTCGGTGTCCCCAAGGGTGTGCCGCAAAGCTGTGAATTATCTCAGGTTCATGTCTTGCACCGTCATGCCGAACGGTACCCGACTGATTATCCCCTTGACGGCGAGGGTATGCAAGATTTTGCGACCAAGTTGACCAACTATACCAAGACCCACCCCAAGAAGAAAGTGGGCTCGGGTCCTTTGAACTTCCTGAATAACTGGAAATATGTCCTTGGTTCTGATGCTTTGATGGAGACTGGTGCAGCTACCGAGGCGACATCGGGAGCCAACTTCTGGACCAAATATGGTAGACTGCTGTATCGCGCTGACCGCGACACCATGGCGGCATGGAATTCTTCTCTCAATGTCTATCCTAACGGCACCGCTCGCCCGAAGCCTGTTTTCCGCACTACATCTCAGGGCCGCATTCTGGAGAGTGCTCGGTGGTGGCTCAGTACGTTCATCTGTTCTTTCGCTCTGACAAAATACTGACTTGGTGCAATAGGTGGATTCTTTGGTAACAGCGGCGCCAACAGCTCCTACAGTGAATATGACCTTGTTATCATTCCCGAGGAGTCTGGTTTCAACAACACTCTTGCATCATATGAAGCATGCACAGGTGATATGACAGAGGGGTGAGTAGATATTTTTCCCTTCAATGGATATTCAGTATTAATTGAACCCTACAGTGATGACTCTGCGACAACGTTCATCTCTCGGTACACCAAGGATGCTCGCTCTCGTCTCTCGGCCTTTTTCCCTAGCGACTTTAACTTGACCGCATCCGACGTGCTCGCCATGCAGAATCTGTGCGCGTACGAGTACACCAGTCTCGCTGGCTCATCCTTCTGCTCCTTATTCACCGAGCAGGAGTGGAAGGACTTTGAATACAACGTCGATGTGCAGTACTATGGAGACTATGCCTGGGGATCCCCGACCGGTCGTGCCCAGGGCATCGGCTACGTTCTCGAACTCGCGGCTAGGCTCCAGCAGAAGCTGATCACCTCCAGTGATACCAGTATCAACTACACCTATGATGACAACACTGCCCAATTCCCCTTCGGCCAGCCCTTCTACATGGATATGTCCCATGACGATATCATCCTCTCGGTGATCAACGCCCTCGGCGTCGACTACTTCAAGTACGGTCCCCACGGCCTGCCAGGCGACCTGGACCATGCTCCGAAGCGGAACTTCTCTCTTAGTGAGATGACACCCTTTGGTGCTCGCTTCATGTCCGAGATTTGGACTTGCCCTCGCAACCATTCTTTCAACGACTTGGACCCGGTGCTCTATGAGAACCCTGTTGTGGATTCCACTGCTGATACCACGGATTATATTCGCTTCGTCCTTAACAGTGCCCCTCTGCCTCTTGAAGGTGTTGTTGGCTGCGAAGGGGCCAGGAACGGGTTCTGCCCAGTTGATCGGTTCTTGCATGGTATCCCTACTCTGGAACATACTGCCAACTATCAGAAAGCGTGCTTCGGTAAATATCCTACCGGAAGTCAAGTTGGAGATGGTGCGCCCTCTTCTTAACCTGAAAGAATATTCCACGATATCATTTTCGCTTTCGTTTTGTATATATAACTAGACGGCAAACGATCAGTCAATACGAGCATATGGAATACACGCCTATGATAAAATTCCTTCTTATTATTTTATGCGTTCATAATTGTGGTTATTTTTGACCATGTGGTTGATGTGTAGGCCAAGCCCCCAGTCTTTCTCGGAGCACTGCGCCTAGGGGGTCCCACTGGTGGGGACTTGGCGCCCCGGGATGTTTGGAAATTGGCAACGGACAATATTCTTAAAGATGATAATTTATTGCCTAGGCAGCCAGACAGCTCAATCATAAAGATGTAATAAATGGCACAAATGCAATTAGGAAGTATGCTACCTGCTACCGAAGCGAACAGAAGTTCCAAGCTAGACTATATATATTTCGTCTTGCAAGCCATGCACAAGGATATTTCCTATCATAGCCGATACCTTCGCTAACTCTTGCTATCCTGCGAGCCCTATGTACTTGATTTCCTCTGCCACTTCTGGGCGTTCTCTTTCTGTTTTAGTGCTCAGACCTTGCCGCTTTTTGCTCAGTGAGTAGATCTGAGCACGCCCCTGAGCGCCCTGATCCGCTCACTGAGTCTGAGCTGAATTTGGGGTGAGCAGCCTGAGTAAGCTACGTCAATAAAATGCAAAACGGCTCATGGCACAGTACAGCTGAACAGCGGCCAGCCCTCATTAAGGTGCTGTTCATGATAGAAAAGGACCCTTCTAAAACTGCGATGTCAGTATACAAATAGGTCACGATGTATATTTTATCAACTGCAGCAAGATCATTCATTCGGTGTGTTTGTTAGTTACGCTTTATGTGCCTCCAAATATCACTGAGTATGATGTCGTCCCTATAAGACCATTTCTGGTAGTGCCAGTGATCCTGATCATCATGAGGATATCAGAGCCCAGCCCACCGGTGTCTGCTAGCAGCATCCCTATCTCGTCTTGAGATAGAAGCAAAATTGTCATATAAACAAATTCGGAAGATGGCCCATCTCAAGATCATATAGTATGACCTTTTCCCTTTCTTTTGTCCCCATACACTAGACGGAAGTCGTTGCCAGCTTTTGATGTCGCAGAAGTTTTGTGCAGCCAATCCATCAGTCCAATCGCACCAAAATTGCAGTTGGCCTTCTCATGATGAAAATCATGCGCTTGGACGTTTGGCAGCCACCAAATTGTATAGCCACTATAGTCAAGCACAACATAAAAAACGGTCACGAAAAAGAACAGGAGATATGACACCATGTGCGCGCGGCGGATCGCAAGTGGTAGGTATAAGGGAGCACCGCCATTGATATTGCTCTCTATAGGGTGCATGTAGCCAGCAGTAAACCCTATAGGCGCCTGAAATTCGTGATGGACAAAATGGAAATGTTTATATAACCACTTCCCATGAAATAGTCGATGTATATAGTATACCATGGCTTCCCAACATAATGTCCCGTAGATAAAGTCAAAGAGCAAGATTCTACCAGTTGGTAGAATAGGATCCACGTGGAAAGGGGAGAATTGCCATCCAAAATATAGCTTAGAAAGTGCAACAGTCGATATTGCGAGGATAATGTTGAAAATAACCATGAGAATACATCTCATAAGCTTCTTCCCCTGGGGTCTTTTCTTTTGGGTCTGCCTCTTATGGCGGCTTGCAAACTCGGGAAGTACTGCATCGACCAATAGCAGTATCGTGGAAGGTATGATGAGCGCAAAGATAGAAACAAAGACAGATATTCCAACTTCGATCACACCGGCAGGATGTTGCTCAACGAGATCCTTCCAAGCAATTGTAAAGTGGTTAACAAAAAGGACATCTCTGTTGAAACCAGAATGCTCATTTGATATGACGAAGCGTGAATGTTTAAAGAATACAAAGTTCCCACTATAGGCCGATAGATGTGCAATTTATAGTTTCATCGCTCTTGTGAAGGCGTACGCTGACTTGAAACTCCCTGGTTGGGCATTCAAGGGAACAAGACAGTATTCGTCCCGAAAAAAACGTAATCTGTGATCTATCCCTTCATTTTTTAGTATGATCGATCCCTAGTTGAAGTGTCTGACTATAAAGGTATGCACAGAATTGGCGCCTGAATGTTCTGAATGGTCGTCGCAGAACGAGCCCCTTGTTCCCCAAGTGAAAATTCTCTATAAGTCAAAGGTCTAAGGAGACTTCTTGTTGTGATAGTTTAAATACCCTCGAGCACCACAAAAAGTCCCAATGCCCTTTTCAATATAGAATTGACTCAACAATAAGTTGCACGATAGTAAACGATTTACGTGTCAGGAAAGAGCCCCTCAGCTTCTAAGCTAGAATGTGACTAAACAATTCAGAGACAAAACATCAGCCTATTGTATAAATCTCTGCAAGTACGACCAATGGTGAGCACAAACTTTGTGTTTGCCTATAAGGTATTTCGATCCTTAGTGACTACTTCGAGCTCCATTAAAACTCATTTCAAGTAAGGGGGTATCTAGAACCGCTTCCTCATTAAGCTTTGGGTCATCCCGAACAATCTATGATAGTAACAGCCCACTTGCTGTACGGAATACATAGACTCAATGTCATACTTGGATGGCTATGACGGCAAATCCTCACCGTTTAATACATCACGAAAGGAGCAAGGCACTATATACCACCCCCTAGGGCTTATAGAGGAGACTAACCTTCAGGATTTCTCTATTTCACAATTCAGCAAAAGGCCCTTGCTTTCCTCCACTTATGTCAAAGCAAGAGAGCGCAATCAAATGAAGTCGTCTTGCAGCGGCATCAAATTGCCCTAGGGAACTTTGATTCAGCGACTATAGGGCCATGTCTAATGGCTCCTTATAGCACCAAAAGGCCTATAGGACGCGGTGCGATAACAAAGACCCATTTAAGAACCCTGGCCTATCATAGAGCTTAGCGCAGAACAAAGAATATTGTCAAAAGTCAGCTCTAACTACTTCAACACCACCTCAAGAAGCAAATGGATCCGCCCAACTATGAAACACAAGAGACGATATTGCAAGGGCTATCGGACAAGCATCCGCGGTATATCGGGCTTATTCGTGCGATTCCTTTGGTTGCAAAGTGTATTCCTGATAACTTGAAAAAGGATCTTATAGCGAAGTCTAACTCAGAGGCCATGAAATTGGGTATTATACTGATGAAAATGTGGAGCATTTGGGCGGCGTCCTGATGAATTGTTACATACACACTATCCTATTCCTAGTTTGCTGTGAAAATTTTACATATACTATTTTACCTTATTCAATATCGAATCAGTGGTCTGTAGAAGAAAATAAGCCTTATTAAAAACAGTGGTATTACTTAACAGAGACTTAGTATGAAGGATGTAAGATGTCCGGAAGAGGGCTCTAATAGTTAGCCCGTATAGGGTTCCCTTGTGTAGGTAACACCACAAATTACCCCTTACTGTGCACAATGCAGTGAACCTTCCTCCCTAAAGGAAGCGGAAGCGGTAGTTACAAATTGGACGGTCACCTTCCTGACCATGGTTGCCTGTGGATGTGTGAAGGCTTCTTGCAATTCGTAATCCTCTAATGTAAGCCTTGTAAAAGCCTATCTACTGTTTTTATAGCAATGCAATATTCAAAGAAGCAAGTGTCTCTTTTATGTGTATATGATGACACCTGTTTTCGGAGTACTCTACCATAAAAGAACCTAGCATTCAGTTTCCCGAGAGCAACAAGTTTGGGCTTTAATACCGCAGAGAATAGAGCATGAGCATTACTGAACGTGCCTCAAGACTATTTATGCTAGGGCAGCGTTGATATTTTCCACGGGCATTTTGTAATCTACTTATGGTACCTGAAGCGATCCAATATTTGGAATAGCCGATGGGGAACGCACAGGCACAATATTTTGAGGGAAATACATGTTACCTCAGATTTTACGTTAGGAAATTGTATTGGGAGCTTCCAGTCCCGGTGTCGTAAATATGACCGACGTGTCTGTTCTCTTAGACCTTGTCGGCGAGCCGGTTTGCTACATTTCTTTGATTGATTACACATTTTCTTCCTCTTTAATACGCTAGTCTTAGCCATTGCTGCGTTCTCAAAGGCTAGGCTTTGTTAGACAAGAGTAGACGCTTATACCGCTTGCTAAGTTTGATACCATAATTAGGAATACCTATTGAGTGATTATAAAGCTCCACACAATAAGACAGAGACCGTCTAAGCTTACGATACCTATCCTATAAAATCATTCTGCTAATGTGTCTCTAGAAGCCTATTTTCCCACATAGTGCCAGGATTATTCTCGACACTAGTGGACAATGTATCCTTTTCACAATCCACTTTGAAACCTAAAACAGTCGGTAGTATACAGGCAGTTAATGTACACAGTGCCTCACTAGAAATGACACCAGGACCTGTCTTTCAATCCCCTTATTCACGATCGCACTATGAAGACGAATTTCCTATAATGCTTTCGGAACCGGAAGGTCACAGCCTAGTACGAACTTCATCCATGCAAGAGCTACTGTCGACAATGTCAAACCAAGTAGTCACCCCTCTGAATAAGTCTTCCGGGAAGGCCATTCCAGCTGATGCGTACGAGGCTACTGGGTTATCGATAGATTGGGAAGGCAGACACGGCCCGACTGATGTGGCCGAGCATTTTATTGATCCGTCATCCTTCATTAACACATCGGACGATGATGTTCTCAATAATGGCGTATATATTACTTGGATGAGCGAAACCGAGGCTTTATCGGCATGCTACATCATGGGTCTTATAGAAGATTCTAGTAGGTCCTCCGAATTGCCTTAACTTTAACTACCTATGACAGAGCTAGTATCATTTTTAACAGACAGCTTCCTGAATAGAGTAGGAGAACCGTTAGATAGGTATTACCACGGACAATCGGTGGCTAAAACCACTGCACCCACCTTAGCAAAAGTGACCGGCGCTGGAACAACTTCTCGTGGCCGTTCTACTACCTCTTCCGAGGGGAGCTTACGGCAAGAATTAGGACTTAGTAGGCCCTTTTAGGCATCTACCGAGTCGGAGTATATGCTTAAGAGCCTTAGGGGGTATGTGACTGTCTAAATATCTTCCCCAAGCGGTCAGATAGTCACACTAGGTCGGTCAGCCATATAGTCTTCCATAACCGGTCGTTTTACGAGTTCTTTATCACCTGTCACTTCAATAACTTTAGCTGCAAATGATGTTAATTTGAATAGAAGCAAAGCATCCCGAAGTCTTTCGAGGCGAACTCTTAAATACATTTTAGGGACCGTGTCCGGCGACCAGCTGGAAGTTTCACGTTTCTAGACTCATAGTACTTGTTTAACAGTTCAACATAGATGAGTTGGTCCTTAATGGATTTGGAAGAAAATAACAACTATGTACTAGCAATGTCATAACCCGCAATTATATAAAGATGCCGTTCATTGTGGGTCAAATGTGAGATGACTTTAAGAGGACTTGACATCAGAAATAAAACACGGTGTAACATCAGTTTGCGATTTGGATTCGTGACACTGCTCGACTAAGATATTGCATGATCCAGTGCAGTTTTTGGTCTCCGAGTAAATGAAACAAAACAGAATATCCCGAGAACTAACTTCGCGTAAATTAAAAAGACAAACAAAATTACGTGTCTTTACATATAGAATCTGAGGACCTGTGAAATCGACGCCGAAAATGGCCTGTTTTGGCGCCAGAAACGGCCGTAACTTTGTAATCTTATACGTAAAGGAGAGATTATTATTATAAGGTATATTATAGTAGAGGATAATATTACAGATAGTTTTATAAAGCTACTATTATCTATAAAGTTTAGAGTATTAATTAAATTAATAAAGATAGATATTAATAGTGATTTTTAAGCGGCAGTGCGCATATCCACCCCATCTTGTAATCATCGGGACTCCGAGATACTGACATAAGTCAACTGTTTCAGGGCTATTGTTAACCGGGGCAGTGGTATGCTGAGGAGTGGAGTAAGAAGCGCGGAGGATGAAGAAAAAGGGTGGGAAAGTGGCACTACGGAAATAGCATGTTTTGCCAATAACCAAGTCATCATGTGCCAAGTGTGGCTGGGGATTTACCATAAACCAATGAAATGGTTCTCGCCTTGTATATGTGGTGAGTCGAGCTGCCTTACCGTGCAGGGGCTGCCGATCCTTACTCATATAAGCAAAAATCCGAAGCGAAGTCATGCAGGAGCTTTGATAATTTTAAGTCGGATCAGATCACGAAGCCATATTCGGGCTTTTACTAATCTGGCTTAGCTGCAGTACAGTAGATATGTTGAGTTGTTCTAATTAGACCGTCCTTTTGCTACTTGGACCATGGTTCTACTTAATTCGGGGTATATCTCTTAACGCAATAACCCACATCAATAAAGTTACATATACTAGTAAATATCGAGATAGCGCAAGACAAAGCTACTGATATACTTTGGCATTCTTCACCACACTTATGCTCCTCATGCCCTAAATTGCTTGGGCTCCTGTGTGGAATACGCCTTCTCGCAGTAGCTCCCTAGCCAAGACCCTTCACCATCTATTCGGACTACCGACGGGCAAAGAGTCGCAATCGATCTAAAAATCAGTCGCCAAGATTCACAATCACACCTTCTCCGCTAGAACCTTCAGCACGAAGATCAAATTCCTCAACGGCTAGATGAGCCCTAGAGCCCGCAATCCCCTGTGGTTACCTCCTATGATAGCCATCTGGGACTAGGCTTGCTATAGGCAATCGCTATTTCTGCACATCTTGCGTTGGCGATGGGAGTGTTACAATCGTAATTGCTTGGCACCTTGGCATTTCCTTGGTCACTTAATCAAAGAAAGATCGTTGGCTAAAGCGATGAGTTACTCCGTTTATTCTACTGATTCTCCGTCGGGGCTGAGGGTATCTCATCATTCTCATCCTCAGGTTATGATAATAGAGATGGAGTGGAGACCGGAATACCGGCGGCGATGAGTATCTCTCCAAACTCTCTGTATATTTAAAAAAGAACTCTTTGTCCCGAAGTTGAGGATTCTATTCAACATCTTCCTGGGGTTTAAAATTATATTATTCAGATCTATATCATTTCAAACTACAATCATGGGTTTCCTCAAGGTCCTCGTCATGTCCCTTGCGACTCTAGCAGTCGTCGATGCCGGTACTCTTCTTACCGCCAGTAATACCGACGCAGTCATTCCTAGCTCCTACATTGTTGTCATGAACGATGACGTTAGTACCGCTGAGTTTAAAACGCATCGTGACTGGGCTGCAAATGTTCATGCTCGTCTTTCTCGCCGTAAGAATGGCGAGACTGGACCAGGAAAGCATTTCGAAATCAATGGCCTGAAAGGATACAGCGCTAGCTTCGACGAGGATACCGCCAAGGATATTGCCAATGACCCGGCGGTATGTTCCTTCATTACCAATCTTGACTCCTCGGGAGCTTTTTGCAATCTAACTCGTGCAAATATAGGTGAAGTACATTGAACCAGACATGGTTGTGAACGCAACCGCTAACGTGGTTCAATCTAATGCTCCTTCATGGGGTCTTGCTCGCATATCTAGCAAGAAGTCTGGTGCTACCGACTATGTGTATGATTCCACTGCCGGTGAGGGCGTCGTGATCTACGGCGTCGACACCGGGATTGATATCTCACATTCCGACTTCGGGGGCCGCGCTAAGTGGGGTACTAACACTGTTGATAATGATAATACCGATGGCAATGGCCATGGCACCCACACTGCATCTACTGCAGCCGGTAGCAAGTACGGTGTTGCAAAGAAGGCCTCTCTCGTTGCTGTCAAGGTCCTTGGTGCCGATGGTTCTGGCACTAATTCGGGTGTCATCTCTGGTATGGACTGGGCTGTTAAAGATGCAAAGTCTCGCGGGGTCACTGGAAAGTCTGTTATGAATATGTCTCTTGGTGGCGAATTTTCCAAGGCTATGAATGATGCCGCTGCCAATGTTGTTAAGTCCGGTATCTTCCTCTCTGTTGCTGCCGGAAATGAAGCCGAGAATGCAAGCAACAGCTCCCCTGCTTCTGCTTCGGAAGTATGCACTATCGCGGCCTCTACCAGCTCAGACGGCAGTGCTTCATTCACTAACTTCGGATCTGTTGGTAAGAGCTCCACCTCCCCTTAGTTTGAAGAATTTTTCTAGTCAAAGCAGCATACTGACGGTACTACTACAGTGGACCTCTATGCTCCCGGGCAGGGCATCACAGCTGCATACCCTGGTGGTGGCTCAAAGACCCTGTCTGGAACCTCCATGGCCGCTCCACACGTTGCTGGTGTTGCTGCATATCTGATTGCTCTCGAGGGCGTGACAGCTGATAAAGCTTGTGCACGCCTTGTCGAGCTTGCTACCTCGTCTATCTCCAGGGCTCCTTCTGGCACTACGAGCAAGCTTCTATACAATGGTATCAACGTTTGATGAGTAACCTCATAGCGTGGCGGATGATTTAACTATGGCCCCGTTGATGGCTATGTTTATATTCTTTAGACGGGCTTTTGCAAAGCCAATGGAGGCTATATTTATGCGTGTTAAACGTCACGGTCTGTTGAATGATTCAGCTTATCTTACTCTTATTGAAGTTTGCGGAGATATTCTATAAATCTATAAAATATCGTGATAACTAGATGACTTTCTAGGGTAACGAGAATCTTCATGGCTGAACGATATACTAGTAAATAGTAAATTTATAGTCATATTCGAAATCAACTTGACATAATTTACAGAAAGTATGCACCTGGGTATAATCCTATAGTTACACAATTTTGCTATAAAAGGAAAGACTCCCTTGTCATCCAACGTGATAGTCGTGAATGCTACGGCACTTGAAGACTCGGATTTTAGTAGTTTGCTCAAGGAAGCCAGCTTTGTTAAGACTATCGGTATGGTTGTGGCATTGGATATCTTGCTCTTCGCGCAGATGCTGCAGATGGAAGTCAGTATAGGAAGTCAGTACAGTTCCATGATGACATTAAAAGTTTTCAACGGTGAAGTAACTTACGCAAAACTAACCGCATCCAGTAATTCACAGGTCCGCCGTTTACGTGCCATATAACGTGTTCTCACTATTATGGACTGGTTACTGTGGGACAGGTTCTGCAGTTTCCTAGGAATACCAAAGGACTAGGTATTGAACTGTTTCACGGCCGTTACGATTCACAGTCCTCTTCGTGATTGTTTTGAGAGGTTTGATGCTTTTGTCGCCCTATACCTCAATAATTATTTCAAAGCCAATTTCACACTGAAATAGATGCTGGCTTACCGTTCCAATAACGCCGACCTTATTATCAAGAATATTGTAGTCTGACTTTTCGGGGGCCGAAGTCTCTACCGAAACGCATGAAAGGCTTTTAGAGTCTAACACAACAAAATCTCGAATTTCGCTCGTTTCTGACGGGATATATTCAGACTCAAAGTCCGAATGCGTGATGTCCTTAACATTAGATTCAGCGGAATACATAGTAGAACCACTATAAGAAGACTCGCCGATTTCTGAAACATAGTGCGGTAGACTTATTGTGATTAAGTCAATCGATAGGGAAACGGTTAGAGAAAGCTGCCTCCGCGAGCGCTCTGATTTATACTCCCTACACCTCGATCATTTGTTAATTTACACTATTTTGAATGGCCTATATCTTTCCGGTAGTGCGCTTTAGGAGCCTCCGTGCGGTAAATAGTCCGGTTGTTCATGGCTATTTCTCAATATAAAGCCAATACCAGAATCTGATGGCTTCGTCCCCTTCCCGTATATTTCTCTGAAACAGTAGTCTAGGAACTAGAAGCTCCTCAACCTTCAGAAGTCGTTGTTTCAAAGGAAAAAGGGTTCTGCTTTTTATCTCATTTACTCAATTAAACAGTATCTAGTTCACTAATTAGACCCTACCGGTATCAGCCCGGTCATAAGGGGCCCCCATTACTAATGCCCATTTTTTAAGACACACTACTCATGCCTGCTACCTATAAATCATAGGTCTCGTTACCATAACAAACCCGATTTTTGAGATTTTTGAGAGCTGACAAGGAGATCCGACTAAACACTTATATCTTAGAAAGCTATGATCTCCAAAACAGTAGTCTAGATAACCGTAGCACTTGCTACCACCTTGGTAATTATAACTACTTTGTAAGCTATTCAAATATGCTAAACTTGACGCTAGATATATGGCCTTGCAATCCATCCTAAGTCTTTTGGCCCTTATAAAAACACTACGGTTGAGTATAACCTTCCCTGATCAAAGATTTGAGATTGTATAACAAGTTTTAGTGCTAACAGCATAGAAGGTGACGGATCTTACCTCCTCTGCTAATATTGCCGCGAGGGGGCCTAGCCCAAAGGCGAAGCTAAGTTAGTCAATATGACATAATCCGGCTATGTGGCATAGCCAGCTGACAGATCCACGTATAGCCTATGCATCTAGAATTCTAGTATATAGACGACCCTATGACAAACATCGGCACTTACATGATCCAAGACCTTAATTCGCAAATCATTGACTATGCGCTCAAGATCAGACTTACTAGGTGTAGAAGCATGTGATAAGGCGTCGCTCGAAACTAGTATTCATTGGCCTAGTTAAACATTGTGATGCGATAGGCACTGTTCCTTAGGAAGCCAGCGCACCATAGTTGTAAGCAAATCGGGCCTACCCTAAAATATGATTCTCATCGTCCTGTCACTTCTCACCTATGGTTATCGAGATTTTTCTTCATTCTAGAATCAGTCCGCAAGGATAGATCTAGATAGGGCTCACCGTTCGAAGGCAGAAATCTGCGGACAACGTCACTGTTTAAGAAATGGTCTCCTTATAGGTCTGATTTGCCTAAAAAGGAAAGAAGCATAGAATTCGATTCAGATAAAGTTATATGAACTCGGTCACCATATTCTTCGGAAACTTACTTAACACCGGTTTATAAGGGTCAAATTCTAGTGGTAAATAAATTCTCAGCCAATCAAAAATGTAAACACCGGCTGTAAGCTATATAACTAAAGATAGCGAATAAGATTATAGGTTAGGTGAGCTTTAGTGAAAAAAAGTCCGACCATCGTTACACCCTATGTAGGGTCAAACAGGAGAGTTGATCCTATTTACATAGAACATTTTTGACGCAGCTTATCAGCTTATCCTTTTTTCCGGCTCCACGTGCTAGTACCAAGGGTGTAAGCATCCATGATAGAGCTGTTATCGTTTCTGATCCCTCGGCTCTTTACGCCTACTAGTTGTTCGGAATCTGGCAACGTTCGAGGCTATGTAATAGGCGTCTTAAATATAACTGTTTTAGATTGAGTAGCTAGTTAGGTCGATAAAAGTGTATAGGGGATGGTATAATCTCAAAATCAGGACTCTAAGTTAGTGAAATATCTAGTCTAATTAAGGGGCTGTGACCCCTTTTGTACGGATTAAAGATTACCTAACCTTTAGAAGACGAACTCCTGCCTGGTATGATACCGTTCCTATCTCCGCCTTTTTTATATCTAAGAACTGTATTAAACCCTCTAGAAGGGCTTCTAAGTAAATGATGACCGAAGGAACCTAGAATGTAAATCCTTAGAAGAATCAGGCGCTTAAATGCCTTGTAAAATTATCCGGGTTGAACATGTTCCCAAAAGCTTTCTAGAGCTTTGTATCCGTTCTAACCGGTCCGGTCCGTTTCCTGCTCCTAGGAGCTCTATTATACGTACTCTGTTAGGGATATATATATCACATGATGTTATACACCGCCTTTATGAAAGTTTCTCCGCCTTCCTGCCTTCTTTCGTCCTCGCTTTTATGGCCTAAGTATGATCCAAAAACACACTTAGGCGATCAGTCTGTCCTCTAACAGAAACTGCTTTTTCCCTATCCTAGATACTCTGCTGCTAAGATGGCTTCTTTTATGCCCTACCTTTGGAGATAGTCGAGTTGATCGCAATAAATCTCGCGCCTTGCGGATTACTTACGCTTCCGTGCGATTTGCTAAACAATATGGCGCGTATTTGGGTGTAAAACTTTGATATACCTTTTAGATGATATCACTAGACGCGACGGCAAAAAAACCTGGAGGAGGGAATAGTGGATTGTTATTATATATCTCGAGGGAGCTGTGAGGATGATTCGTCTTTTCCGACCAAGAAAATCTAGGGCGGCCTTAATAGCTCTAGGTATCTGCGTTTTACCCCTACCACCTTCGCCCGTAATACACATAAGTAGTTGCGCGCAAAGGTATCCGACTAACGTCGAGAGAGAATCTGGTGTGGGATTTTCGAGACCAAGCTAGACCGGTGCATCACTATGCACGTTTATATTAGTCAATATAGGCTACAGCATGCCATCCTTATTAACTAGATCAAAGTCATGTAGTTATGAGGTAGGGTTAGAAGGGCCACCGTCCTAAAAGGATTTTTAACGGCTAGCAAGGTGATTTTCTCAATCCTGTAGGACTACGGGTGGAAAATGTCTTAATGACTGACAGTGAATGTAGCACAATAAAAACAGTCTTTATATTTACATAACGGTGTAGGGAAACCTAACTAAATAGGGAAAACCTTAACCAAGACGTATCAAGAACCCTATCCAATCGAGACGCCTAATTATTCCACAACACATTCCCTAAGAACAGTAATTTGGATATACTAGCAAGGAGATATATCAGTGGATATTGTAACAATATTAGTGTTGATTCCTTCCTAGTTCTTACCTCGACGAGGTTGCCGGTCCCGCAGTACCATGCGTGTTCACAATAAGAGGTGTTTACTAGGCTTGTTTAGTACAAAGGTATTCTTATGTCAACCTCTCAGGCGGAAGGGGTTCAATCACATACACACTATCCACGTCCCGTCCCATCCCGATCAGCCTATATATTCTTATATCATCTCCCAAGCAGAAGGGGTCAGCACATACACTCTATTCTCGTCGCATCTCGGTCAGCCTACATACTCTCAAGTCATCTCTCAAGCAGAAGTGGTTCAAACACATACCGTCTATCGACGTCCCATCTCGGTCAGCCAATATATTTTCATATCATCTTTTAAGCGGGAGGGGTCAAGCACATACAATCTATCCACATCCAATCTCGGTCAGCTTAATATATTCTCATATCATCTCCCAAGCGGAAAGGGGTCAAGCACATACCATCTATCCACGTCCCGTCTCGGTCAGCCTATATATTCCCAAGTCATCTCTCAAGTGGAAAGGGGTCATGCACATACACACTATTCGCGTCCCATGTCGGTCAGCTATATATTTTCATATCATCTGTCAAGCAGAAGGGGGTCAGAACATACCTTCTATCCACGTCCCATCTCGGTCAGCCTACACGCTCTCAATTCATCTCTCAGAGTTTACCAAATACTATTGAACATTTCAGCTAAGTTGCTCCTATCGATGATTCATATATCCGATGTACTGCTACAAGTAAAACTGATTGCACTAGAAAAATACTTTTCCATAGCATATATAACTATCCAAGAAACATCGCTTGAACGAGTCGGAAAAGACAGAAAATGATAAACATCACATGTATACACCAAATGACCTATTTCTAAACGGCTAGATAAACAACAGAGTATCTGCGCCCATAGAAAAGGATATATCAGTGACAAAATAGAGCGGACAAGCCTCCTGGCTAGCATTCAGCGGCCGCAGAACTGAAACCCGACAAAGATAAAGATAAATACACAGAGAAGGAGACACAAAGAGAAAAGAGAGCCATATAGCATAGACCAATCTTACTCAGAAATTCTCCCTATCAGATGAAGGCGAGATACTTCCATTAGAAAGTGGTGCGGCGGCCACCAGCAGCGGTAGTGGTAGAAGAACCAGACTGGCCAGGGGGAGAGCCACCACCCATGCCGGAGCCGGAGCTCTCATTCTCAACACCACCCTGCTCCGTGTAGAAAGCAGCAGGGGTAACGGTGGTGTCCTCGGTGGGGTCCATGCCCATAGAGATCCAGGCGAAGATACCGTCAGATACGGAGTCACCGAGGTAAACGTACTCCATGAAGGGGTCGATAGTGTCAGCCTCCTCGGAGAGGATGGAGTCATTGGCGTTGGTGGTCACTTCCTGGGTGTTGGTGGAGTAAGGGGCGGTCTTCTCGACTTCGGTGATCAGGTCCTGATCGAAGAAGATCTGGCCGACGTGCGAGGAAGACGAGGAGTACAGGCCGGAGATGGTACCGTTGGCATTAACGGTGGTCTCGTTGACGGGGTGGGTGAGCACTGATTGCGTATTAGCTATTTAGGTCTTGAGTTGGGGATTGTTATTTTGTTGTTATTTGTCATACCGTGGATATGGGTGGCACGGCTGGTATAGTGGCCAGGGAAGATAGACTCCATGTAGACCACGCCATTCTTGTCACTGGGTTGGATACCGCGGAGCCAGGTGGTATCGATGTTGGCCTCATCGGAGGAGTCACCGTTGCCGCTGGCAACGATACCGGAGTAGACACCGGTGGCGTTGCAGTGCCAGAGGTCGGTGTAGATGTCGGGGATGGGCTCGCAGGTGTTGGTGTTGATCAACTGGATGTCCATGTAGAGAGGGACACCCTCCTGGTCCTCGACGATGTTCTCACGGATGAGCTCGCCGGTGACGTAGTAAGGGCCCTGGGTGACATCGGGGCCGAGGATGCAAGTAGCCTCGGATCCAAACAAGACGCTGGGGTCAGTGGAAGCGCTGACACCAATCAGGGTGGAGTTGTGGTCGGTGTTCAAAACGCTGTTGAGGGAGCGGGCCTTGTGGAAGTGGGCATCTGCGTTATTGAGTTAGTCTCTTGGTGCTTCTTTTGCAAGTGAATAGATCTAAACTCACTGTGTTGCAGACCACGCTTCTGGCGGATGGCTTTCACACGGTTAGCACGGCGAACAACATTGGCGTTCTCATGGCCACGGGCCTTGAGCTTGGAGGCACACTGCGCGAGGCTGCGCTGGTGAATGGGGGCGTTCTTCAGGAAGGCAGCACGCTCGGCGGCCTCAGCACGAACATCGTGACCGGGATGAGCAGAGACAGCACCAGTCAGACCGAGAAGGCCGATGGCGAGGGCGGAAGCAAGTTGAACCATTTTATAGATATATCTTCAAGGTATTGGAAGAAGAGACAGTGTATTGAAGTGAATTGGTGCTGATGAAGAAAAGAGGACCTTACACTGCTGCTGATTTCCGGCCTTTTATATCTATGCCATGGCCATTTCACGGAGGTGATGCGTATACTCTTTCCAAGAGACAGCTGACGAAAGGCGTGGGCTCCTTCATCAAAACTCTACGAATTAGAAACACAATGTTTCTCAGCGACACAAGGTACGCAATAGTCTGCCGGACCCGCTGCGGACCTCACGGCGTACCAGGAATAGCGCAGACAGGCTTAGATACAAGGTCATTGATTGAAAAGCCTCTGATTGGACGTCAGTAGTGGTCGGAGGAGGAGCTACCGTCCCAGAGGAGTCTTGGCAGTATTGATCCAGGTGGATCCGCAGGTGAAAGAAGCACTAGGACGTTGCCAAGTTAGGCTAAGCAAGTAGTTTGTTGCAGATTCTCCATGAGCCTGGGGCTAGCGTGCTGAGGGCTTCGGCTTTTAGCATGAGTTCGGCTGGTGGAGGATGATCCGAGGGATCTGCAGTGATGACGAGGCGACGTCCACTCCGAGGCTGATTCACCAGGCACAAGTGCTGCATATGTTGCGCCTTCTTACTAATTCGGTGCACTGCATTGGTGGGATATAAAGTGGTGGTGGAACTTGGGTCCGTTCCAGTATAGTCACGGATGGTAGACACGGCAGGTAGATTGCAAGCGTATTCGTCCATTGCCATATTCAATGCATCTCAGCCACACAGCCACTCTGCTAGTTGGGAAATCTTGCTAAAGGTTCTAACGTAGTCAGCGTACGTACCCTTCCTTGGCGGCCCCGTAAGCCCTGCGGGAAGACCCCGACCAGACCCTAAAGAAAGGACTAAGCGACCTCTGCGTTTCAAACTAGGTTAAGTGGGAAACGAAGCTGGTTCGAGCCACAGTGCTACACCCTGTAAGGCGGAGCACAGGGGCGCAATCCGCATAAGTTGAAGCCCTGAAGAGCACAAAATTATACCGAGGCATTACATAAGCACCGGATCTTGGCATTGCTTCGTATCGGGAGGAGAGGAAGGTCTCTGAGGCTGTTTCTGCGAACATTCTGGAAAAGGCGCATGACACATCATCTTCCTGAGACAGACTAGACAATGGGCAGTGTTTTGACTTGCGCGTCTTCCTCCGCCACACTATCAATCACTAGACGCCCCTCTGGCCAAGACAAAAGTGCCTGGAGCAAATTGAAATGATCGGCAAGAACAATAACCCAATCTGGGACCATATCATACAAGGCTCCGACGCCATGTCGAACCTAAATCGATTATTCAGCGGCCCCAATATCACAAAATGCCGTTGACGTAAAGGGGTAACGCAGAGAAATTTCTCATGTGCACGCATGTTTAAACCTGCGACATAATATCACCGAAAAGAGATCTAAACCAAAAAACCTCCACAAGTCGGCTGGTGAGCTGTTGCTGCATTGATCCTGAATCACCCCGAGTATTGATTGTGAGTAATTCGAAGTGTATGTTGTGCTCACGAGTTTGAGATCATGGCCAGCGATACACCTCAGAGCCCGAGACTGAGCCGGAATACTCTATGACATTCAACCATTCAAACAATAAAAGTAGTTTCATTCATATGAGTTGCTCCCTGTTGTGTTCACAGAACCATAGCTAGAAAAAGGGGAGACGTGATCAGCTCGACTACAACCTGCACATGACATTTTTGGAGGTGAAGTCCAATAAGCCATAAAAACTGAGGCACACGAAATGGCTTCATGATGGTGGCAAACCCGGCAAGACCAGGAGTTATCCTTCTTCCACCAAACAGCTCCGCAATCAACAATCCACGTTTCTTTGTTGTGGATGGAATGATTGTTTCCAAGGTGGGAGGCAAGAGACTTGCTTCGGTCACTGTCAGAATGATGGTTCCTGGCAATATGCCTACCACGTGGAATACAATTACGATCATCACTATCAAAACATCGGTTCCAGCTCGCATGTCTATGCTCGTTGGAGTCTGTTCATGAACAGAGATAAGTACGTATTTGACCGTACTCTCCACTCGATTTATCAGAGCTTTTGACATGCCGAGAGCAAAAGCCGGACCTGCGAGGTTTCTAAATCTGTTTGGGTCTTCGGTTGTCATCAAGGGTAAGAGTGGAAGTTCAGTTGATATTGCGGTGCCGGTCTTGAGGAAATGGATATCGCAAAGGAGGACAGAAGAAATGGCATATGCCAACGGTTGGAGAGCCGCATGTCTGAATATGAACATCTCCAAGCAGGTTGTGACCAAATAGTGAACAATGTAATAAAGCAGCGACAGCGTGAGCGAGTAAAATGTGTTTTCCCATGTCTGCGCACGATAGATGGCTGGAATCGCATTCGTGATGTTTCGGAAGATTGGGGATTGTTTGATGTTTCCGCACTCTTCCTTTTGAACTGCACCTGCATTGGCAATCTCGAGGATCAACAATCTGCCTGCCACGTGGCCAAGATAATAATGTGTCTAGCCACAGTCAGCCATTACCTATTCGCTTGGCTAAAAATGAGAAAAGCGAAGACAAGATGAAAACTATACCATCGTGCAAAGTACCAGATGAGTAAAGAAGGCCAGGAGGGAAAAGACGGTGAACTCCGCGTTGGGCTGTGTCGAGGAAAGAGCGCTATCTGTTTGGCTTAAAAGATTGCCATCTCCGTTTGGGCTCAAGAAGATATTAAGTACCCGCGAGGGGAAATTCGCGAGCATGCTTTGAACTATGCTTGATGCCATGTCTGTCGCGCTGATCTGGTATCCGTTCTGAAAGACGACAGAAGATGCGAGGACATTAGACCACGACACAGCCTGGGGTGATGATCATGGGAAGTGAGAAGTGAGAGAAGTGGTGATTGATCTGGGAAGAGTAGGTGCCTGCTGGCAGCCGCATTCAATGTGTACACAAACAATCAGAGCGGTGAACGAATTTTATAATGCAACCGCATTGGAATAGTTACTGAGGATTATGACACTGTGTCGTTAAGTTGCTGCCTGGGGCCAGGGCAGTAGCGTATCGGTAGCCTCGGGCTGTAGTCGTTAGGCGCATTGAGTGGCACAAACCCTGGATCTCGAGAGTGAAAAAAGGGCGTTGATAGCCGATTTTACATTTCTCAAGTCTCGGCTAAACATTTCATGAAATCGATCTCGACATATGCATTGCTACGAGTTAGGATGGGAGCAATATGAGAGACTTTCGGACCACATTGTAAAGCATAATATTGCTATTCTGTTCTCAAGTCGTGCTACATCTGATCCAGCGTAGAAAGCTGAAGGGTTTTTGTCTTTTGCTTGGGGAGCGAGAATATATTTCGGGTCTGAGGTCGGGAATCTCTCATGTAACCTGTTACGCTTGTCTCGCTTTTTTCTTCATCTGCTCCGATAACGACGCAAAAACAGTAATCATTCAATTCAATATCTGGATATTAACTTGTAACGTCACTCTAGTCGTTGGCGACATCTTGACAAGACATCTAGGAAGCTCCCTTGGCTTCGAAGAATTTCTCGTACCTACCCAATAGCACGGTTTATCGCCTTCGCCACAGAGATGACCTCCTTCGTAAAAACCGGAACCTTGTGGCCTTTGCCATGAATAAATTTCGACATCTTCTCCGCGTTACAAAATCTAAGGCTTGCATGCGTGTTCATGAAAGTTATCCGACGACCCCCAGATATGTACAGTAGGCAAGTCCACAATCCCACCAATGGAATTGCAGTCCAGATGAGAAACGCGACCGTCTCGAAATGCATAGATATACCACGGCTCGAATGAAGTGGAAAGGAAAATTACCAGTTTTATCGGCAAAGAGTTGGCTTTCCCAGGGCCATACTTTTTAATGAGCCAGGATAGTACAATGAGCGATCCGGAGCTAAATCCGATGATTTAATTTCCTTGCATACTTATTTGAGGCCTATCAGTCCGCCCTAATTCCCCAATTCTCTTTGATCCTCCGGATCCATTCCTCGACCGTCATAATCTGCTCTCCAACCTTGACGTTCCCGTCGCCGATCTTCTCTATCTCAACCGCATCATAGGCTGGGACATGGAGCATCTCATGATCCTTTCCACAAACCGTGCTATCCAAAGTTCCTGCGCGCAATTTATTCAAACAGGGTAGGTCAAATTGTACGTCGTCGCATTGTCTGCAAGCGTATATATCGTTGGCGAATGACCATCTCGTTCCACAGTAGCCATCACATACGGCAAACAAGGGCCCTGTAAGATCTTGAGACTTGGCTTCCAAGGATTCTTCATCAGATTGGGTGTCAGTGGTGGGAACAATCAATGACCACGCTGCAAGGCAGTCATCGTCCTCGCCCGCGAACATCAGATACAATGCCAGCATATGGTATCCTTGCCAGTCGTTGAGGGGATCATCATCGACGAGAATATCGAGGTTACTTTTGACATAAGCGCGCAGGGAGTCTTTAGCTTTGCCTTTGTCGCCTTGAAGCGCGTAGTACCGCGCGACCAATCGTGTCGGGTACGTCGAACCACACCAATCGGCAACGACACTAGTGCTTTTCAATGCAGCGAGCTGTTCCAGTTGCTCTATGTAAGAGCCTGCAGCTTCTGTGTCCTGGAGTGCTTCAATGTAGTAGACACTTGCAAGCTTGGAGCGCACGTACGATTTGAAGCCCGTAAGAGTGTAGCCACCGGACGAGTCCTCCATCTGCAGAATGCGTACCCACTGATTTATTGCAATTTCCTTTCGCTCAGAGTTTTCGGTGCTATTTTCATAGCAAAGGTTTGCGAGATGGTGCATCAGGATCGCCTGGCAGGCACGGGCAAACTCCTCTTCCTCACTGTCCCCCGTCTTCCTCGCCTCCGCGAGCCGTGTCATTGCCGCAGCGATGGCTACCTCGTAGCTCTCGAAGATGGAATCAAAGGCTTTTGTGTCAGAACTAAGGGCGAAAATTGCGGTATGGTATTCCGTATTGTTGTAGTGCGCATGGAATATTTGTGTGCGCCGGTCCAGCCCAGTCCTCTCATCCGTGGACTGCTTGAGTGACTCTAAGAAACGGAGCAGACCTTCATGATTCTTCACTTTGTGGAAAAGGATCATGAGCGATAGTGCTGTCTCATAGTCATTGGGATTGTCCTGCAGCAGGGTTTCATATATCGCAACGGCCCGACCGATGTTTCCGGCGTCTCCATTCCACTCGGCCAGGTCACGATCCAGGTCCGGTATGGTCAAATGGTCTTCTGCGATGTCTCCATCTCTGATAATCTTCTTGGCCGCTTCCACTATCTCGATTGCAAGTGCGTAGTCCTTCTTATATGCATAGCAGGTTGCCAGCCCCCACTGCGAGAACCAGTTGTATGCATCGAGCGAGGAGGCCAGCTTGAACTTTTCGATGGCCTCGGGATACTGGTGATACTCTCTGAGAGTGCGTGCTAAATTTCGGTTCTCCTCATAGCCCAAGTTGTCGAGTCCAATATGCTTTCGAGCGTATTCTGCGGTATCCAAGATCTGGGAGGCCGTGATATCATCCAGGCTCGGGTCGCCGGTAGATCTCTTGAGTGTCGGGTTTTTGCGATTCTCGATCTAAAATGCGATCAGTCACCATACCTTTCTAAATTTATTTGCTTCTCCCTGATTCCTTTGAGCTTACCTTTGTGGTATATCCATAGAATGCGGCGAAAGCTTCGGTGATACCTAAAACACTTGATTGGAGCCAATTGCGAGCCAGAAATCGACCAATGTGCTCGATAATGTCTGCATCGGGTTCGGATTTAGAACTTAAACTCTTCACCCACTTGGTTTGTTCAACAGAGATATTCTTAGTTACGGCTGAGTCCCGTAGCCATTTCAGCGTAACATCGGCAAACTCGTCATTGTAGATCCAATCATGCCTTAGCCAGGGGTTCTCTACAGTCCACCATCGCTGGATTGTTTCACCATCAAAAAAGAGGCTCACAAGCCGAGGTCCGAGGGCGGTCTTTTGTTGAGGTTGTGTCAATGATGGGTCTGCATTCTGAAGATGCACAGGGAGATAGGTGACCGCATAATCGAGTAAAGGAGCGAGAGCTGGAGATTGCTCTGAACAAATGACGTCCAGACAAGATGTCACAATCTTAAGGTGTGCGCTCTCAATATCGACCCCAACCCTAGCAGTCTTTCCTTTCAGCTTTCTTTGGAAGAACTCATCGAACCCGAATTTGGTGAACAACTTCGGGTCGCAGACCGACTCAAGGAACCTCTTCACGATCCTGACTTCAATCTCGTTGACATCGCCCGTGGTATTCAAATCCTGCTCGTCTTCAGCTGTCTCAGAGTCGGGCTTGGTTCGCAAAAACTCTTCTATCGAGTCAGAGACTAACAAGACTCTTGAGTAGGGCGGAATGATCTTGGTTGTGGGATTTGGCTCACCCAAGATCTTGAAAAGCGATGAATACTGATCTATGATCTTCTCTGCTAGTGGACGCAGAGAAGACTCGCGGGTTTTGAGGTACAGCACTGCCTCTAGTTCCTGCAGGGTTAGCGGGCGTGAAGCGAACACCACCCAAGTGAGGAGATCGTTCAGATCAGAGATATCTTCATCGCTGAGTGTCTCGTTCAACAGTTCCATCTTTCTCACAATCGTGTCAGATCGTTTGCCTCCTGACCGTGACAAAATGTCTCTAATTTCCCCTGGGCGTTGTTTGCCGCTAATCTCATGTAGCAGGAGGCCGACGTTGACGAAATCGCCATGAGTTTGCGTCGTGAGGGCTTGCAATATCTCGCGCCGGAGTGAAAGAACTTGGTCCGACGAACCGCTCAAAATCTCCATCTTGTTCATGCGGTCTATGATAAATTTCTCCATATCGTCGCTGTTCTTCGAGGCTACATCGATCATTAAGATTCCGTCTCCCATCTGAGACTTGATCTTGCCCATCGTTTTATCGCGCCCCGAAAGAAGGATACGGAGATTGAAACGAGTCCAGGTCTCAGACATGACCTTCAGTTGTGCCAACAGCTGAATGAAGTCTTTGAGGTGTTTCTTGTCCATCTGGTCAACGCCGTCGAACAAAAGAAAAAAGGTTGAGTCGCTTTTGTAGGACTTTGCAAAGAGGGTTTCCCAAAGGTTCTCTATCTGATTGATGCCGTCAACTTTGGTGGAACTGATATCCTTGCGGTAAACGACATCTGTGTTGGCTATCTGCCATGCCAGAACCTTCAATGCCTTGACCAAAGAGGCCTCTCCCTTCTCCTGTTGGAAGATGTGATAGGCAGTCGAAATGCACTTGAGATCGTCGGCAACATGGGAGTGAATTTCTTGCAAGTGTTGGACAATGGTTGCAAAAAGGAAGGACTTGCCATACCCTTCACCGCCGGAAACACCCAGTATTGAACAAGATGAGCGTTGGGGTGCTGCCCAAGTTGTGTATAGGGGATCACTCTGAAGCCACTCTCCACTTCCAGGCACCTGGTCATTCAAAAGGCGCTTGTACACCGTTTGCGATGCTTTGTGAGCCTCACTAGGGGTATCGAGGCTTGAATCAATAGTATTCAGCAGCCTTTTGACCACGTTGTCTGCATCTTTCTTCTTTTCGAAAGTGAGTAGCTTGTCCACGGTGGCGTTGATCTTCTTGGTCCCTTCTTTGTTCTCGATGATATTCCTCTCACTGGTCTTCTGCGACTCAAAGCCCAGAGTTGCGCGCATCTGAGACTCACGCTCAACCAACATTGCCAGGCGACCTAGCTGGCCACTCACACCCTCGTCGCTGTCAAATGCAAATACCTTCAGTGCGGTAAAAACTTTATGGCCCTTCAATACCTTGATGGACAACGCGCAAATGTCGACAAAGCACACCAGTTCCTCGTTGATAATCTTACGGAGCGAGATGTCAACTGCGTCAGCAGGAAGCCGCATATAGATCTTGCAACGTTCCAACACATCGGAAATACGCCGAAATAGCTCGGAAAGGCTGCTGAAAATGCGCTTGTACTTTGCCCCGGTGCTAATGAGATATGAAATCGCATTGAAGCACAGACTGCTAGGAGCAAATACCTAAAATTAACCCATCAGCACCCATTACTCCATATATTTTTGACCCGTTTGGCCACCTACCATACTGGCGCCTTGGGCGGCTATGCCACCTAGGACCATGACGAAGTTCAACGTCTTGCCGATCACATCTTTAGCAGTCTTATACTTGTTATTTCGCTCGTCGTCTTCATCCTGCTTCGTTCGGATCTGGTCAAGGACTTGATCGACAGTGAACTTTGGCGCAGTGGTGAGGTCAACCTTCGCAGTCTGTGCAAACGATGTGCATGCCCTGTCCCATGCCTCCTGCAGGTTGTACTCGTCCTCGCCTAGGGCGGACATTGTGTGATTTACCAATAGTGTGTGAATTATTGAGAGTCACAGTCCGCGGGTCGGGTTGTCCTTGCGAGTTCCTCGCGATTCTTCCGAAAAGCTTCCCTGGATCCTCGATTGCGGTACATACTGGGGAAGTGGGGATTTTATATTGCATTGCTGATGTTTGCTCCGCAGCTGAAAAAGCATCTTAAAGCGCACTGTGTCAGAAAACGCTTCTTTTGGAAAATGCGGCTGAGGGGCATGCTGCGCCAACGGTGGTGATAGGGCGCCACGTCTGTCCCGTGTTACTAGTGGATTTGGTGTCAAAACCCTGTCCCGGCTGAACCCCCAAATTCTGAGGGGACAGCTAAATTCAATCTTGCTTTCATCATTCATACCTCTACTGAAATAACGAGAGCAAGATGGTGAGAGCTGACTGTTGAGTAGGATGTCTGAAAGACCAAACTGTCCCAGGGGCCAGGACTGATCAACCCCGTTTTGTTGTCAAAACGAGCTAGATATAATTGACTCCCTTAGTAATTCGTTGCCTTTAGTATTTATCTTTCCTTCCCCTCATTTCTCCTGCTAGTGCTGACTCGCCAGATCTTTGTTCTGCAAGCCATACAGTAATGTTTTTTTAGCGGTGTATCGTAAGTATTTGACTAGACTTCTCCACGACCCAATTGGACCCGGACCCAACCTAACCTAACCTTGCTTTGGGTTAGGTTTTGGATCCTAACCGCGGACCTAAGATAGGTTTTATTTTGGTTAATTATAAGTTACTAGGTCACCTAATAAAACCCCTAGGTACCTAATTAGGTAACAAGTATTACAATCTCTTTCAATTTTATTAGGCGTAAAGCAAGCGCCGTGCCAAGGACCAGGGATCTCACGTGCTTTATAGTTACGTCACGTGCAGCATTCTGGGCTCGCAGGCCAACGCTCACTTTGTAGACGTGTATTAATGCGTGACTTACTCGCTTCCTAGGTACTCGTTCCCGTCGATTCCAAGACGCACCGCCGTGCCACAAAACGGCATGCGTCAACTGCACCACTCAGAGTTCCACCTAAAATAAACAGGCTGCCTGCGCCTGACTACTTCATGATTTCCGACGAAAGACATAGGGGCATCGTTGGCTCGCCATTCCACATCAGTGCCTGTGTTTTTGTTCCAAATAAACCACTGAACCCCATAGCATCTGCATTCGACTTACGGTTGTGCGAGGATGGGTGATGCCGCACGCCCAAGTGATGACGGAATCAGTCAAATCCTTCAGGAGAGCCTTAAGACATGGACCTCTTATCTGGGTACTGGGAGCGAAGGTGACCTACTCCCACGGCATGCCATAGACTTGAAATCCCTTGTTGGCTAGACCCCACCTTTCTTTGGCGATGACCTTGCTTCCGGCGAGGAGATCTCATTCTCTTGTTGGGAGAAGCAATCGACACCGGGAAAAGGCAGTCTTGTTATAAATGGCTACCCATCATGGAGATATTCAAAAGGAATCTGTAACCCTTCATTCGAGGGTCCTGCCGAAGCAACTTCTTTTAGCAGTTGGTAGTTGACTAAGTGTGAGGTTGTTAGAAGACTCTCCCCTCTCAGATTGGCCCGGGGTTTAAGGACTCTCCGATTATGCTAAGGGAAATTATATGTTAGCCCTGTACTTCGCTTAGGCCTATGTCCTACCTGCTCGATGGGTTGATTTGCTTAGTCGCTCTGTGGACTATGAATGTCATATGGGATATAAGTGTAGAGGGCGGACAGTTCTCTGGCTTCTAATGAGCAATCCACGGTTCAAATTAACCTCGGCGAGGATGCTTGTCTGGAAGAAGTTCTCTGGTGGCGCGCCATTTTGTGCTCTGACGACGGCTGGGATGCGACCACTACTATATTTGCCATGTCTATTTTCATACCAAGCAGAAACAAAGAAAAGCCGAGATATCTAAGATAAAATCTTTAGTACCCAGGAGTCCAGAAAATAAGCCGGCTCCCAGAAACCTTTTTGCTCCCAGCAGAATATGTAGAAGCTCCCAGAGGCACGTATCGGGGTTTCAGGAGCATCTACATGGTCTCTAGAAGTCTAGTCCTGGTCACCGGGAGCTAGAGCAATACCAGACCTTCCAGGGTGTGTGGCACTGCCTCCAGTACCTTTTCGTCCAATCATATAAAGCTAATAGATGAATGTTCCGAACCGCATGTCGCCTGTACAATCATCACAAAGTTATCACATAACACGATTTCAGCACTTGCTCTCAAGACGTTGAAGGATAGTGAGCATGCCTATGTACCTAATATCAACAGGAAATTCAATATTCGCCTTTGTTCACTTGAGAACGGCCTTCTCCGTGTTTGATGACTTTCCTGCCTTCTACGCAATAGACAGTAATTAGTAACTAGCTTCGATGCCAGGAAGGCTCGTGGGATCGCAGTTCCAAACCGCCAAACAATCGTGTCCAATCAGCCCTCCGGAGAACCACAAGTTCCCCACTATCCTTCTGTTCGAGGGTCCCACATCCGCAGTTCAAGGATGCTTTCAAGTTCGCGGTTCAGAACAACCTCATTCAAAACCTCGGCTCTTCATGTCTTCCCATGTGACACAAGGCTACTTCAAAGGGCAGTCTTCTCCTTCTTTTATAGGAGCAGGCGAGACTGGCTATCCTGCGAAAAAAGAAAATGCTTGCTTCGGTGTAGACGCCGGAGATGGAATCGCGCATAGCCAATTTCAGACCATGAACTTTGCAGTTTCAAAGACTTACGATCATCACTGAGGTTATTCTACCCTCATGAACGACCCGGCCATTTATAGCCCAAATCTGTTGACGTGACTGGCTGCACCTCTCTTTCACGAGCGGCGGCGATGGGGTGCCTAGATACTGCCCTGTGAATAGTCTACAGGTTAAGTACAACTCTTCTACCCGACAACTCTTTAGTTAGGGATTAGTTACATGTGGGTGTTGGATACACCATTGACACTAGTAGGATCTCGGCTCCACTTTAACCGACAAGATGTAACCCTGCTTTATGTAAAGAGAACAGGGGATTTATACTCTCCCTGTATTCCCTTATTTCTTTTTATCGTCTGAACGCTCCTTCACTCCATCTCTTTTCCCGTTTCTCACCTGGGGATTGACTTGGTTGGTCCTTTCATTGGAATGCTGTTCACTCCCATTGCTGCTGCATGGCTGCTAGTGGTGTTCGGCACACTACTGGCAGGTGTGTTAGCTCAGGATGTCGAGGGTTGGTACAAGGCTCATCCAGGCATGGCGCGTATCAGCCAGGTGAACCAAGATACGCATCAGATTGTCGATGAATTCAACCGTACGCGGTTCTTCCACGGAACCAATGTCGTTATGAAGGAGCCGCCGTGGCATCGGCCGTTGGAGTGGGTGCCAGGTGTCTCGTCGTTTGGCAAGCAAGATGTCCAAAATCTGCATGACTTGGGTCTGAACATCGTGCGATTGGGCCACAGCTGGGCCGGTGCAGAACCTGCGCGTGGATCGTACAACCAGACATTTCTCGATATCATGAAGAAGCAGACCAAGATGGCCGAGGACCATGGCCTCTATGTTTTGGTGGACGCGCATCAGGACTGCCTGTCGCGGCAGTTTTGCGGCCAAGGTGTACCTGACGTAAGTAGAGATAATGGCATCTTGGCACCGTTGATACTGACACGGCTATGTAGTGGTTTGTTAAGGAGGACTGGGTATCGAGCAGCAAGATGTATCCGTTCCCCCTTAAGCTGACACCATTCACTGTGGACGAAGACGGCTTCCCATCCCCGCAGTCACTTTGTGATACTGTTGACTGGTCTCTGAGTTACACGTCGGTGGCGGTGGGCAATGCGTTCGGGCGGCTATACAACAACTATGACGGGCTTGGAGATGCGTTTGCGGCGTACTGGAAAAAGCTGGCATCAGAGTATGCCGATACGACCAACGTGGTCGGCTATAACCTGTTGAACGAGCCGTGGGTGGGCGACACATGGGCTGATCCGACATTGCTAGTGCCAGGTGTTGCCGACCACAAGGTCCTAGAAGGGCTCTGGAACCGCGCGACTAAACAGATCCGTACGGTGGACAATGACACGCTCATCTGGTTTGAAGGCGCTACCCTGGACGTCTTATCGGGTTTCAACAACGTCCCTCTCGGTGACGGCTCGAAGTCGGTGCATTCATTCCACTACTACAGCCCGCCGCAGCTGGGCTCTATTTCCACCACGCTCAACAACCGCCACAAGGACAACGAGCGCCTTAGGACCGCCGGTGTGCTGACCGAGCTTACGTTCTGGATGGGCGATGATAAGCAGATGCAGGGCCTGACAGATGCCATGGCGGCGACCGATGCAAATATGGTTTCCTGGATTGGCTGGGCGTACGAGAACCTGTACAATGGCACATCTGGTCAACCTTATCCTGAACTGTCGAAGCACTACAGCCGTGCATATCCCGCCGCCATCGCTGGCACTCCCATCAGCTTCGGCTTTTCTGAGAGCTCGACCACTTTCAAGCTGCAGTTTACGTCTGATCCCAATATTGACGCGCCTACCGAGATCATTCTGCCCCCATCCACCTTCCCCAGCGGATATAAAGTTCAAGTCTCACCCGACGGCAGTTTGCTGCAGTACGCACTCGACAAACGTACCCTGGCCTTGTTCACATCCACCAGCATCAAAAACGCCACCGAAATCTCTGTCACAATTTCTTGTAAATAATCTCATCCATACTTTGCCTATTCATGGGGTATTTTACGCTAGGTATATCGTGGGCTTTGTAAAGAAAAGACCTTACCACCAACTTTCTCGGGGGCAAGGATTATTCTTGGTGTAATCGTATTTGGCCTGGCACATTGCGACCTGGGATTCCAGAAACAAACTCTGTATGTCGAGTGTGGAAGCCAATTTCGAATCCGAATGTAATCGGATGCATGCCTTGGCGATTCAGGATTGCCAAACCGCCATGCAGAATCACGCAGTGACTCTCCATCCGAAGCATGGTCTGTGATCGCCAAAGAGGAAAAAGCCTATCTAGGTCATCTGATGGCAAGACGGCCTTCTTCATCCCCTGGTATGGTGGGCTTATATCATTACACCGAATAATTAACTCCCATGAAACTGCTTGACATTGATGATATATCTCCAGGTCAGTGAACAAGTTAGGTTCGGGATGAGCCTGCCCTAGGGACCTCAGAAGACCACACGCTCGCAGGGGCGTCCTGAGAATGTCTCTACCTATCAACGCTGCAAGGTCACGTTTTTGTAATTGCTTTACATCCTATATCTTTTCTTAGAAATAGGCGATGCTTGTGGGCCTTTTCAAATCGATCCTCAGTTCCTACCTCTGAATTTTTGATCTCGATCGGTTACCTGTATTCTATTTCACAGAGTCCCATGTCCCTGAGAGCCGAAAGGACGTGGAATTCAAGTCACAATCTATCTAGTAGGCGTAATGGCGCCTTTAAGCTTCTCCTTCAGTCCTGGAATTTCCGCATCATCATCCACTCTCAGCCCTTTGATCAGCCGAGCCAATAAAGCATAAATTCCGATAACAATGATCACCTCCACAACCATATCCGACCCAAGAAGTTCCACAGCATCCCTAACCGTCTTTTCCTCATTTGTATAGTTCGCTAACTGTTCATCAACCAATCGTAGCAAAACCCTGTCTCGGGCAGTCCATGGGCCTTGGGTGGTGTCTTGGATGACTGAAGTAGGAGAAGCAATATTGTCGATTTTCTCCTGGGGCATGTTGTGGACCTCGGCAACTGGCACATTCACATCATATTCGTATTTCGCTTTGAGGTTCGTGGCAGTCCGCAAAACAATCAACTGCCACTCAAGCGTAGGCAGTCCTCGCTGGGTACCGTCGAAGCAGGCGCCGATGAGATCCAGTAAATGGGGTGCAAGGCCGTGGGATTTTGCGATAGTCAGGAGAATGTTGCGACGAAACGGCAAAATATTCAGTTTATCGCGCAGACTTGGTGGGAGGTCGTCCACTCTCGGGTACGGTACGAGACAAGTTTTGCGAAATGGATCATTCTCTTTGGTCTCCATTACGGTTTGTGGTCAATGATATGGCGGAGGGAAGTCTGCAATTATGAAAAATGGTTCGATTGTTCATCTGAGCTCGGTATGGGGGAATATGGGGGAATGAAAGCTGGGACAGTCTGGAGCTATCTAATATACATACCCGATCAGTGAGGTAGTAAGGAATACTAGCCTCCAAACCACTCGGTCATTGCCACTTTCCGCACGGGCGACATCTACATCCACATTTGCCCATATGCCATGCGTCTTCTAGGGTAATACTTATCGAACCGGATATATCACCATACGTCAATAATTTCCGATTACGGAATTTTACAGACGACTATGATGTACAGGAGGGTTGGCAGAAGTTGTAGGCTGCATGCCATTCCAAGGTTCCAACGCCGTCGATCGATCATCAGTGAGGCCCGTGCTTGCTCCGATTTGTCGTGTCGCGCATATACTTACGCAATGTACTCGAAAGGGGGGGCGTAGAGTTTGACAGATGGGGGAGGAAACATGGGGAAATTGACATGATATTTCAATGAGTCGGCTATTGGACGAGGTCAAGATCTGTTAAATATGGTTGATGTATATGGACGGTAACACTTTGCTACGTGGGGTGTTCCGCATTTCAAAATTAGTTTCAGAATCGCAGCTCATCAACGAACTAGGTACTCGTTAGAGATCCAGAGGCTGCCATAGTAAAAGATATCTCGTCATACAGCATATTTAAGAATGACTCAATTGGGGCATGAGAAAATATAATCTCGTATCGTAGATGAAAACATGCGCTCGTCACTCAAGAGGTAAATTCCTCTGTCAACCGTGCCAATCTCAGGAAGAAATTCCAAAAGCCTACATGGGCATTTGCAAATCAATACCTTTCTTGTAAGGTAATCTGCTCAACTTTAATTTTTCACCGCGGCAATCAACATACTAATACTGTGTAACCATACTAATGTCGACAAACGTAATTGCTTACTATCGCATAACTTGATTTCTACGCATGAACTCTGTCTATGTGTCAAAGATTGCGACAAAAGTTGCGGCAAGTTCGGGACTTGGGTAGTACCACATCAGCAGACATTGACGTTGTAGTAATTTTAACGTCACTCTATGCCGATAGCTCTTTTCTTTTACTATAGCGTATGCTCTGATAACTATAAAAGGCGCGGTTTGAGGACCTACTGCCCCGAAAAAAGACTCCCAATCTACCCTTCAATTCTATAGAGTATCGCTATATATTCTACTCATCATGGACCAGCACAATGAAAGCCAGCCACTGCGTGAACTCAAAATCAAATGGCCCAAGTTTGATGTGACTGTCACAGTGAGAATGAATGAATTGAATTCTGCATTAGTGGACATCCTTTGGGACACGCTTCCATATCGCTCTCTCCAGACGCATGCGCTGGTCACGGGTGATCACCTGTATCACCTTGTTCCAGCAGAGCCATTGCTTGTATGCCGTTGCTAATTTGACTCTTTTTGCCATGTTTAATGCTAATATCATGTAGTACACAGCCCCTGAGCACAAGATCCCCGACAGAACACAAGAGCCTGATGGCACGGTGTTTCTTTCAAAGTTTCAGCATCTAGCCATAAAGTATGGTCGGGTGACTGAGCACCATCCTGCAGCACCTTGTGGAAATGTGATTCCTGAAGATTTGGAGAAGCTGCGCTGGCTTGGAAACCAGCTTTGGAAATGTCAGTTGGAGACGAAGGAACCCACTGAAGTCATTCTTTGGGATGCTTCAACCCCCGAGCCCGGCCCTCAAAGTCTCTCACTTCGTCTTCAGCGAACTGGGGTGACCAAAGAGGTGAAGGATGTTGTTCGAGAGATCCACGAAGAAGTATGTCTCTCGGTTCTCCTTTGAAATTTTTGCAAAGAGAGCTAACCCATTCGGCCCCTTTATCAGATGGATAAGTCTTGGTCGGGAGTTTCAGACAATATCCAAGCGATACATAGTGGACGGGCTTCTTCAAACCCGGGAGCAAAGGACTCTTATTTTGCTGCCATGGTTTTCGCCAACAGCGAGGTTCGCACTCTGGGTTATTACATCTTCGACAATATACTCGAGATCGCTGCCTCATACCCTGAGTTCGACCTCAAACATCTGGTCGCTCTATATAGAAAGCTAGTCTCCACTCCCGCTGAGTTTCTAGGATACGTGGGTACGGAATTCCTCCGCGACAGCCATCGCAAAATTAATGAACTCATCACCCTCAATGTTGAGACAAACACCAATCAATCAGATGCTCGTGAGGACTTACTTGCCATGGTGAGTGTATTGGCACAGTATATCAATCTCCTCAATGCCCAGAACCTGCTTATGTTTCCCTGGAAACACACAACCGAGTACCCTATCCCACACAATTGAGCCGCCAGGCCATATGTTATGTGACAATACTCAACATCTGTCATTTACTACGAATATATATTCTTCACCGTCTTTCATACCGCCTTTGTAGCTACTCACTTTTGTAAGCCTACTTCCCCTTTTTTTTAACTAAGGCCTAATTAGGTATTGTATATTGCCTACGTTATATTTGATATACGTCGATTAGCTCGTACAGTCATAAGCAATAAGTCCTTTCATACCCCTATTTTTATATGGTTAACCAGAGGCACTCGAAAATGGGCAAAAAAGAGGTGAAAAAAGAGAGGTTAAATTAGGGGGACAAAAATAAGTAAAACGGTATGTTTTTGTGGAGACTGCCTAGTATTCTATCAATAGAACTGTACGCCATATTCAATACTCCATTTCCTACCCATTTATTGAGGCGTACTAGATGCAAATACTCAATTTCCTTCCGACTGCCGGCAGAATTCGGTTTGGACAAAGCCCCACCAGGGTGGATGACTAACTGGTGTTTTACATGCCATCAGCATGCTAGTTAATTAACTTGTAGTTGATGAGTCACGATGATTCATTCTCAAAGGTATAGGATGGGTCAGGCCATAGGCATCTCGACTATCAGCTACAGGTATAGTCAATTCAAGGATGGTTGTTCCCGTGTTAGATATGTTTCACTTGTTGCTACGCGGATATTAAACTATTTGCAGCAAATGGTATGAAGAAAGATATTTTTGATGTGGAACAGTCGATAAGGTTCAGGAAAGAACTAGAAAGTTCTCGTTGACTCTATCGAAATAAACTTCGAGGCGTGGAATTTCGAACGAGGGGTATTGGGCGCCTGAAATTTGTCATATAAGAGCGCCGCAGGTCATGTGAAGAACATGGAATATATACAGCTACCCAAGGTCAAATACAGAACAAGACACAAATAACCCCGTTCAATCTGCTCTCAGGATGACGCCTCCTGGGATTACAGGCAGCTGCGTCTGCGAGAGAATTCGCTACGAACTATCGGGACAACCAATCGCCAACATTATCTGCCACTGCGACACATGTCGCAAAATCACCGGGTCCGTCTTCATGGCAAATAGCATGTATATGAAAGAGGTAAGCTCAGACTCGAAATTTCCTCGAAACTCTTTCTTCCTTTTGCGATACTCCCATACTCATACTTGACAGAACTTCAAAATCATCAGCGGAGAAGACGTTCTCAAAGTCTACGACGATAAACCATCAGGTTCAAAGAATACGATTCATCGACATTTCTGTTCAAACTGCAGTTCGCCCATCTACACGACTTCGACGGGGACCCCAGAGTATGAGAATATGCTTACCGTCACGTCCGGCACTATGGACCTAGGGGAGCACTCGTGGAAGCCTTCGATGGAGTTGTTTTGTATGAGACGACGAAGGTTTATTCCCCCGTTTGAGGGGACGGATCAACATGAGAAGGGTCCTCAAGGGGGCTTCTAGGTGTTATAGAGGTTTCTTTTTTAGAAATTGGCTGTCACCCTGCTCTGTATATAGTCGGGGTAGTATTTTCTAGGCGAACCCGTTGAAGCCCGTTCGCTTCAGAAAAAAATGACTTTCTTTTAGTAGATCTAGTTCGTTTTGACGGATTAGGAATTTATGGCTGTGAAACCTGCAATCACAGGAAACGTGGCCAACCTCCCCACTATGATTGTATATAACTCGCCAATCCGATGACGGCTTAGATGGTTAAGAGTGTCAGGAAGAATGTTAAAAGGCATTCATCGGAAGTAAGAATAGATCTATATTCGAAGTGAGACATTGAAATCTGTAACATCTTTGCTTTTTTTCCCAGCGTATCTCCTACCTTCTGCTTTTAGTCTTCTGCTTATTAGCTTCGAAGATTTCAACCCCTCTGGTCCTCGTTCTTAAGGTTTCTCTCTGTCTACTTCTCGCGCCTAACTGACTCACTTTTATAAGCCTACCTGCCCTTTTTTTCTTTACTTTTCTTTTTTTACTAAGGTCTAATTAAGTATTGTATATTGCCTACATTATATTTAATATACCTTGATTAGCTCGTACAGTCATAAGCAATAAGTCCTTTTATACCACTACCTTTGTATAATTTGTATGATTAACCCGAGACACTCGAAAATGGGCAAAAAAGAGGTAAAAAAAGAGAGGCTAAATTAGGGCAACAACAATAAGCAAAACGGTATATTCTTATAGAGACTAACTTCATTTCTTACCTATTTATTAGGGCATATTAGTGAATTCTCAATTTCTGTCGCAATTACCTTACGAATACTGCATGAAACCGTGACGGACACGGCTTCCGACGATGATATCTGCATCAGATCGTCCCCTCATCGGGGAACCGCTCATCATCCGCTGGTTGAAGTTCCCAGGCGACATCCTCCAGGTCGCCAATTATCTCGTTGCTTACTATACCAATGCCGAGACTGACCTCCGCGCATCTTGGCCGATCCCTAACTGGCGTGTCGCGCCGGCGATACCTGCTATAGACAGTGGGGAATTCGAGCTGATCATGGACAAGGCTGGAGTATGGACGGGTCCGATGTCCGACGACGATGGCGAATGGATATGTCCCCCTTTCTTCGTGCGCTTTCCTTCGGGCAAGAAAGCAGCTAAAACTCACAACCGAGATGTTATCGAGAAGGTGAGTTTATACTCGGGAATAATGATACAAAGTCCTAACAAAGTAACTAGTGTCGAGAAAGAGATAACTACAAATGTGTCCTTTAAGATTACGATGAGTACGACATCTGCCATATTTACCCATTGTGCCTTAATGGTCAAGAAGGAACCGAATACTAGCGCACTTTCGGGAAAACCATGAGGATGTTCTGGCCTGACGAAAACGCCGACGCCTGGAGGGTGGCAGTGACTAGCGAAGATGGCACGGAGATCTTGCAAAACCTCTTAGCTTTGAACCCGACCCTACATCGTGAGTGGGGAATTTGCCCGCTGGGCCCTTCAGCCTACCCACCTCGAAGATGATGGGACAAAGCTGGTCGTGCGATTTTATCGGCTACCAAAATATCCCCGAGAACTTACTGTGCCCATGGCCCAAGAACCGGTTCTGCCTGCCGACTATGCTGCAGCCGGGGTACGTCCAATCCTTTCTGGAGACGTTATCGAACTATGACAATATTAGAGATGCAATGGGTTCTATACCGTGTACTCGCTCTAGCCGGCGCCGCAGACTCTTCCCTAGATACGTGGGACTCGAACTCGGATTCAGACATCGAAATACGCCTCGGTCCAAGCAACAAGCAAGATGTGAGCCCTGCAACGTTGCACGATGTTGTGAGCGATCTATCCTTGTCCCGCCCAGTGAGCGTTCCACCAGAACATAAGCGAGGACGCATTCCCCTACGCCCAGAGGATCCAGGTATCACCGGATCCGAGAATCTGCGGAGCCATCGCTATCTCCCCAGCCCGCCTTTACCCCCACAAAGTCTAGATCGCCTGTACCGCCAGCTAGGCTAGAGGGCGTGGCCAAACAAGCCGTTCCCCGCATTCAAGGAACAGACGTTAGCCTACTTGTATTAGAGTGACGTCTCTTGCTTGTCGACTGGTCCAAATAGCTCACTAGACCGGGACTACAGTTTATGGGTTTTTGCTAAAGCAAGAAATTACGAATAGCTTTTTCCTTTGCTGTACTGAGCTTTGTTTGCTTTGAAGTATCAATAACAATGTATGCAATACAGCCTGCATGAGATTCCATAATGACAATAATTGCTTGATTGGAGCTGTCCGCGCAATCATGTACGCCAGCCTCATCTATGTCATGGCAAGTACCCGTGGATAGTAGGCAGGTGAGTCATAGCCCAGCTCTATCTGACTTAGATTGGTATGGCCCTCCAAGTACGGACCGGTGGAATTTGGTGCTTATTTCGGGATTTGCTAGAATTTTTAATCTTATTGGTTACGTGTACTTAATCTCGTTCAACTAAAGCTGCTCCTGGCACTCACGCAAAGCTGAATTCTAGTACATCACCTATGGCGCGCGGGAAAGTGGATATGTAGAGCTCACCTCGGATCAATCGAACGTAAAATAAGCAGGAGGATAGTGATAAAAAGGCGTAAAACGTTTGTCATTTGGAATTAGCGTCATTTGTTATCATATTCCCGCTTCACAGTGCTCTCTTAAAATTAATATTTCTGATGCTCCTGGACAATCACGAGATCCAGTCCAAAAGTAGAGTGCCATAATTCCTTCGCAGGCTCATCAGTAGGCCGGCATTTAAAGAAGAATTTCTCCAACAAAGAGACAACATGATCCCATTCTTTTAAGGAAAGTTGGTCTGCAACATCCTTGAGGTGTGCTAAAAACCATGAATGAGACTTCGTTGCCCTCGATGCAAGACTGCCTGTGAAAAGGATCCAGAAAAGCAAATCAGGCGCCGTACTCTGAAGGACAGAGAGACTCGTAAACAGACTTTTCCGCAGCATTTCAACAAGACATTCTAGGCATGGGATTCCATATAATGTCCACATTCGGACACAAGTATAGGCCGTAATTGAGAGCCGCAGGGTTTCTTCAAATGGAGTGAGAGAAACCTGAAATGGGAGAGACTTTAATCGGTAACACAAGAAAAGTAAGCAGTCATTCTCAACGGACATCGGTTCAACATCCACATTGGCAAAACTCTCATAATAAGACGTAATTTGCTGGAATGAGGAAATTATTGACTTGAATGTAGGGTGAATTTCCGTAGACCAAGGAGCGTCGAAGAAGCGAGTACCAAGAGCGGAGCCTTCTGTAAATTGGTTCTTGGACTTGAAGAAAGCAGATTCTTTAAGGACTCTCCTTTGAAATTTCGCGCACATTTCGAGTATCGGCATTGAGTCGCTCATAATGCCTCGCAAAAACTGACAGCTGCGCCGACAGAAAAAAGAATGAGTGGAAGTCATCTATATGGGATGTCGTTGCCTCTTACCTATAGACCATAGCAAGTGTCCCATGGTCAAGCATATCCATCCCACCCAAGGCATCAATAATTTTTTTCATGCCATTCATATGCGTGTCAACAGCCTCTATGTTGGCCTCCATAGCCTAGATAGATTTTGTGAGCAACACCCAAGTGTAGGTATCGAAAAACTCATCGTGACCAACAGAACAAGGCTCTTACCTCTGAAACAATGATATGAGCAATAATAAAGACTGTTTGATCGGAGTACATTGTGGCTGTATCCTGTAGTATGCCTTGAAGTGATTTGATCGTTCCAACACGAAGGCGAATCGCATCATGCGTTGGCTTCTGCACAGTGTTTGTAGATGCACCCGACGCTGCTAAAATTGCAGCTCGATGAGATGCACTAATTGACAACTTTATTTGCATCAATGCGGGATCTTGGAGTGCCTTTTGCCAAAACCAAACTGTGACATCGCTGGAGCAGAGAGGGAAGCAGGCTCTTGCGCTATGCATTCGATCTAATTGAAGTATTAGCCATAGCCCATCAGAAAGTTATGACAGAAATCTGGGCTAGAATAGGAAGCTCGGTACCAGGTCCGATATATACTCACAATGATGGAAGTAGATATTCGGATTATGATTTGGGCTAAAAGCCAGACCAGGGCCCCCATCGAGTACCCCCGCTTCGAGACACCGGGCTAACACTGGGGACTGATCTGCACTGCTATCGGAACCTCTGGTATCGCTTGAGACACGGCGGGTTGAGGTATTGGCCGCATGGGACGGTGGACACTGCCCAGTGGGGAACGGTCCGGGGATGCATTGTTGCTGTTTTTCTCTCCGTAAGCGATGATGTCGTGTCCTCACGAAAGCTTGCTTAGACCGAAGTAGTTCACGGCCTTTCGATCGATCGTCCTGGTAATCTACCCACAGGAATTCTCGCGGCCGAACGGCTAAATTCTTGGCTGGTTTGGGGTGTGGAACCCGATTCGACTGGGTACTGGATTGACTGGACGCCATAAATAGATAAACGAGATTCGTCGTGCAGTGTTGGAATGATTAGGTTGTCTGGAAAACTTTCCCCTGAAACCCCGCTCGGCCCCCCGGTTTGTGTTGGGCTGGTCTTTTCGCGTAGAGCGGAACTAGTAAGTATAGAGTCACCGCCTTCGGCAGATGATCTATGCGTAGTGTCTGCATGTTATCGTGAGTCCTGGAGTGCTACGGATGTAGAATGCGACTATATTGAATGGGCGATCTAGTCACTGAAGGAAGAAGAGAGCTTGAAGGTGCATTTGTGAAGCCGTAGGTGAAACATTCACGGATTACCGTTTACTTAATTGGACTAGTCCTGTCAGCCGCATTGCGGATGGTGGGACCACGTCAAGTAACCTAAATTCTCGGCAATTAAGAGTTGATCATCAACGGACATGGTTCAGCTGGGGTACCTTTGCGATCAGCACGTTTATACAAGCATTCGGGGGTTAGCCGTCCATGCCAGAATACATGCCAAGACACACTAGTCTGTATGTGGATGACTTCCGGATTTGGAAGTGTTCCATATCAGGAAATATTCTAGAAAATCTGCATAGCGTAATGTGACTGCCATTCACTTTCTCGTATGCACTGTCTTATGGCACAGGCTATCTGCCACAGTAAATGAATTATCCCGGGGTCCAAGCTATGCCCCTCGAAATCCTTCTCAAACATACGCCGGCGAGAATCGACTACAAGGCAGATTTCATATATCAACTCCCTCCAACAGGGCTCACAAAGTAAGCAAACGGATAGTTTGGTAGGTGAGTGTGATAAGTCTAAAGGGAGAAGCGCCTGACATTGCCCGGGCAGATTCAGGTTCTTCGCTAAGCCCTCATAGCCCTATGGCACCTGCTTTCGGGTCCCGTGCCTGGGTAATTCTAAAAGGCGAAGCTGTTCATAGCCTTGAAATGCAGCAATACCTAAAAGGGTAATGGTACTTTGGAAGCGAGCATTTGTACATGTATCATTTTGTACCTAGTCTAGAGATCGCGTCAAAGGGTCGGCAAAGTTTAGCTTGCCCGTGTTGGGAGTGTGTAAATCACTCCATGGCGAAGACCCAAGGCGACGTTTGACACACCTGTAATTTCCGCCGGCTGCGTCAAATATTATTCTTCTGTTTAGTATACCCGCATCCGTCGAATGAAGACAGCCTAGGTGAAGCATAGCCCCTAATGGCGGATAAAGGCTCGTGGCACGAACACCGCTTATATTTTCGGTCTTGCGTCTATCCAAAAACATCATTTCACTCAAGCGACATATCATTCCCACCATTCCCTCTTTGACAACACCATCCACCATCCTATTTGCCCACCGAAGATTCCCGTGATGGCTTCTATGGGCAACCCTTACACGGACTCAGAGACTTTCATCCCTCATGCAAATAATGGAGATTGGAGGATTTATTACTCGACATATCCTTGCACTCCCACAGCATACATATGCATGCCCACGGCGGAAACACCATTTGCCAATTCCCAATACATACCCATACTACAACCATCTTCCGAAGAAGCCAGGACATACAACACAACATCATCCCCGTTTATCTCGCAAGGCATCTCGCCTGGGTCTGATAGCAGCTCAATTTGGTCCTGTCATACAGACACAGAGAATTACGTGTACGAGCTGTCCAGGAAACCTCAACAAAGCCACCAGTATAATCCCTTTTCCAATGAAGTTCCCGACTTTATCGGCGATAATAATGCCTTCGGAAGACAGCATTTCCGAAGATGAAATTCAAGCGCCAAGATCTGCGTATGTTCTCCAACACCCCTCCTTTCCTAATCAACCTTGCGTTCTGATGGTATCACAGTGTGATGCGCTCTCTGATCCATTGTGGCTGGGAGGGCTGTACGTATTCCGGGGTTTTTCTCGTGAGGCGTGCCTATGGCGGCATATCAAATCAACCCATATCTCTCCGAAGGCTCTGAAATGTCCGCACTGCAACAAAACCTTTGGACTTGGGCGTGAAGATAAGCTTCGAGCACATAAACGGCTCGCGCATAGACGCGGGTAATTAAACTTGTATTATCTGTGTTGTTTGGGATTCCGGTGTTGTGAAATTCTTACGCCGGGAGATTTTGCATGTAATAGATAGTTTTTTGCCTCATGGACTCATCGAAATTCTGATAATCCAAATGGCTTAGCATTCTGTAGCCTTCATTAATTGTTATACCGGAGACCAGAGGAACAGGGAAATACCCAGCTACGCACTGGAGTTGAGTTCTTCGAAACGGTGTGTTCGACCATCTTAGGCCGTAGAGGCAATAGATTATCCAAGCACAATTGACAGTGGATAGGTGCTATAGTGGAAGAAAAACATCCAAGGCGAGCAGTGCGGAGGAAAAGCGAAGACTGACGGCGTCTGGTGCAGGGGTGTGAAGTAAAAGTATCGCTGCGGTCCGTTCCTGTATAGATCTTGGGTTCTGGCTGAGAGCTGAGTCTTTCCCATTTTTACCAATTTCGAAGGAGTCTTTCGCAAGTATCTGGGTCTTGGAATTCATAGAATGCCCCGTCGGAGCAGTATAACATCAAAAAGGTCTGGCGTGGCCGGAGTAGTTGTTAGAAAGAATATATTGTATTAGAAGTTCATCTAGCGGTAGTGGGTGAGTGATCACTTGACCGACCAGCTATGCCAAAAGGCCGACGTAGTATGCTAGATCACGATGCAAAGGCTTGCCGAACATGCTCTTCCAGATGCAACACATTCTCCACCCCCTTCCAAAATATAGAGTCAATCCGCAGAAGGCCAAGATGAAGGCAAGGTAGGAAATCGGCCTTCAGGCGCATGTCCCGGCGCACGTCACGGAGACAAGCCACCCACTTATCTGCCTCCTTGCAATCAACGGAGCTCGCGGCCATTTCGAGTATCTGGAAACATATGGATGAGAATGCGGTCGCACTCCAGGCTGGCCATGCAGTTTCAAGGTCCTCAGGCTTTAAATCGTGAATATAGTCAACCGCTGCCGAGATGCAAACTTCTGCTCGGATCCGCGCCTGTTCACGTGCCATCACATACTCTGTATCATTCGACCTTTCAATAGTCGGCTGCATAAATGGTCTGAGGGCAGCCCTGCAAATGCTTAAATGAATATAATGGTAGTTCATTTCAAGCGTCCTCTCTAGCCCCACTGGTCTGCCTTGGTCTGATGGTCGGGAATGGCTCGATGGTGCGGATGCTTGTCCATGCCACAAATGGAGATCCTGAAGTAATGGACCAGTTATTGCGACGGTCTTCCGAAAATCGGCACACAACGCGTTGATGGAACGAGGAGAACTATTTTGGATTAGTCGCAAAATTAGGGCAACATAATAGACAGGCGGATAGACTTACTATAATTGGGTTAGGACGCGGTCAAGCAGAGAGTCGAGTTCCGCTCGCTTCATAATTTTTGACCAAGCTAAAGGGTCAAGGCTGCTAATAGAATAATCGTTTTGGCTAAGACTTGTCACAAGCCAGTTATCATAATGCAGCAAAGCTGGACGCCCAAGACTCAAAGCAAGCCACTTGTCTGTCGAATAAATGAGACAAGACAAGCACCGTCTCCGAAATATTTCCCATGAGGATATTTGCCAAGATCTTGGGTCCAAATGCAGCCCGAGGGTGTGAGCGCAAGCAATAAGAGCAGCGAGCTGTGACCATTTGAAGCCACTATCTAACACAATTGGGTTCGGGTAAGGTCGAATGACCAAAGTAAGCAATGTCTGTATGATACATAGCTTCGGTGCATGCATTTCATATGGAATCGCTTCGTTTATAATTTGATGAAGTGCGACTGCCGATGGCTTATCGTATGCGAGATCAATGCATAGTTTTTCGTCAAATTTAGTGAAGGGCTCGACTATTAGATATGCGCTTGCAAGGAGGTATGGCGGGGTGGTCTTGGGATTTAGTTGACCTGGTGGAAGGAGCATAGGATATTCTGGTATGACGATCCTATCGAATAGACTGATAAGTCTGAGGCCAATACCTGCTGGTACCAAGGATTCGAGTTTCTGCCTCAATTCAAGCGTCGAAACGCTGTCGCATCCATTTTCTTCCCTGCTGGCACCGAATATTGATGGTTTTGACATTAAAAACTGGATTGGGTTGGAGCCTGACGATACGGATTGGATACTGAGATTTTTGAAATGAAAAGCCTCAGATGTATTGTACTGGTACCGACTGATCAGTAAAGGGTCCATGTCGCCAGTGCTGCCGAGCAATTGTGCTGTCATTGAACCTTGAGTGTCAAGACAAACTGAGGGGCCATCCCTTTCTGTGGGCACTGCTGGACAAGTAGCTTGTGGTGATTCCTCATCGGCCGAATGTCGAACTCTTGCCAACTGTGGGGACGTGTGAAAGAAATTCCCTGGACTAAATCCAGTTTCCCACGTCCCATCGTCAAATACACCTGCTATTGAAGCTTCGGACCGGTCAAAAAGACCGGTAAATTCTTCTGACATACCGGCAACTGGATTGTTTTCACCATCATCAATTGCCATCAAAATATCATCAGCCGAGTCGCCAACTGGCGGAACCTCGTGCAACCTTGAGCGCGGGTCTAACTCATCTTCTGAGAAGTCGGGACAGATTGCATTGGAAAACGGTTGCCGCGTCCTTGCCGTTGGCTGCATGAATGTGCACTCTTTCCTATGAAGTGTGCAAAGATAACAAGGAGGCGATCGATCAATGCGACAGGCTGCTTTCTTCGCCCGACAGGAGTCACACGCGCGATCTCGCTTACTCATGTACCTTCGAGCTCTGCCTGACATCTGAGGATTTTCTAGTCTTCGAAGGTTATGGGTGTTGTCTTGGGTTGGGTGAATGAATACCATGAAGTTGAGAGGCAACTAGGCCCCACATTACACGTGACCACACGTTTTATAAGCTAATTTAATCACCCTTGGATAATTGTGATTGTGACAATTGCATAATAGACATATTCTCTTTGGCGCGAGCTGGTGAACTTCATGCTCGTTCCGACACAACCGCTCACGCCCGACTTTCGAAGCCAGTTGCTAGGGCTAAAGATACCACGTGCCCAAGTGGCCTAAACACGCGCCTCTTGTGAAACCTATTCCAACGAGGTGAAGTTCCATCAAAGGATAACAGGAAATATTGACGGATATGACATCAATTCTCACATATATATTGATACCGCTTAGCTTGGCAATATACATCTCAAATTATTCTCCCCTCTTGCCAAAGTGCACCTCCCGAAGGAGTCGACTCGTATCTTCAATATACACAAAGCTTTGCGAAAGTCCTCTTTCTGGGTGATTGTAGTGTGCAAACGCGTGGGGCATGCCCGGGTATCTCTTCATTGTAACATCATTCCCAGCATTCTGCATAAGAAGACCATAAAACTCCCCTTCATCCCGTTCAAGATCAAACTCGGCCGTGATAATATGTGCCTTCGCGAGGTTTTCAAATGAAGGAGCAAGAACGGGTGTGCAAATCCAGTCCTTCGTCAAGATACTTTCTTGCACGTCTGAAAGTTGTTAGTTTAGTAGTGAAGGTATTTGCACGAGGGAAATGAGAAAGGAATCTCGTACCGTCATCATCGCCCAACCAATACTTCAGAAACCATTGCTCTCTCCCCAAGGGGCCCCAAGGTGCATCATGGTATAGCAAGACACTTTCATAGGGACAAGTGGCCTTGCTTAACTCTCGTGTTCTTAGACAGTAGCGCATGTCTGTCGCTGGAACAATGATCAGCTGCAGTTTCAGGTCAATGCCTGCATCGCGGGCAAAATGGCCTAATACTGCTGTCATCTGACCTCCTGCTGATAGGCCTCCAATAGAAACACTAGAGGAGTCAATATTGAGCCGAGAGGCATTTGCAATTATCTGTACTCGCATTCTGCGTCAATAAAACTGGATAAAAAAGGCATGGGGCAGCTTACCCATTTCACGGCATCCCACGAGTCATAGATGCTAGTTGGGTACGGGAACTCGGGAGCGAGACGGTAGTCAACATCTATAACTTTAATTTGAGCCTTGTTGCACATGTGTCGGCACCACGCTGCCTCAGAATTGAGATTTCCAAGAACCCATCCGCCTAAATTCAAGAATAGTAAGCAAGAAATTTAGTGCTGGCGACCAGGATTGCGAACTTAAGATAGCCATACCTCCATGGAAGTTCAAGTGAACAGGAAATGGCCCTGGCCCTCCAGGGGTATAGACTCTGATCAAAATCTTTCCAGCGGGCTGCGAAACAGGGATCTCTATATCCTCAACATGAAACACGGGTGGTCCTTGATTGTAGTGAGCGTTGGGTTCTCAAAGGGTGACCGCTATAACTAACCAACTCTCAGAAATCGGAGTCAAACTTACCTGGGCATGTTGGGAAGGTGAAGCTGTATGCAGCGGGACTTTTCCGAAATTCTTCGAGAGATACCTCGTCGGCTCTCACCATGGAGCTACCATGCCTTTCCCATAAATTTACCCATTCGGGATCTAAACCAGCCAAGAACCTTTTCGGGATAGACAAGCGTGATTCTTTCCTATCCTCTTCTATCGCAATTGCTGTCTGTGTAGTAGGCATTGTCATCCTTCAGAGCAATGGCTTGGTGATCAAAAAGATTTGCCAAAGAAGGAAATGCTAAGTAAACATGTAGTGTTAATCGAATATATCTCTCAATCAGGATATGTCAGTGTCAATAATTTTTGCAACCCCTCGATAAACTTTGGATATACTGCACGACTCCGGTTGGCGGCATACAAGGACACTTCGGCTCCGATCTAGGGCTCCGATAGGCATCGAGGTGGGGGCGTCTTATCTGCGGGGACATGGTGGGCCACCCCAGGTACCGACTGAGCGTTGGTTAAATTAAACACGTTCATCTACATTTTTACTGAGTAGTACATAATTATATTTTCAACATCTTGCTCCGCCGAGATGGATTCTGCCTCAGTCGATGATCGGAGAGAACACATAAATGGCATGCACAAGATTGACCAGGCGCCAGCCGATCTCCACGCTGGACGCCGGCGTATCCCTGACAGATTCCCACCTGTCGCACTACTGATCCTTGTTGTCGAGGTGTGCTACCCCACTACCACACGTCGATATCCACATTTGCATGCTAATACCGACTCATTAGCTTGGCGAGCGGTTCACTTACTTTGGCCTCAGTGGTCCATTGCAGAATTATATTAAGTGAGTCAAGTCCGACATTCATGAATAGATGATTATGTCGGAGAAGGAGTCTAATTATTCTCACTATTTAGTAACCCCTATGTTCCTGGCTCAGATCTCCCCGGTGCGCTAGGCAAAGGGCAAGCAGTCGCATCAGCCCTCGGAAACTTTTTCAAATTCTGGGCTTACGCATCTACCATAATTGGCGCGATCGTTGCAGGTGCAGTTTACACATCCCCAGCAATATTACAAAACTATTTCTAAGAGTTCATCAGACCAATATGTCGGCAAATTCAAAGCCATCACAATCTCTCTAGGAGTCTACATCGTTGGCTTGACCATCCTGGTCGCTACCGCAACACCAGTCAGTATTCAGAGTAACACTGGCTTTGGCGGTTTGGTTGCTGCGATGGTCATAATTGGCCTGGGAACCGGTGGAATCAAGGCCAACGTGACCCCCATGTGCGCCGAGCAATACCAGAATGCGGAACCAGTTCTGAAGACGCTGGACACAGGTGAGATCGTGGTTGTTGACCCCGAATTAACCATACAGCGACTCTTCATGTGGTTCTACTGGGTCGTCAACGTCGGTGCCCTCTCGCCCTTGGTCACAGTTAATATTGAGGCCAAGGCATCTTTCTGGCTTGCATATTTGATTCCATTAATGTAAGTCACAGTCATGATGAGAAACATGATACATTGCGAAGGCTTATCGTTGCCAGCGCAATATGTCTCTCTGCTATTGTTTTCCTATCCGGCCAGAAGCGATATGTCAAGGTCCTTCCACAGGGGTCCGCCATTATAGATGCGTGCAAAGTCCTGAACATTGTTCGGCAGGAGAAACACTTCCATGATGCAAAGCCCTCATCTCTTGAGGCTGCCGGTCGCTTGAGCAAGTACCCATTTGCATCTTCATTACGCTACACAGATCAATACGTTTCAGACGTCCGTCGGGGGTTTAGAAGTTGCAGAGTGCGTTGGACTTCCATCTTTTGGAACAAACACATGCTTACAAGTCCACCAGATGTTTGTCTTTCTTCCATTCTACTTCATTTGTTGGATCCAGATTTGGAACAATCTTATCTCACAGGCTGGTCAAATGGCGCTGCATGGAACACCCAACGACCTTCTACAAAACCTAGATCCAATCGCCTTGTGTATTTTCATTCCACTTCTTGACTGTGCGTCTCCTCATAACGATAAGACCAAACATCTGCTTACAATCAGTTCTTTAGTGGGCCTTTATCCATTCCTGCGCAAATTCAAAATCAACTTCAGCCCAGTCCGTCGGATCTTTACCGGTTTCTTGCTTGTTTCAGCCTCCATGGTCTACGCGAGCGTGTTACAACACTTCATCTACATATCACCAACTAAAAGTATACACGTGTGGATTCAGGCTCCTGCGTATATATTTGTCGCTATCTCCGAAGCTTTTGTTATCGTAACTGGCTTGGAACTTGCCTTCACACACGCTCCAAAAAAGTGAGTCAACAGTCCCCTCTGACACTGCTTAATACAAATTAGTAACAATTCTCTCAGTCTGAGATCTTTTATCTCTGCCTTGTTTTGGCTCATGATCGGTATTGCGGCAGCGATTTGTATTGGTCTCACTCCGGTATCACAGGACCCTTATCTTGTATGGATGTATGGATCCCTAGGGATTGTGGGCTTCGTTGCTGGGTGTGTCTTTTATATATCTTTCAGGAAAGGTGCATCACTTGATCCGGACACTCTAGATATTGTGCAAGGGGTCGAAGGAAATAGGGAGGAGGTTTTACAGGTTGCCGACTGTGGTAAACATAGTGGAGCATAATGATCAGGTCATTGAAGAAGCTTAGGATTTGTTTTCCCCATCAAATTTCGCGTTCCATTTTATTTCTCATACGCTCTGCCATCATGTCTTCTCCTGGTCTAGTTGTTATATCCCCTAAGACTTTTAGACTTCTAAGTCCACAAAATATGTCCATTTATCACGAAAAGGCTCTCTGTTTAGTAACTCCCACAGGATACGAATGTAATATACGTAAATTTGGCAAAGGAATCTACCAAGATGAAAAGAGATACCTTCTCCAGATATCTCTCCTCCCCGGTTTAGTTTATAGACACTGGGATGTAGATATGCCAGACCAAACATTCCATCACCAATCACAACGTATGCCGGGTCGCCCCACACACCAATGCCGCCAATCGGACCAGAGGTCTAAAGCCACGCCGAGATAGGTGGTGTTTTCGCCGGCGTTAGCGTTTCCCAGATAAGCGACAGTAAATTTAATAACTCAAACTTCTACGAGGAGATGCTTATGGCTGTTCATTTCAAGACCCCTCTGCTGGCTATTTGATCAAGATTGTGCCGCATTGCTTTAGTCTCAATAAAGAGAAAGCCATGAAAAGGGTGGAGACAGACGGCCGATATGCTTAAAGCTAAGCGATATTCATATTCTAACAAAAAGTCCTAAGGCTTCAGTTGGTCAAGCACTTTGTGCGTAAATCAATTTCGCATCTCCGGAATATATAATACAGGCCCTCTCTATTTCCCGTTTCGGCATCCCAAAACATGTACATGGGTATATATAACGTTATTGATATGTCATTGACAAGGCATAAAAGAACTACCGGACACCCGATGTGATCCGGGGGTTACAGCAAAGCACTTCAGCCGTGAAGCGAGCTTCCATCCCAAAAGTTATATAAAGCAGTGTGCAGTGGCTTGTTACTATACATATTGTGCGGTTCGAGGACCGCACGCCGCTGGGTTCGTGTCATCTTCTTTCAGCAGAGGCCAACATGCAAGAAAAGGCGTCAGTCGGAGACTATACACATCGTCGCTGGCTCGAATCAAGGAATCAAACAATCAACCCGTTAGAGAATTCTGGGTTCTCAGGATCATATTTCCAGCGGCGTCTGTTCTCCAGAATCCACCACTGAGCCACATGGGCAGCCTCACTCAGCCACCTGGCGGCATCGACGCCAGCGGTATTCTGCACGACATCAATTAGAGTGACGACATCAAGGTCTTCCTCAGGGGACAGCTCAAGTGGGTCTTCGACGACGTTGGTGAATCGCCACGGGGCGTCGGCCACAAGGGGCACGACGAGACGGTACGGCTTCGCGGCGGATCGCATGGAAACCCATGTTCCTCCGGGGTTCATGGTGGAGAAATGCCATTCTTGCTTGCCATCTTGCTCGGTGATGAGGGGGCGTAGCATTGACTGGCCCTCGTACAATGGCAGTAGGTCGTTCAGGATTTTTGTGGACTGTTCATCCATTGAGGAGGTCTCGATAAGGAGATCCAAGAGGGTGGGAAGGATTTGCGTTGAGAGAACGGGGCTGTCGACTTCGATTTGAGGTATCTTGGGGTGGGAGAAGAACAGAGGTACATGGAAACTGGAAACGTGCGGGTCATGGAAGGCTGTGATACCGCCGTCATTCGGGAGTGATAGACCGCTGGACTCTGGTTAGTGGGCGGCATAGATGTGGTGCGTGATATAGGCGAAACTTACTGGTCACCAGCCATGACGAGAAGGGTCTCGTCTGCGACGCCGGCTTCTTCGAGAATCTCCAGGATCTCGGAAATCCACTGATCTTGGTAGTGCATGGTATTAAGGTGTCTGTTCAACTTTTCGTTGAGTCCAGAATTCGCATGCCCCATCATTTCCTGATATTCACCTGGGATGAAATAAGGAGTATGGGTATTGTGGGTCAGATGGCTGAGGAAGAGGCGAGTGTTGTTCTTTTTGGCATCGGCAAACAAATCCCGAATGTAATTCTTCAGTAACTTGTCCTCATGGCCGTGATGTTCTTCTTCTTCGTTCTCTTCTGGGATGTACTTCCTCCCAGCATCGTTGATTGACTCCCTTGTCATGATATGCTTGTACCCTAGATGAGGAGTGAGGAGCTCCTGCTTGTCCCAGGTGCCGTAGTGCGATTGCATCCACTGAGTGTGCCAAGGCCAGGAAGTCCAACCATCTCCCTGGCTGGTGGTGTTCGGCTGGTGGTTCAATGCTTCGAAGATGTGCGGCAAGCAAGGTTGATAGATATCGTGCATGTACTCGAGCTGGTTTTCGACAGCCATGGGGTTGGCACCACAAACAGTGCCAGTGATACTCTTCAAGGTATAGGTACCGGATGTATAAGCTTTGCTCGCACTGATACCACCGTATGGCTTTGGACGCTCTGTATCCTTGCGGAATCCAGTTTCAAATCCGGTTAACCTCTCCGCGGTGGGGGTGAGGTTGGAAAGTCTGGCTAGGACGTTCTCGGGGATACTGCCATTTTTGTAAGACTCATTGATGCGGTCCATGATGTAAGAGTCAGAGCGGAAGGGCCAGATATCCTGGCGAGTGCTTTCCAACTTGACGAGAATAACATGCTTAATCTTCACACTTCCGTCGTGAAGCGCTTCACGAAGAGGCTCCAAAATGTTGTTTTGGAGGTTCGGGGTGTGCAACGGGTCTTTCAACGGGTTATAGTGTGCATACTTCGATTCCTGGATAGTCCTGTTGAAATTAAGATAGCGGAATGGCGACCAATCAGGGAATTCACCTGTCGACTCGTCCACAGGCAACCAGTCAAATTTCGGGAAATAATCCAGAGCGGAGTGCTCTTTCAACAAAGGAAAGTAACCCCGTAGCGACGCAGCAGTTACATGAGCAGGCCGGTATTTGGGGCCGCCAAATGGTGCGAAAGGTAGGGACTCCGAGAGAAACGTGTAGGCCGTATCCTGTGGACGAACAAGACAAAGCAGAATGATGACGGAACTGCCAAGGATCACGATGACACGCTTCAACAGCGAATGCGTCTTCTGCACGAGCGGGACTCGGGGTGTATCCAGCAGGGCTACGGAATCGCTGTCACTGTCATCGTAGTCATCGATGGCGATCTCCTCGTAGATCTCTGGGTCTGGCAAGGGCTTCTTGCGACGGCAGCGACTGAACGTGGCGGAAAAGACTGAAGCCCAAATCTCCAGGAACGCATTTGTCGCACGGAATAGATACGGCGTAGCAAAGTATGCACCGACCATAATCAATACCTCTACAACGAATGCGACAAATAATCCTGATAGGACTGTCTTGGCCGACACATCCTTATGGAATGTTTTCGATCTCCGCCAGTAGATCTCCAGGCCCGTTTGGACGTAAAAAGAGATATTGGCGGCGGTCATTCCAGAAACACCGAGACTAAAATCGCATTAGCATTTGTATATTTCAGAGTCCGACGATACTTACCTAAACAATACAGTGACCACGGCCGCTATGTCCCGAGTAGTCCGCCATTCAAACGATCGGGTCAGGCCGCACGCGACCAGGATCAATAGTATATCCACCAGGAAGAAGGTGGGGCCCCAGAGAAGGGATGGAAGTGTCAGTGACTTCAGATGGATGAAGATATGGAAGCATTTGGACAACACGAGGGAGATTAGAATGACAGAGAAGAAATATTTGCGTGAAGCTGCCCAGCCAAGGTCAAGGTAGTGCTGAGGAGATTTGGCGACAGTAAGGGCGAAGAGGAGCGCTTCCAGAAGTTGGCCACGAAGTTTGTGGGGGACACCCCCTAGCCGGTCGGAAGATTCCATCGCGCATGCATGTAAAGAAGCGAAGTGGCCGTTAAGACATATGAGGATAGAGTAAAAGACACGTCTAAGGGGGAGACGGATGTCTATGAGAGTAAGAAAAAGAAGAAGCGCATGAATTGCAGGCTGCTAAAATTGGAATATAGGAGACGAACGGAAATGAGCGCGCAGGGCTCTCAAAGGGTCCAACGGGCGGTCGTGGTCTTACTCCACAGCCCTCCACGAGGTGTTTCGTCAGAGATCGGCAGAGGACGTCAGCGCATGGAGGTAAGACGGTGGCCCTGCACGAGCTAAGAGAGCCTCTGGCAAGACATTAGTGATTATATTGCGGCTAACACAGGCACAGCTATTCTGGGTTTCGTATAAATTCCAAGGTTAACTACATTTCCTATAGCCGTGAGAAATTTTCCAACTGGGCAACTTGTCGCGTGCCCCCTAATGGAAGAATCTGCTAAGAAGGTTCGATTGTTCCTATTGGCCGGTGTCCTCCAACCCCCACAGTTCCATTCGGAGCCCCAAAGCGAAATCAGTGAAAATTGTTAAATGCAACCTTGTCATGATCTCTGATACTGTCACTATATATACTACATGTAGATGGCGCCTAGGTAGGTCTATAAGTTATTTCGATGTGGTCTAATCATTGCGATTAGGGTCAATGCGACCGCGTGATTCGGTCCTTATCCGCACTCCAAGACCTTTAGGCTTCCTTCATACCGAAAAAATGCTTTATAGAATGGCGGTATAATTTGCTACAATGATGCAATAAGTACATACGACCACAGGGTGTGGACAACAGGGCTTCCCGTCCGCTCAGCCGTACTTAAGCCACACGCCGGTAAGTTAGTAGTTAGGTGGGTGACCACTAGCGAATCCTTACTGTTGTATGTTTTTGTGCTTTTTTGAATCACTCTTTCATATATGGATGGATATACTAGACTATAGTAACAAACTAAAGTATAAAGAATAAAGTAGTCGAAGTGAAGTTAAAGATACTGTTAGCAAAACAAAATGCCCCTTCCTAATATTCTTGTCTCTGAATCATCAAAGGACGCTGGGAACATAACGAAACCTACCAAATATTCATGGGATATTCTGTGGATCGCACTGTTGGTGGGTGGGTGATACGGGGTAAGTTACAGCTAGAAACGAAAAACAAAACAGGAACCAAAAAAGACATACAACAGTAAGGATTCGCTAGTGGTCACCCACCTAACTACTAACTTACCGGCGTGTGGCTTAAGTACGGCTGAGCGGACGGGAAGCCCTGTTCTCCACACCCTGTGGTCGTATGTACTGTCTCCGGCATATTTGGAGTATATCATTTATACATCGAGCATTGGCCGACTTGCACTAAGGCCATTTACACTACAAGAGCTTACCAGTCAACTGTAATGAAAACAAGTGATTAATTGAACTTTATAGCTTGGTCTTCGGAGTTAAGCTGTGCGGGTCATTTCTGAAATACGGCTCTGATGAGCGAAGGACTCTATTCTCTCGCATAGAAGATCTATGTCAAAGTACATAGACGGTTAAGAGAACAGACCATCATAAACAACTACTTGCATTCAAAATCCCTTTTCTCGTCACACGACCACTATAGTTTTCAACCCAGAATCTAGTGTCCTTAGCAACACGACGAGCGATGCGCGGGATTATTTACCGGCGCTGGAGGATTCAAGACCTATGTGCGGACTATCCATAACACAGAGCAACTGATCAGCATTCGGAAGAATCTTGGGACCAGGCAGCTTACCGTCAATTGAGTCCCATGATCGAACTGTTGGAACTATGCTACCATCTGAGCTTTCATAGTAGCGTGGGTCTCGAAATCAGAATCGTTGTTGCTAACAGGCCAATTGAGAGCCCACTCCATTGCTGTATAGCCGTGGGCGGTCTTGATATGCATATCGGCTCCATTTTCGAGAAGGATCTTAGCATTCTCAACGAGTCTAGAACTAACTGCGATGTGCAATGCGGTAAGCCCTGTGTCTTCTTCGTAAGACCACTGGCTATCCGTACCAGATTCATCATCGTCCTCATTAATTTCTGACCTGTAGTTTTCACTGTCATTATCATTGTCGAATACGGAAGCGTCTTCGTCGCTTTCACAATTTCCATCTGTATCAACATTCTCAATGCGCTCATTAGTCTTCCCTCCATCGTCGGGATCGTGTGGGAATAAGTGCGGGTTGCTGATTTCAGTCTGTGGTGTGTCACAACCCAATTGGGCTCCAATCGCATCGTCGCCTTCCGTTTGAACACCATTCGCTATCACCGCTGCAGTCTGATGATTTATATTGGTGGCCTCCGATTCAAGAAGCATCCGCAGAATTGACGGATTACTGAGTCCGGCTGCAAGATGAAGAGCTGTACATTTCACGTTCTCTGATCTCCCCCACAGTGTCTCGAAAGAAACATTCGCGCTGTGACAAAGCAGCTGGCGACATATGTCTGTTGAGCCATTGCATACAATGGACGCAATGAGCGGTGTCATCGTAGCCAGTGGAGGAAAGTTTATTCCGGCTCCACGACTGATGAGGTATTCGACCATCTCAGCATCGCCGGAAATGACAGCCATGGTAAGAGGAGTGCCTGTGAAAGGCCTAACTTGCATTTCGCTGCCGCCACGGTCGATTTCATCATACCAGGGCTCCTCCCACCCATAAGCATTGATGTCTGCGTTGGTATCTAAAAGAAGCTGTACAGTCCTTTGAGACTTCTTTGCAGCGCGTGCGAGCGGCGTTGCTCCATGGCTATCTTGTTCGTTCGGATCCTCGCCATTCTCCAAAAGAACAGCCAGAACTTTTAAAAATCGAATGCAGCGGCGAGGTTTAAGCTTGTTATCTTCTGAGGAAGCCGATCCGGATTTGATTCTTGATAGATTGTATACCATGTTTGGAACACCGGTTTGGTTACGGTGCAAAGAGATACCATTAACTGCATCCATTTTGGATTGTTGTCCAGCCTTGCTTTTTCGGAGTGATTGGTCCAATGCTTTCCTGCATAGCCCAGGAGCGGATTATCATTAATATAAGCAAAGATTTCCTCGCGGGCTTGATCTGAGTCACCAGACCCAATTGTAAGCTGATCTTTGGAAAAGCATGTGAAAGAAAGTAAAGCGATGCAGAAGGTTGCAATGAGTGTCTCCGAGTCTTGCGCACTGAAAGTATGTCTCCAAGGCCCACAGTTATGATCAATATTGTCATTGGTCTGTACCAGAAATTCCTTGGCCATTTGGTGGATAAGGAATACGCAGCCACCGTCTATTGTCACAAAGAGACCACAAATGTTTTTGATCCTCAATTCGAATTCGTCTGAGCTTTCGTTCCCAATCTCCTCATATGAACGATACTCCAGGTCGCCCGCAAGGGCCGTGGCTATCCTCATTTCATCGACTGTCAAAGGCTCCCGAGCCGCCAGAATGTATGCAGGAGCTGCCTTGCAAGTTCTCGATGGCGACATCTCTTCAGAATAGCATCGAAAGCATCAACCAGACTCCGCGGCAAGTCCGAGGTAATCTTACGCAGTTCCCGTTTATTGGCTGGCCGCTCACTGAGGCGAATCTCTTCCATTACCAGGCTTAGCCACAGATATGTCCTGTTGTCAACTTGATGAAATTGCTCGAGTAGGTACTCTGTTGCCTCTCCATCGAATCCCTTTCTAGCAGCGATTTTGGGGATATCGACATCAATGACGTGATTAATCTCATCTTTTATCCTTTCGGATTCTTGATCTCCCGACAAATGGATTGTAGGAGTCTCTTTCATGACATCGTGAAATTGCGAGTATATAGTGGAATAGGGGCGGCTGGTCAAAAGAAACTTCAGCTTGGGCCGATCCTTTGGGGCTTTCATGGCCTCATGGTAGAAAGATGTAATTGTTTCAACGAGGCGGACTCGGTCATCGTCATCACATTCGTCGAGAGCATCCAGTATGCACACAACTTGTTCGATGGCTAGATCAGCAGCTGCCTCACAAAGTATGTCAAACATCGCGTCAAACAATTGAAGTAGCTCCTTCCCATTGAGCCCATAGGGAATAAGCGCATGTCTTATCAGTGATGGAAATGCAGAGAACAACTGGTGCATAATCGCAGACAGGGCGCTTATTGCGCTTCTTTGGTATGGGGAAATATCTTTGAAGAAGAAGTAGCAGACCGCAGTCTGCTTTTGATTACTCAAGATAACCAGACCCTCGTCAATGAGAGTCCTTGCCAGAACGGATTTGCCCGAGCCGGGCGTAGCAGACAGCCAAAGAAGATCGGAGCCTTCGTTCTCTCGCCAATCGAGAAACTTCTTATTGTCCAAGAACCACTTTCCTGTCTCCAATACCCTTCGCGGCGTTCTGTTCTTTTGGTTCTCATATGCGTTCGATTGTCGGAAGAGTTGTACACACCTGCGCTCTTCGTCGGTCTGACGCCAAACTGATTGCATCAGGGTCTGTTGCTCAATACCGCGTGCTGTCCTCTCGATCTCTTGCTGGACCCTTTGGAACCCACATTGCATATTGCGCTCGCTGTCTTGTAAAGCCCTTTCGATATTTTCGTGACTCAGATCCTGAGCAAGCTCGGCACACTTTATCTCAAGGGCCTTAATCTGGCCCGTTAAACTTGTCCAGACATCGACTTCGAAAACACCTCGCCCATAGCGTTTTGCCCAACTCCATGAGTGCTGCTTCGCTAATCGGATCTGGAATTCGAGAATTCTCCTATACAACTCCACGGCTGTATTTTCAAAGTCTCGAACAAGCTCCAAGCTATCGACATGATAGCCACTCTCAGTCAATCCGGACTTTCCTGGTCTGATCAGTCTCTCCATAACCCTTAGCCTCCGCACAATGAAGGGTATGGCCTCGAGGCAATCATGGGCATCCGACTTTTGCTGTGTCGGGTTTAAGAGTAGCTAAGGCGAAACATTAAACACAATTTTAAAGTATTGATCAACTCCTGGGATATACCGGCAAGAAAATACACACTCCAGCCCATGCTAGTGCTGCGTGAGGCTCGGAGCTGACAGCTGAGGATACGAAATCCTTGATTGCAATCATGATCTTCACAGCGTTGTCGAATTGCCCACTGACGTCAATGGAATGACTACCGATATCGACTTTCCATTGTGCCAGATTGATTTCTTCAATCTTGTTCTTCGCTATTTGCCGAAGCTGCTCCTCGCGGTGATATGATCCAGTAGCAGCTGAACGCCCGTCACGTCAGATAAACATCTTCCTTGAAGCAATATTACGAACTGACCTAAATTCTTTTGCCCAAGGTCACCATTTCCGTCTCCTTCTGTGGCTATGATCTCCTCATATCTTTGGAAGAGCCTCGGGTCTTCTTTGCTGAGAATCAAATACGCTTCATCCCATAAGTTACGAGAGATATTGTCGTCTTGGGTAAGGCTAATACACGAGCTAGATGTGCCTAGCTGCAACGCCGGGCTGTTGGAAGTGCCAGGTACTGGGCTACTGTTTTTGTCGGCAGGCGCTGTCAACCGTGATGTCACTTCTATCGTTGTTCCAATTTTTGGTTCTCGGTAGAGCGGAGTTGTTAGAGGCAAATTAATTTTCAACACTGTAAATTTGAAAACACCAGCAATCACTGTTTTCTTTGTTTCTGAGCCTTCAAATACATCCTCCGTCGTATCAAGTTGCTCTGGTCATCTTCCAGCGAGACAATCTAGTGCCGGAATAATGCCCTCTCCTTATAGCGAAGAAGTCGGTTTAGAGATTATTCCCAATTCCTCCTTCAGACTTTCGTATCTGCTTTCCCAGACTTTATTCTACTGAGAATATTTGAGATCGCATGGCAGATTTCCTACGAGGTATTTCCCCCATGGTCTTCTAGTCGTAGTGATACATGTATTGCCGAAGCTCTTTGGGCTGAAGATTTGATTTCTTGTCTTTTTGATCAGCTCTTCCAAGTTCCATGTATAATTCATTGCGGTATTGGTACCATCATTGCCACGTTATCTAGTTTATTAGGACAGTATGCAATGCTCATGATCTGTATTCAAGTCAGAATTTCTCCAAGTGTTATCGAGGTCCAAGTGAGAAGAATCCACTAAAAGAACCATGGAATTGACCAGGCAAACAGAGTCTATACACATCCCGAGATTCGATGAGCAAAGCCAGAAATTCTGATAACCAAATCAGAGGTGTTAGGATATGTGAGTCCCATCCTTTCAATGAATAAGCATAATTCAATGGACAAAGAAGCAAGGGTAAGAAATTTCCTTCTATGCAGAATGCATATGCGTAAATCTCATCACACATCAGAATAATTGCCTATGGATCGGGTTGATAAGCTAGAATGACCGCGTCGCCTGCACTCGATCTTGCACGTCAAGGACATCCGAATCATCGTCGAAGAGATGAACATTTGAATTTGCCAGAAACTTTATATGTCCTGTATTGTTAGGGCGCTATCTTTCATTGTCACAATCGGCAAACGTTTGGGAGGTGTATCGAGCAGACGAGAATCAGAAGACCAGAGACCAGACTAACCTCTAGTCTCGCTGCAACCCTGTGTTGAACCTTATCGGCTATTCGTGACACGTGTCAGGAGCAAGCAAAGGATATGCAAACTCTGAGTCTCAGGGGTAGAAAGATAGGGAGATAGGGAGATAGGGAGAAATAGGGAGAAATAGGGAGAGAAGGGGCAAGGACAGGGGCAGAGAGATGTTACTTTCCATGAAGGGGCAGCCAGCCGGGGTCTTAAGGTCCCAGGTACCTACTAATGGCTTACCTTCAGCTCCAATTGCAAGTATCATGACATCTGCAACCTCCAGGTCTTGGAAGTTCCAGATTGTTCTCCTGTCGATGGCGGGTCAAGAGTTGGGTCGCAATTGGATAGATGCACGATCCTTGATTCTAAAGCCCATCTTGCAGTTCTCCAGATATCCGGTTTCAATTCCCCTGCAGCATGGAGAATGTTAAAGACTACCCTTTTAGGTATTTCTAAACAGCCGGTGTGGGACGGATTTGCACCGAACCGCGAACGGGCGTCGGGGTGAGATCAACGTGGACCTGTGATGAACCAATAATGCAGTCCGTGGTGCTATCAGCCTTGCCACAACCAGCCCCCGGACTGAATTTGGTGTGTTCGGCAGAGAGTTGTTTGCTCGATAACCTTCCAAGCCATCCGGTTCCGTTGGGGTATCAACCGGTCACATGATCGGTTTCTACATATATCTCCCGTCGACATTGGCCACCTGATCACAATGAGCATCCCAAAATGTCATCGGTTCGGATGCGAAAGGACGGTTACCGGGGATTCCGTCCCTAGAGGTGCTGGGGATGTGGTCAGCACCGTGTTTCGGTCGATATCAAGATAGCTATATAGAAGAGCTAGGGTTCTCCAGGTTAAATGGTTATCAACAGCTCCGAAGTATAAAGTCGATACTCTAATATCAATCTCTATCTTATTTCAATCAAAGACATTTCTTTGACTCCTTGGTTCGCAATGTCCTTCTTGAGGAATTTCTTCGGTACCTCCGCCCTTGTGCCTGAGCCGGCGAAGGAGGAGAAGAAGCCCATCCGTGCTCTGCCTGCTTCATGGTACACCTCCCAAGCTATGTATGAGCTTGAGCGACGAGCGATCTTCTCGCGCAAGTGGCTTCTCACGACTCACAAGCACCGGGTCCCTAACGCCGGTGACTGCGTCCAATATGACGCCGCTGGCTACGAGTTCGTCATCGCCAAGGACCACGAAGGAAACATCAAGGCTTTCAACAATGACCTCATCCCTGTTCATGTGCACCTTGACCGAAATGGTTTCGTCTGGGTCAACTTGGATGCCAGCGAGACGCCAGAGGTGGCCTGGAAGGATGACTTTGAGGGAGTTGATGAGCAGCCCCGATTCGAGCACTACAACTTCGAAGAGTACCAATTCGATCACACCTGGGATATGGAGGGCGAATTCAACTGGAAGATTCTAGCCGACAACTACAACGAGTGCTACCACTGCCAAGTTGCCCACCCTGATATCCCCACCATTGCCGACCTCAACTCCTATTACGTCAAGACCAAGGACGGCCACATTCAGCATTACGGTGCTCCACGCCAGGATCAGATCGAGAAGGGCTTCCGGATAGCGACCACCTACTTCTGGCCCAACGCCTCTTTCAACATCTCGTAAGTACATCACTTCATCCCTGCCAACATCAAAACATCGCTAACCAGATGTTCTAGTCCAAACTTCTTCTTCATGCAGCGATTCACTCCTACCAGCCCTACCAAGTGTGTAATGCGGTACGAAGTCTATCGCCACAAGGATGCCACCGACGAGGCCTTCAACCTCATCAGCGACATGTACAAGCGAATCATGTCCGAGGACAAGTACCTCTGCATCCACTCCCAGAAGAACCTCAACGCCGGTGTCTTTGTCAACGGCCAGCTTCACCCCGAGATGGAGCAGGGTCCTCTACACTTCCAGAAGACTGTGCGCGATGTCGTTACACAACACCGCTCAAAGGAGGAAGATGTTGGCCATGAAATCTGGCCCGCTCACCACCCTGTTCCTGAAAACACGGCTGTCACCCAAGAAGAGATCGCTTTCCGGACAGGTACAGACAGCTACATCAATGAGAATGACTCGTTGTTGGGTGGCACCCTTGCCCCGGCAATTGCTGTCTAGACAGTTGACGGGGGATGGAAAAGAGAGCGATCTTTTCTCTATATTAATTATGCATGTGTTTTAGCCTTACGTTTTAATGAAATTTTAGATCTTAGTTTGCATGGGCACACTTTGCCATTACAGAATGAATACTTCTCTCACTTTATCTATTTCATCAAATCTTCCACAGTTAGAGTTCTTCCATCTAGCCTAATAACTAAGCCCTGAAGCTATCGATGGCTCATTGATTTTCTATCATCTTACGTCATTCCCATTTGGTATCCCAATGGCTATTGTGGACTCTTGGCCGCGTGGCCGCGTGGAAATCTTTTTGACTTTATCTGCCATCTGTGTTGTAAAAGGAAAAGGACGCCAATGTAACAAGAGCTATTCAACGCCCTTCTTGGAAGTCAGCTCAATATAGCCGCAGGCGGGCGGATGACTCGAATAACCTTATTCAAACCCCGTTCCGGAGGTCGTGCATAGTAAGACAAAGGCTACCTTAAGATATTAAAATGCGTGAGGTGACATGGCTCTTTGTCTGGCCAGGATTGTTGCCTCCAGCATTCCTAGCGTTTATTGGCTCTGGTCCTGGTCTTTGCTGGGGTCTGTAGATGAACAATGAGTTTGGTGTTAAAATTGGCATTGAACATCTCATATATCTCCTACTTGCCACTCATAACTAACAGGCATTGACATTTCTCGGCATTCATCCCTGGCAGAGCGTAAAGTTCGAGGTTTTGTATGTCTTATATAAATTTGAAATGATCCTAAGACAAATGATCTTGGTCAGGGCCTTCATCGATGCAATGAAACTCATTCACTTATCCAGCTTTCTCACTCGACTTTTTATTTCCAGGGTTGTCGCCCTGCCCGAGAGCGGCAATGACACTGTTCTGTCAAAGTCACTCCACGAACGTGATGCCGCACTAAAGGCAACTCCCGATGGCATTTGTCATACATATACTCTTCAAGCAGGAGAAACCTGCGCAGCCCTTGCCACCCGATATGGAATCACCGCTGCAAATATTGAAACTTGGAACACTGGGGCTTGGGGTTGGACAGGCTGTAATACAGTGAAGCAAGGTGACTTTATCTGTCTCAGCCCTGGTAATCATCCGATGCCGGTGGCTCTTCCGAATGCTATATGTGGTCCTCAGGTGCCTGGAACTGCACGCCCTGCCAGACTTTCTGATCTTGCCTCTCTCAATCCGTGTGCTTCTAGTCAATGTGTGAGTGCCAACATCTCTCTATCTCGTACTTCTATTGACTATATCATAAGTGTTCCAGACTAGGTAAATGCGGTACTACGACTGAGTTTTGTGGTATAGGCTGTCTCTCCAATTGCAAACAGGCAGATTCTCTTGCCAAAAAGAGGACTTCTTCAGAAGCAACGACAAAGCCTACAAGCACTGCTTCAAAGACATCCACCAAAACGACGAGTACCACTACAAAAACAACATCAAAGACCACAACCATCATCGCAGAATCGAGCTCAATCACCAAGAAAAAAGCAGCCAAAACCACGAGCGAAGCACCAATCCCAAGGTGGCAAATAACAATCTACAAGGATAAGGGCTGTGAGAGCGAAGAGTACCTCTCAGTCCAAGGACACCATACAAGAGCAAACACAAGATGCATAAATCTCTCAGATAATCTCAAAACAGACATCAATGACTACGAGACCTCGTGCCGGAAGTGGACCGATGGCGGTCTTAATTGGGGTAGCTGTAAGGGCCAAACTATTTCGAAGCCCAAGTCATACTTTATCACTGCTGGGCAATGCACAATCTATGGCGATCAAAATTGTGTTACGGAGTCGTACCAAGGGGACGTTAGGAATCCTGCGGCTGGCTGTCAATATCCGCAAGAGTTTGCTTGGTCTCCGGAGGATTTCGTGTCTATGAGGTGTTGGGATCCCACTATTCCGTCGACTGGGGGCGATACAGATGGTTGGTATCCGGATGCAGTTACCCACTGAAGAAAAAGATTGGGCTTGGTTTACGTGAAGTATACGTTCTGATGGTATTCGTGACATATATCTCAATTTGATGCACTAGATACACAATTGCGATATGTTGGTTTCTTGTCTATGAAGCAATGATAGGGGTCAAACTAAGTCAATATCAATTTATATTATATCAATTTCCATCCTGCTACGCCCAAGAAATGTCAAGAAGAGACGAGATTGAACTATGGATGTGTTGGGTTATTTCTGTGATATCACTTTTAGAACATAATGTCAAAGGTAGCACGATTCTCCATCAACCAGCCAAGTGGTCGAGCAGTAACTCGGTCATTCAATCTTCCTTGGTCTAGTGGTGATGATTTCCGCTTGTCATTAAAACCGATAAGCGCGGGAGACCGGGGTTCGATTCCCCGAGGGAGAGTTTCTTTTTTGCTCTTTTTTTTTTTTTTTTTTTTTTTTTTTTTTTTTGTTTGGCCCAACATTCCGCTTTTTCGATCTACTTTTTGTTTTAATTATGTCATTGAAATATCTCCATGATTCCATGGCCATTGCCTAGTCCATACCTGAAAACCATAATGAACTGTGATTCAGTGGGTAACCGCATACATGTGTTGTCCCCAGTCTAAGTTACTAGCGTGAGACAACACAAGAAAGATAGATACATTTCCAAGACATACCTTTAACAGAGAAAGCGGAAACACAGAAAGATACAGTCGGCTCTTCCAGGCTGCTACTAGAAATAAAAAAACAAAGAGAAAACATAAAGAATGTCGACTTGAGATGCTCAGGGTGTTCCTTCCAAAGCAGTTCCCAGACAGCCTCACCTCTCTCTTTCATCATCCAGTCTGCATTTATCTGCTGCTCTCTGTTTCATCACGTACTGAACTTTCGCGGATCATACATTTGGATGACTTCGTAACGGAAACCCAGCCTCAGAACCTAAGTCATGGCCTTCTGGGTGGACTGGGAATTATGGGAGAAGCTCAGCGTGGTATGTCTTCACAACTTGAACTAAAGAACACGTCCACTGACCGCTTGATCAACAGGTACTGGCGATGCTGATTGTATGCGAAATCTTACCTGCAATACCCCAGACACACAGCTGACAGCATCTGCAGGCCCTAGTATTTGTTTACTCCTTTGGTGTCTTGGCTTACAACCGGTGGATAATCCGCAAGTACGCTGCAGAGGAGGCACACGCGAGAGAGCAAGAGGCCGAGCTGTATCCAATGCTGCACAGAGACGACGTTCCCTTCGGTGCTCGGGCGTTGGAGAGTGGGATCGCAATCGAAGGAATCTGGGTTTCGAATCCCAACACACCATCCCGCAGTCCCTGCCAGTCCACAACCCCAGTTGGAAGCCGGCCGGCCAGTCCAGCGCTGAAACTATCATCCAAAGCATTCGAAAGTCCCAAGTCGTCATTGGGATCCGAGTGTACTCTCATAAGCCCGAGACCTGTCCCTCCAGCTGGTCGATATGGAGTCCTCTCGCAGCTAGACTTAGCCTCTGCCGGATTTTCCTATGAATCCAGGCAACATGCGTTTTCAAGCCGAGCAAGCTTGCCGATCAATCCTAATGCCCTCCGCATGTCGCCTGCACAGGAGGAGAAGCTGGTTAGCGTAAAAGACACAACGCGCAGCCAGAGGCGTGCCAGTTTCCATACTCGGATCTTCAGCTCAAGCCGCCATTCCGAGGTCAAAGATCACAGCGTGGGTTCTGATGGTACAGATGAAATGGGCCATGCTTTAACAGAGAATAATCGGGTATCTCGGTTTACCCGTAAGACATAAATATGACAGCAGCCACATGGAACGGAAACTAATGCGACTTTCCTATAGGAACCCTTCGCCGGCGATCATCAGAAGAGTTCCGACGCAAGATGAGCCGGATCTTCAACGAGAACATCCAGATGGGCGAGCCGGCCGACCATCTTGAATTCAACCCAGCTCTGGGGGAGTACCAGAAACGGAATTTGCGAAAGTCGCTGCTTCGTCCTTTCCGTCCGTGGATGAGCTCCGCTGGGAATGAGGCGCATTGAGGCACATTCTCCGAAAAAGAGAGGCCGTCTTCCCAGGAAATCTGGACTGCCCGAAAATAGACCTTCATATTGAGACTTTCGACAGTTGCTCTCTGGTCTCGACACATCTAGCATTGACTGCGGTCCAGCGCTGTGGTACATGGCGCAGTTGAACACTTGGTCTTGCGCGAGCTCCAATTGACATGGAAGAAACATATTTTAGTGGAAGCATGGAGATGTCTTCTCAATGGGGGCAGAATTGTATTCTTAGACCTTTGCAAATTGACCTTGACATTGAACTCCGCATTTCAACAGTAGATGAATTACCTCACAAAGCATGAGACACCCCTCCACTGACGCGAGTTATCAATGTACATGTTCGCGAAATAGAACACATCGAAATATTGTGATTTCTCCAAATCAGGCAAGGCCAAGGCAGCAGCCCACGTGATCTCGCGATTCCATCAACGCGTCGAGGGGAATTGTTGACCCAAAGACAATTTGCCACAACTCGACTTTTCACTCGGGTGACTGCCTGTTGGATCACTACCTGCGACGCCGGTCTTGATAGTCTGGTTCAATAGAAGAAATCACCACCGCGTGCGAATAATCTCACACGAACGCGTCTCTCAGACCCGCGCCTTGGAGCCTCAAGTGTCCTCAAAAGAGGCAGACGGACACCCCCGAAATCAATATATCCGAGGAAAACACTGCCATGATGGAAGGACAAGAGCAATTCGATGAAAGTGGACTTCCTGGCCCCGGTGCCCCAACCCCGCTCTCCGCGCTGGATGTGAGTAAATGATTCGTGCTCTTGCTATGTGCTTTTAGACTAGATTGCTGATGCTTGCTGAGATAGGGCGTTGCCGGCTTGACCGGGAGGGATATCAAGCTGTTTGTGGATGCAGGGTACCACACCGTCGAGGCCGTTGCCTACACGTACGTTTCCCATTACCGTCGGGTTCATTGTAGCTACGAGACTTTGGAAATCGCCCTCTTCTCTCACTCTTGCTAACATGTCTTGGGACCTTCAGGCCCAAGCGGTTGTTGGAACAGATCAAGGGTATTTCTGAACAAAAAGCGACCAAGATCCTAGTAGAGGGTAAGCCCACCCCGAGTCTGGCAAAGGCTGTTGCTTGAAGATCAGATTGCTGATGAGAATGGATCACCAAGCTGCCAAATTAGTACCAATGGGTTTCACAACGGCAACGGAAATGCACGCCAGGCGAAGCGAGCTCATCTCCATTACGACGGGATCCAAGCGACTCGACACACTTCTGGGAGGTGGTGTTGAAACGGGGTCAATCACGGAGATTTTTGGAGAGTTCAGGACTGGTAAGAGTCAGATCTGCCATACGCTCGCAGTGACCTGCCAGCTGCCCTTCGACATGGGTGGCGGTGAAGGCAAGTGTCTTTACATCGATACTGAGGGAACATTCCGACCTGTGCGTTTGCTCGCAGTCGCACAGCGATTCGGTCTCGTCGGCGAGGAAGTTCTGGATAATGTTGCATATGCCCGTGCATACAACTCGGATCATCAGCTGCAGCTACTCAACCAAGCATCGCAGATGATGTGTGAGACACGGTTCTCTCTGCTGGTTGTGGACTCTGCAACATCCTTGTACCGAACGGATTTCAATGGCCGTGGTGAACTCTCCTCACGGCAGACACATTTGGCCAAGTTCATGCGAACCTTGCAACGCCTTGCAGACGAATTCGGTATTGCGGTTGTTATCACCAACCAGGTTGTTGCCCAGGTTGATGGTGGACCCAGTGCGATGTTCAATCCGGATCCTAAGAAGCCCATTGGAGGTAATATCATTGCACACGCCAGTACGACTCGACTCAGTCTGAAGAAGGGCCGTGGTGAGACTCGTGTTTGCAAGATTTATGACAGTCCTTGTCTTCCCGAGAGTGATTGTCTCTTCGCTATTAACGAGGATGGTATTGGTGACCCCAATGAGAAGGATCTGGAGGATAAATGAGCGGAACATTCTTTGTCTGCGACACGATATTAGTGACTTGATGAGCATCCCTCAGTTTCTTTTCTTTAGTGCGGTCTACAACATCTCAGCGTTTAACAGTTGTATCTAATAGCATTGAATCTACTATGGAATAGCATTGCTAAGTTACTTCATTGTGACTGGCATGTATTTGCCTGATAGTGTAAGGACTTGTGATGTATAAATCGAGAGAGTAAATTTTTCATATGGTAAGCTAGAATTCGAGACTGAAGTGAAATATATACAGAAAATATAGACAATGAACCATCAATCAGAAAATAAATAAAAAATTTAGAGAAACGCAGTCAAGAATGATCTCCAGTGCAAAGTTCCGCTTTATCGCGCCAAGACTTTGTTTTTTGAGAGCTCCAGCTTCCCGCCCTGCAACACTTCCTTCCCTTCAACATTGCCATGGAGTTCTGAGCTGACCCTGGAACCCCGCGTCAATCGATCATGGCGAGAATCTACAAAGACTCAAGGGTCGATCTTCGGCCATACTCGCCGACTACGGTCGCCAATATCCAGTTCCCAGCCAACGACGGCGGCCTGATCAGTCGCCCACGCTTTTCAATCTCCTTCACCCCCGAGCAACCCCCGATCGCCAAGGACGAAGATGAATTCGCCAGACGTTACCTCGCGACACAGGGAGAGGTCTATTTCCGCAAACGCAGAGTTTACCCGCGGACGTTCTTGTGGAGGGTCATCAACGACAACAAGGTGTTGGAGATCCAGTGCGCGGACTTGACGAAGGGCGGGACGGAGGTCTATGAGTACAATGTGACTCTGCGACTCGATTTCCAGGAGCAGATTCTTCCCCATGGAGTTGCATTGGCGGATCCTGAGGATCACGAAATCCTCAATGTCTTTGTGATTACCGCCTCCAAGACTCTACACACCCTGTCTCTACGCCCCGAGTTCTTCCGTCGGACCTCTTCGATCGATGAGAATGTGAGGGATTGGTGCAAGGCCTTTTCTCCTGCCCCGTTGGCCTTTTCGCATCCCCACCGGCTACACGCGAGCAGCCCCCTGGAGCTGTTCATCTCTCTGGACAATGGCGCGCTCTTGCGGCTGACGCGGAGAGCTGGCGACGATGGTGAGTGATTGCGTCTGCTTTCTGCTCCTTTCGCGACTCGAGTTTTGACTAACCCTTTTTTTCTAGGTTCGCACTGGTCTCCTCTTACCTTTGACGAACGGACATGGGGCTCTTCGATTCGTGGCCTTGTGAAATGGAACGCAACTTCCTCGGTCAGACACGATGGACGAAACCTCGATTTGAATGTCGCAAACGCCATTGCCACTACCTCGGACGAGACTTACGTTTTCGCGATTTGTCTGAACCACACTTTGAAGATCTGGAATCTCGCGACGAACAAGCAAGCGGCAACAAAGGATCTCCTGGGACGCTCACTGCAAGACCCCGATATTGTGCCATACACTTTGAACCCTGCCGAAACATCATTCATGCGTGTCTTCAATGCCGAGCGGGCAATGGACGGAGGACATCGCTTCTATGTTGTCACATATTCGCCTTTCGAGGATGGCAAGTTCAAGTTCTGGGCAGTCAAGGGTGGTCTCACCTCTGATCTGATAATTGAGGAACTTTTCCCCGAGAGTGTTTTCCGGCCCGTGGATCCCGATGTCACGGGTAACATGTTCTGGAGCATCGCTGATTTCCAAGTCAAGTCCCGGGAAGAAGGCAAGGGCATGGAGTTATGGGTTCTCTGGAGAAACCATGGTCTATACCAACTCTACACTTTGCATTTCAACCTTCAAACTCTGGTTAAAGATTGGTCCAGCAATTGGGTTTCAACAACATTCGAAACCCATAGACAACAAGCACCACCATCTCTGGTAATTGACGATGTGGTGGACCCCACCGAAAAATGGCTTCAATACCTCTTGCAGCCGCACAGATATCTTCCCGAGGTCCTTGAGACCGCTTTGACTGTTTACCAAGAAGCTATCAAGCCTCTTTCGTCAGCTCCGTCTGCACCGAAGAAGAACGTTCCATTGGCCGAACGACTCTGCTCGACGATAGCAACAGCAGTCTCCCTTCGCAAATTTGCCGACGATGAGATGGACTTCACTCGATTCTGCACGGACACTGACTCTAAGTGGCGCCAGTTCTGGCAAGTCGCGGAGGATCTCAACAAGCGCCGATTTGAACCTGTTTCTCTTACCTACGACTCATACACCGATATGCCATGGCTGCTTTTGTCAGACTCCTGCGCTGTCATTCGGGAATGCAGCATCACTGAGTTGCTTCTGCACAACTCTAATACCGAACTGAGTGATGGGGTGCCCAATATGATCGATCGCTGGAGGCATCGAAATGTGACTAGGGAGCTTGGCCCGTGCTACGATACAGCCTCCGCCTTGATGAAGGTGGCGTCTGATTTCCGGAAGAGATTCTCCCCCGAGCTCGAGGGTGCGTGTCGGGCTGCTCTTCATGCCGAAATCTTTTCCGAGCCCTCATCATCGATCACGGACCGCATGGAGACTTTCCGCGAACGATGCGACTTTGTGAACGGAATTTCCAACAAAGCCTTTGACACCCTAGATGCTGCGCTGAGCGAACATATGAAGACAGATTGTCTCCCCATGGACGTATTCAATGCCATAATCAATACCGCCGCGCTTCACTTTTGTGGAGAAGACTCGGAACTTGCTTCAACCTACTTTGGTGCTCGAGTTCTGGTCAGCGGTGCCCAGGAGACGATCTCTATCATGCGCCAGATGTTCTTCGATTTACTAATTCTAGTCACCTTTGTGGATGGCGAATGGGAACAAAACTCCAAGTCGGACTTCAATGCGGCAGACCTTTTTTCCACCATGATTGACCTCCTACGAGAGTATGAGATGATGGACTGGCTCAGTTCGAATATCCGCAAATGCCCCGATAGTGCCCCAAAGGTACGGAATGACTTGTCAACACCCAGCCGTTCTCTGAAGGACCGCAATGCGACCAACAAGAACCAACGGACCGCAACTATTCTCGAAGATCTGTTCGTCACGGAT